GTAATATTGAAAATTGGAAACCTGCGGTCAGCCAATGGACGGATATTAACCTGTGATTACATATGAATTATGTTATAGAGAATATTTTATAACACAATACAGTCGGCCGTATTTCCCTCGACTTCAAAGCCCTGCCCACTTTAAATAGGTAATTTTGTTGGTAATTGTATTAAAATACTCGAAAAATAAAAAAAATTCAACGAAAATGCCAGAGGAAAGGTGTCTTAGAAGTCTGAGCTAAACGAAAAACGTGCTTTAAATGTAGAAATTGAGTTGTGCCCACTTACGCAAATTTACCATTTGTAATTGCAATGATCCTTAAGCTTACTTAGGGCGCCCATCCCCTTCTCACGATAATTCCAGTAATGTCAGTAAGCATTGTTCATGCCATGAGGACTCACTACGCTTCTTGATAGGAAAACGTGGACAATCCCCATAGGAAGATTTCAAACTACCTGTTAAATGATACTGTATTGCATACTGCCGAGTGTCACCACCTATGCCCCAACACAACACAATGAACTAAATTAACCATAATATACCAACAACTACTCAGACATTATTATTAATGTTACATACCTAATATAATATTATTAATAAATGTCTTACCTAAACATCACAGGGCTGTCAGGTCATGGGGGAGCAGGCCAGCAGCTCAGTTCGGTCCTTCATCTTGGTTCCCTGGTGTAACTTTGCTTTGCTCCTGCTGGTATTGGATTTCCAGAGTCAACAGACGAGAAACTCTCCCCTGTACTATCGTGGACAAAAGTTCGCTCCCTATAATGAAACTGAGACACGGGAATGAGTCTCCGAACTGACTTACCCTGATTGTTATCTGGTGTGGGTGTGCTGTGCGGGTCGATACTGCTTCACTTTGGGACGGAGCGAACTTTTGTCCGCGATAGTACCTCGGCATGATAGTTTAGTAATGCTGTTAACTCCTAGATGGCGCTCACCTCCATATAGCATTCCTTATTACGTTTGAATAATATATTACCATCTAAATAAAACTATATTAGCTTGTAAAAGAGTGTGAAAATAAAATGAGCTTTTGGTGTCAAATAACTGAAAAATATAAGGATTTGAAGATTTTAACAAAAAAGAATATGGGGTTCGTTCTTGGGAACTAAAGAAAATTACATATCCTGGTGGAGCTAAAGCAAATTATAGATCTGATACACAACTACAAGCTTTGAAGTATTCTACCTATATTCACTAGCAATACTGTACGCAATAAAAGCCTATATGTTGTTGGCACTTATATACTACCTGCAGTACTGAAATACTGCCTGGTTTACTGAAAGGATGTGAGATTTTTATTTTAGACTGTGTGTGGAGTTAAAGTATTTGTTACCTTTCTGTTACTAATACTTGCTATGATATTGTCAAATAAAGCTTCAGATAATTTCTGATTTGCTTCAAAGGATAAAGGCCGTTCCACTGTTAAAGAGGCCAATGAATTCTATTGTAGATTTGGGAATGCATAGAAGGAACCTAACCGGGCTGTTGTTGAATACGCTTATATTATTACTAAGCTTAATGACTTTTGAGTGAACTAGAGATTCGGATGTGTATGTGCACTCTTTTTAAATAAGAAATAATAGAGCACTTGTGGTGGGAATATGGTCTATGGCTAAACTTTATGTTTCAGACATTGATGTCAATCATGTCACATCTCAAGATCATATGTAACGCTAGCTTGAAGTACACAATGTCTTGAATAAACACGAAACATTAAGCAATTTTTGGGAGCTTGTGATAAATATAAGTATAAATGAGCAAAGTTGTATTCTTTCAACATTTACGTTACATAACATTTTATAATATGGAGTGACAAAGTAGAAAGGTGTGGGTAATTAGAGAGATGGCGTGGAAATGAGTGTTACCAAGCGCTCCTCAACAGCTGATATTTTACTCGCTACCACGCAGATGTGTCATACAATAAGACCCTCACTCCTAATGCTTGCTGTAATGGTGTGTGAGTGGTGTACGAGTGTAGTGTGTGGGGGTGTATGTGTGTTGTTAGGGTGTGTGTGTGTGTGTAATGTTGGGATGTGTATGATGTGTGGGTGGTGATGGTGTGGGTGATGTGGGGTGAGGGTGGTGTTGGAGGATGTGTGTGTGAGTGGTGTTGGAGGGTGTGTGTGGGTGGTTATTGGAGGGTGTGTTTTGTGTGTGTGTGTCTGATGTAGGAGTGTATGTGTGTGTCGTGTGGGTGGTGTAGCACAGTGTGGGTGATGTGAGATTGAGGGGTGAGAGGGGAGTCGAACCTTTTTTGGGGGGTGAGGGGGTCCTGCTGTCAGTTCCTCCCCCCTCCTCACCCAAGCGTGGCTTATTGTGATAGGGAGGTGAATTTGATACCATAATGAGCCTTAATAAATTATCTATGAGATATTCCCAATAAGATATCCTTAAACAAAATATTTCGATATGATATAATGATGGGAATTCCATTCTTTTATATAAAAAAAAGCCATAAGAAATGTTTATACCCGAGTCAATAAAATCAGCTCTAATTTCGTTAGACACCATTTTTTATCAAAATAATCCTGAATATTTTATCTAAAAGTTTGGTTAAATAAATGTATTTAAAAAAACAAAAGCTCTATATGATATGAGCGTGAATAGAGGTGTGTTACAGCAAAGACAGAATGGTATTATTTTTCCAAGACCAAGAGTAAACGATGCAGCTCATAGCTGTAGTTATTTACGCAAACACTGTACACATACAATATTGTTCATACTGTAAACATAATAATGTATACAACTGTATATATTGTACTCACCAGCAGATCCTGTCATCTTAGCCTAGAGCACGTAGACGCTTCACTCAGCTGACTGTAATATATAACTGTAATCACATCTTAACAGTTTTCTGGACTTGCGGCGTCTTCAACCTTGTGCTGTGACCCCTTGTGGGGCGAGCGTCTGCCAGCTCCAAGTAAGGACTCTCGACTGAGTTTTTACACCTCAATTTGGTCATCCCTTGCTGGTCTGTAGTATAAGCTAGGTAGTTGCAGGCGCTTTAATATCTCTGGATAACTGAGGTTCGAAGTACAGGCACCAGTCTGGTGACCCTCCTTTGGCCATTTTCAATCAACACTGAGTCTCTAGCATATCTCGGAGAGTTCCAGACGGGGAAGCACTTCACTCTTGAAGATCGTTACGAGGGACGGACCATCTAGATATCTGAACGACCTTCTTTTACAGTAGTTGCTTGATCCAGCTTCTTCTCACAATGGTCCGAGAACTTCAGTTTATTGTCAACATACACACCCAGGTCCTTTTAGCATTTGGTCTCTATTAATGCAGTTTCTTTGTCCCGTTGGGACATATGATAGGCCTCCTTACCGTTGGTATGACCCAGGTGTATCCTCTTATACTTTGTGACATTGAATCTTAACAGATCTCTCTTTGGCCACTTTTGAAGCTCACAGAGATCTTTCTGCAACTCTACATAGTCTGTTTGGTTCTTAATTTCCCTGAATAACTTGGCATCATCCACAAACATTTATATGGAGGAGTGTATAGCTTCTGGCATGTCATTTAGGAAACAAACAAATAAATAACAGGCCCAATATAGTGCTCTGTGGTACCCTGCTTGTCATGGGTACACATGACGGTTTTGTACCATTAATCACCACACACTCTGCTTGCATTCATGCAGGAAGTCTCTGATCCGCACTAGGACACTTCCCCGATCCCGTACCTTTCCAGTTTAATTCTCAGTCTTCCATGGGGTACGCTGTAGAAAGCCTTGGCAAAATCTAGGTAGTATATATTGTCAATATTGCCACCCTGTTCCAAAATTTGGATCCAAACTTCTAGTACATTGAGTAATTGTGTTAAGCAGGAGCATCCTGGCATAAAAGTGTTGGCAATCCTTTACAAGGTTGTTTCATAGTAGATGTACCATCATGGCATCTCTTATAATGCTCTCAAGTACTTTACACACTGTGCTGGTCAGGCTCATTGATCCATAATTATTCGTGGACGGTCGTCCTTCTTGAATATAAGACTCACATAAGCCATTTTCCAGTCACTGGAGACCTTTTGCTCATCCAAGCATTTACAGAACAGGATTTTCAGGGGCTCAGCTATCTCTTTGCATAACTCTCTTAGCACTCTGGGATGCACCATGTCAGGGCCGGGACTCTTATGAACCTTTAGCTTGACAGTTTATTTCTTATACCCTCTTCTGAGAACACAATGTGGATCAGCACTGTGTTAAACCGTCTGTCCTCAAACGCAGGAAGATTTTTCACATCCTTTTTTGTGAACACCGAGGAAAAGAAACTGTTCAACACCTCCGCCTTGTCCTGGTTAGAATCTGCATAATTACCATCAACAAGCCTCAGGCCCGACACACCTACTTGCATTTTTAATTTCAACCTTGAGTAGCGGTAAAACACCTTTGGGTTTGAGTTGACCTCGCTCGCTTGGTTCCTGGATCTGGTATACATCCTCCTGTCCTGCTCATCATTGTTCCTTCCACACGTCTCGTATTTGTTTTTCTTCTAAACTTTGTTGACCGCCACAAGGTTCATGTACAGCGGTCTTCTTGTATTCATGGAGACACTGGGTTTAGTCTTGGGTATATATTTATTGATCAAATAATTCACTTTACTGGCCATGATATTCAGCATAGTGTCTGTGTTCTTAAATCTTGGTGAGTCAGGTCAGTGGATACCCCTGATCTCCTCCCTTATTCCATAGTAATTACCCTTGCAAAATTTAAACCTTGGCCTGGTTTTGTCGTGAACCAAGTAACAGTTACGGGTAAATCTAAAGAACTACATTATGTGGTGACTGGTGCCAACGGGGGTTAGGTGTTCCAGCTTGGCCACCACACCCTCCTCGTTAGTTATGATGAGGTCCAGTGGTTTGGGTGTTTGCTCCCCTCTGTAATGAGTCAGATCTTTAATGTCCATTAATTTCAAAGCAGCTAATTTACAGAACTTGGTATCTATTTAGGTTCAAAGAAATGAAAGTGGGAGAGGAAAAGTAAACCAGTATTCTTATTGCCTTTTAAATGACTTACATTGTGTGGGTTTGTTACATAAGACAGTACTTGTTATACATGACAGCACTTGAATAAGAGAACATATTGTGTACAAGACTCTCACTAGTATCTATTAAACCTCATTTAATATCTTAGCATTTTACACTTTAAGCAATTACTACTGCACATGGTATAAATTCAAAAATTTGTGGGCATCATCAATCATCAGCTACCTTGTACCTTTGTGTCATTTCCTCTGGAGCACAGCATACTTCAGTCACACTCGGTATATCTCTTACATTTCCTTTTCAGATTCTTTTCAATTTTTATCACTAAATTAACAACATTTAAACTTGCATGGCATTACCCTGTACTAATAATGTTCTTACTCTTGCCCACAACACACTGCTGCTAAATATACATTAACTCTGAAACTTCCATCTTTATATTTAATACTGCAGACACTAATCAAACAAAGATTTAATTATTTTTTTTAACAGTATTCTCTGTTGGGAGGAATTATTGTTCACAAACAGGTAAAGCTTATGAACCCTGTTTTACATTTAAAAGGCATGTACTGTACTGTACTATAATGCACTGTACTGTACTATGAACACAATGATACACTGACTTAAGACCATACTTACATGAATTGTACCTCTTCTATAATTATACATTGGCAGTATTTACTCATCACATTGATTTTTGGTTGCGGACTTCAAGAAATCATGTACCGTATAACAAAATATTAATATTGTACTGTACTATAGAACCACCACAGAAGAGACTGAAACAATACTTTTTAATATTCATGTTATTTAATAAAAAATAGTAACAAACTAAAAGTTATCCATTTGGCTTTTAGCTTATTCTCTCAGACATCAGCAGTCAAAGAAAACATTGCCTCATTTGTAAAGTACAGTAACCTTAAGACACCTATTTAAATACATATACTACTGTAAACTGTACTGTATTTGTATCAAAATGCCCACAAGTTAAATATTTTAATTTAACCAATTTTTTTACATTTTCTTCCATTATTCATCAAATATTACTCCAAAGATCTCAGGGGTATAACAGTGCCTAAAAAATTTAAAAACAAAATCATAAAACTAATTAATATCAGCTAGACTCCAATAAATTTAAATAAAAAGCAAGAGGTTTGCTTTACCATTGTATATAATTCTATTTGTACAGAACTGAAAATGGAGGACTTAGCCGGCTGAAATGGTGCTTAGAAGTAAGGAAAATGTAAGCATTAAGCAAGTTATCTTAACATACACTTTATCACATACAGGTTGGCTGTATAAATATATCACCACCATGAGAGGTTTTCCTTGTAAATATACAGTATTGTCACACTAAGACATTTTATAAGTAAATATATATTGCCTCCTTACCATGACTATATATTTGTCACCTACAAAGCACGTACAAGTATAAACATGTACATTATACTGTACTTAGCCTTCCTTATAGAAGCTCTATGAAGAGGATTTTATCCAAGTACTGTACAGTGATCCATATACATAATAATGCAGCCTTCTACATAGAAATCACCAAGATATTCCTGTAAACAGACTGAATGAGGTTGTGTAAATATGTAGATGAATGTTTTGCAATTTAAGGTGCTAAAAAGGATCGCCTAGACATACATAAAATAATCACCCTGTAACAATACTGTCAAGAACACATTTTTTGATGGGTACAAGTATTAAAATTTTTTATGTTTGAAAATATGTTTGACAAATTACAAGAGACTAATGAAAACCTTTTTAAGAAGTGCATTTTATAGTGGTAATGTTAAAATTATAAAGATTTTGGAAATATAATAAATAAGTTACATACAGCACTTGCAACCACACACACATATATATGTTCTTCACTTACCAGAAGTCAACGATAAGCAGATTCATGAGGGCCACCACAAGAGAGAGACTTCTATGTTTTAAAAACTTTCCACAATAGGATCTAATTGATCTTGATAATATCTAATATGCACAGTAACCATTGTTAACCTGGACTTGATGTGACGTGATTCACATCAAGGCAAAAATCAAACACATGGCTATTTTTATCATTGCATTTACACTCGTCTCTGTGGACCAAGACAGTTTCCGTGCCATATTCACATAGCACTCCCATGGTGAGAGGCACCAATATCTCACATCATTAATTACAGCCTAATCTACATCAAATAATGTACACTGCACTAAAGCTGTTATTGTACCACAATATTACATTAATTGACTATATGAGGGGAATGAAAGGTCACTATACGTACTGTATAAGGAGCAGTGGGAAGTGTGGGGTTGTTGGTGGAATGTATTATACATTTACCAGCCTTGTCAGAGAAATACTTGTAAATAATTAATACATCAACTCGTAAACCTATATAATGTTAAAGTTTGCATTTTAGCATATAAATGATGTTAGATGAGTTAGACATGTGATTTCCCAGTATATAATGAATTTGAGTTTGTCCAATTATACAATTCTTTTATGGAAACATACATATCTGGGAAAAAAAAAGTGAGTTTTTACTGCACAGTACATGAATGTGCCACCAAGTAAGGTGCCTATTAGCTGATAGGATTTAAATGACCCCAAGTCCTAATAAAAGTGATATTTAATGACATAAGATTTAGGGTAAATTTTCATTTGCCATAACATATAGGTCTTAACCCTCCACCTGGGGCTTGTGACAAATTTGTTGCGCACTATAAGCACCATTTTCACAGGAAATGAAAGTTCTTAAATAAAATATAGAGTATTTTCATCTCACAAAATAAAGATAAGCATGCAGGCTAATGGGAAACAAAAAAGTAAATAATTTATCTAGTATGATTCAGCCATGGTGAAATGAATGATTGTGGGTCACTAAGAGACATAGATGAATGTACTTCCTCCCTGACAACTGTGTGTGTATTGTACAGAGATGCTAGGAGTCTAGGGATGGTGTTGGACTACCTAGAGGCATTACTTGACACACAATTTAAAAAATTTACACCAAAATCTTGGTAGCCTGCTGGTATATAGCAGCTAAAGGTCAAGGCATGGAGGCATCAAATTTTTAGTACACACCGATTAAAGTTTAGCCCAATCATTATAGTATTTTACATTAATATTGCACTAACTTTTATTAGGAAATGGGGCTTGATGGACCCAAAACTTTATGGAACATTGGACTAAAACTTTATTTTTCACTTTATTGAGTCTTAATAAGCTATGGGGCTCGTTGGGCTGTGAGCTAATAAGACCGTGTGTTCAGAGAAACATGAAGATTTGGCCCTGTACTGTGTCTCAACTTATTGTCATCCTTAGTTTTGAGCTCAACCTTCATTTTCCATTAAAGTTATAACTTACGTATGTCCTACTGGTCCCCAAACTTATTGGCAAATTGAGATTTAGGTTCAATATCCTTTTACCTTGATACTGGATCTTACAAGGACATGGAGCCCAGTGGGTCCCAAATTTGGGTTTAATGATGTTGATGATGACGACATTAATGACTGCACAATTAAAACCAGAAATGCTAAATTAAGGGAAAATTTAGTCCATTAAGAGAACATTCTCTATTATCCAGATATGTGGGTTTATAGTGTGCATACGCAAATTTGCGTATGAAGTAAAAATAAAATTAAAATAAAATAATTTTTTTGCGTATGAATGCTAGAGACGCAAGACGTACATTTGGCAACTATGTAGACTGCATTCCAAGGTCACTACACCAGTCTCCCAGTTGTGTTTAAAGGACCCAGGATATTAGGTTGACTTACATTTCCCATGCATTTTGTTGCGTCTTGTGCTGTTTTCTCGTGCATCACAATGATTTAATTTATTTATAACAGTGTTGTGAGAGTTTTGAACCATGCCTCGTGTTGCTAACAAGACGGGGGGGGGTGTAAAAATTGCAAAGAGATTGCACCATATAGTGAAAGTGTAGTGCCTCCTGATGCCTTTCCCAAGCAAAATATTAATTAATATTAATTTTTTCACAACTTTTCCTGTAAAACTATTTATTCATAAATATGTATACTTTATAATGGAATAAGATTCACATTGCAATCACATGAAAAAACAAAGGTATAAAGTGATGTATAAACATTTATATTAAGCGTAAACAAAAATGTTGTGTTCTACTCGCCCTCACGTATAAAAATAATTATTTTATCGTGATCACCTTTACAAAAGTGCTTGTAGATAAATTATTTACAATATTAATCCAACAAATCCCACCTTTTCATCTCAAATAGCAACCTTGCTATGACTCATTATGCACAATTATCTCTTGTGTGGCTCAGTCAAGTGGAGTGAGGTGAGTAGAGTAACAGGCCAGACCCCAAGTGTCTCACAGGAGAACTCCTACCCAAACCCAAGAGTGTTAGTACAAGAATGCATGGTGGCCAGATACAAAAGCAACTAAAGCATATACAATACACATATTCTCTTAATTCATTCTCGCTGCAGTAAAAGATGTGTTCAGCAATGATACTCCCTTACCACAACAAGTCTCCAAAACTGGTTTAACCCCGTTGCTTCACAGTATTTTATACCGATATTTATATAATATTTGTGATTCTGTTTTCTACCCACGAAATTGCATTCAAATCCTCAATGTCTCTTCATCAGCTCTCTCTGTCAAGACCATCCAATTTGTGGAATACCTGACAGTAAAAATGTCAAACATTTCTTGCTTTTTTTTACTACAGTATGCAAGATAATTTTACTGTAAATAATGGTCTTAATCATTAATGCAAACAGTAATTACAAAATATTTAGTTAATTCCTGACATTACAGTGCAGATTCAGCCAATATACTGTATAACCTCCCTTATTCCATTTGGATACAATATACTGTATACAGTATATAAGAACTCCTAATAGATTTCACATGCTCCTCTGAAGGAAACTAATTTCTTTAAAAAGATAATTACCCGGTAAGCATATTTCAGGTCTGGGATTAAGATTTATATTTTTTTATCAGTATTTTGTACATTTTTAAGATAATTCCTGAGTGAATCCTTTAAAGTATTGCCTTATCTTATAGTCTTATTCTATACTGTCCTGTATTCTACTGTTCATTGTGGAATGATAATGTAAAATGTGAAAATTTAATATAGAGAAGGCATATTCCTCGGAGGAGTAAAATATTCCATTCTTATTAAATATGTATAGTAATATATATATCACAATATGGGCATGGTCTCCCAGTAACACAGAAAACCTTCACACAACATTATTCTGCATGTACGCAGAAAGCTAAGTAGACGAGGAAGAATAAACATCAGAATTGTTCTCTTCCTGTAATACTGTACTTTACTAACTAATTCTGCTCAGTTACTATTGGTATTCAACTACTGAATTTTAAAGCAATCTTCGATTCTTCAGTCTTACAGTTAAACAGGTGGTAAGAATATTCATATGTGTGAGTAAACTGGAGACAGTAAAAGGTACAAATGTTGGAAAATTTCTTTCATGGAAGATGTTTTTATGTGGCTATATAAAAAGGCTTTATATAGAGATAAAGGTATATATATCTACATTTGCATTCTTTACATAATGTCTGTGTTCCTTGGATGTACTTACCGTAAGCTTGGATCACACAATGTTTTAGAACTGAAAGACAACAACTATAAAATGACCTGAAAATCAGGTACAAAAAAATTTGTAAACCTTATTAAAAAAATTTTTTTTAATATTATTTAATGAAAGAGTAACTTTTGTTTCCCCTTTAAAAGCTTCCTCTTTGTAATATATGTAAACAAACTATCAAAGTTGTACAAATAGTTGTCTTGAAATATAGAACTCGCAAAGTAAAGGCTAAGTTTCATATAAAATTATAATTAACTGCTCAGATTACCTCAAAAGGAGAAAAAATAATCATATGACTAGTTGGTCTGAACCAAGAACTCAATTACATTATAGACTAACAGATAAAAGTTAAATATTACCGGGTGCCTAACAAATCTTTACCATGAGATCAGCGTTAAAATATTTTCTAATGCCATTTAAGCTGAATAGTTTTCAAAAGATTAAAGTAAGACTAACAATGTTTCCATTTTTTACAGAAATAATTTGTTCTTACTGTATATACTGTATTTGTTTCAATAAGTTTTCACTTTAAAACCGGAGTTAAAATAACTGTTACTTTTGAAAATGATTCACGTTAAAGAACACAAGAAAAATTAATGTTTTGGGCTCATGTATTTACTACATAATTAATTCCTTCCTCCACATAAAGCCAAGAATATTATTACAGCTTCTCTGTCCGCCCTTAACAACTATCCATTACATTAAAAATACTCAACATGAAGAGATTCAAGGGTAGCACAAAAATTCACAGATATAAAATCCATGACACGTTACTTAACTAATTTCAATGGCAACAAGAACTAGTCAGAACAAAGATACCATATATTATTCTCTTAAGGATTTGTAATATCACATCAGTGCTGACACATCAACACTGATGTAGCATGACGGCTCGGAGGGCGTAGAGAAGTTCAGACTGAAGACGAGCTTCCATAACTACTACACTGGTCTCAATCTGGAAAAAATAAAAAAAATAAAATAATAATAATAATAATAATAAAAATTTCTACAACCAGTACTTATAGTTAAAGCTTAAACAGAAAATTTACACGGTAGCATGGGTAGTGGTAGAGCATTAATTTAGTGATCTTTTGCTCATTTAGTCCCAAATTAAGGGACTCTAGCCATTTTAGTTATTGGACATTATAAGTGCATACTATAAATAATACAGGTGCAGGTGTACCCCAAAACTAACATATATAGGGACTGTGAAGAGTCGTTAGTTAGTGAATCAACAGTTATTGAAGCAATAAATCCCATAAGAACATAACAAACTCAAGGAGTTGGGGGCTGGCCACCCTCCAAAAACCCCATCTACCCTTGATATATATCTGTTGTGCACACTCTCAAGGAAGGAAATAAAGCAGACATATAAAGCAAGCACAATAAGTCTGAACTAAGGAATGTAAAGCACAAATTGAAACTGTTATTTACATGTGTTGAGGATGGTAGAGACAGTCTAGGGTAACAAGTTCAAGTCTCAAACACTCTTTACTCGTCCATCACCACTCTTATTACACTTTGTCACATCACATCAAGCGTTTAGGCATAATTGCATAACACACCAAGTCGGAAATAATAATAAAAAAACAAAAACAATAAGTCAGTGACACATGGTAAGTATAAACAAGAGCACAGAGGCAGTGCGCAGAGCTTTCTCGTGGCAAGAATTCCCACCATGCCACCAGCCGCCAAATTCAAAACAGCTCTGCTTCTCCTCTCCAGATCCTCAGATCTCCAGGGCATCAACTATACTTGTGGGGTATTTCCCCTATATTTAATCATCGATTATGTGAAGCAGGGGTTATTAGGGGCGTCGGTTTTTGGGGTATACCTGTATACAGTAATATGTTTTCACATGTACGCACTTACTGTTCATACGTTGGCGTTCCTAATCGTCTCGCCTTATTTCTTTACCTAGTGGTCAATTTATTAACATTAAATAGCATTACTTAAAACAAACATACAGGTATTCAATTTGTTTAAATAAGTTCAGTACAGCTACAACCAGGGTCTTATTTTCTTTAGTTTCTTGTGTAGAACCATCGTCACTCACGAAAACAATGACGTCTTGTCTCCTCATGTGTGTTTTAATATTCTACATATTATTAATGAATTGCATTGTTCATTTCACATATATAAATATTAATTCAATCAAATACACATTCAGTAACAAACAATTGTGAATCTTTTGGACATATTTTTAAGATAAATGACTATGTTTCCTTCAGTGCACACATATACATTGGGTGGCAAACACTGACAGCAATGTTGTCTCTTATCCTTTTGTGTGTTTCAATATTCTACGTATTAATGAATTGTATTGTTCATTTATCATATAAAACATTAATTCAATCAAATACATATTCAGTCATAAACAATAATGAATCTTTTGTACATATTCTTAAGATAAATGACGCGGTATCCTTAAATGCGCACGTATATGTTGGCGTTCCCAATCCATCTCTTTTTTTTTCTTTGCCATTAGTGGTTAGTTATTTTGATTGTTCCATTTATTAACATAAATAACATTACTTAAAACATATATATTAATTTTTTTTACATTAAATTTACTACAGTTACAACCAGGGTCTTGTTTTCTTCATTTTCTCGTGTAGAACTATCATCCCGGACTCCCGGCTGTAAACACAAACGAAAACAATGGGGTCCCATCTCCTCTTGTGTGACCATATTATTATTCATTTATATTGTACAAGGTGCATTCAGAAACATTATTTAAAGAATATAGTTTGCACTTTTCATTAATTGTATTGTTTTGGGGGGAAAGGAGGGTAAAAAGCCACACAAAAGATATGAAAAGGTCATACTTGGGAATGCATCTCATTGTATTGCTTTATTTTAATGGTAATTAAGGATTCGCAATAAAACGATTCACTTTACACTGCAATATTGGAAGACACAGTAACATCATTATTCGAGGCTTTACTGTACAGGTAAAGGAAATTACTGTCTCCAGAACGAATTGCTCCCTGTCCCAGCCGCGAAAATGCCGGCAACTTTAAAACTATCCACAGACATTCTTGGGTACATCCAGGGTGTCATCCGCAAATAATAGAGGACCACGAAATTAAAATCCACAAACTTGGAGGCCCCCCCCCCCTGTACATTTCTCCATGAAAACAATGATTTACTGTACAGCTCCTCCCCAACTTACGACCTACTCGACTTACGACCACCCGCACTTACGACCTGCCTCAGTCATACCAAAATTTTGTCAAATTACGTATTTTCGAGTCCCAACGTCAGTACACAGACAAAATTTTCGTTTGTAGTTCACTTTAAAATAGTTGGCAAGCTGAAAAGTGAGAGTTTTTGGTGCTGAGAATAAAAAGAGACACCCATTTTAGATTTTCTATGTATTATTTAAGCATTTTCGGCTTACAACCTGGATTTGGGTCCCTAACCCCGTCGTAAGTCGGGGAGGAGCTGTATATTAAAAGTGAGGTGCCGAGTGCTACAAGATACGAAGCGCCACCCCACCAAAACTGAGTTATAGTATTAACTGTACTCCCCAACCTTTCCTCTATATGCAGAATAACAAACTGTCCTGGTAACACAATATTTATAAGGCTGAGAGCCATATGAGTGAATATAGGTAAAAGAGTCTCTACAGCACATGATCTGCGCCTCCAGGCGGACTGAGGGCAGAGGGACAAGTGCCCATGGCCCCCAATCGTAGCCTCTTTTGCTCATAGCGACTCATTATTTTACAGTTTATTAGCCAATGGGAGTCCATGTTTCTACAAAAATGTCATAGGAATGCTGTGTAATAACACTTGAACCCTTTTTTTTTTCCAACTGGCAAAAAGGAGAGAGAGTGAGGGCCATTGAGAGAAAACTACACAAAACAGAGAGGGGAGGGTGAAAAGGTGTGGGAGTGAGGGTTGGTGACATGTGGCGTGTCATGTTCCGGCCTGTCAGAGTGACGAGTCTTAAGTAACTGCATTTTTTATTATAATTTTGGTAATACCTTGTATTGTTTGCTTTTATGCAAACAGTCCAATGGCCTTTGACTTTCTGGTGTGGTCTTAATACATTACTGCTTGCATGTAATGAAAATTATATCTCAACAATGGATATTAATGAAACTGCAAACATTACCCATCAAAAACAATGTAATTTTTTAAATTAATATGACTTAGTATCTACAAAACCAGGCTTAAGAGCTCTACACACTACCACTTGAATGAACCCAATATCTTCATTGGTTCAAAAGTTACATCATTTTGAATTTTTCCAAACTTTAAGAGTGTTTTTCTTGATTGTGATTTTTGCCGCTTGGTACCTTATCGCACTCGACTCCTCAAGTACTGTAGCTTGACCTTGTTCACATAATTATGAATATACACTAAGCCAAAAACAACTTTCAACAGTAGAGAGAAAATATAGAGAAAGATAGAGAGAGGAAGGAGATATGTACAAAATATTTAATTGGAAGAAATTCCTACAATTTACTTACCATGTGAGCTTGGACACTGTTTGTGGATGAAGGACTTGAGTGAACATCAGCAAGGCTCTCTGGATAACAACAAGCTGCCTTAACAAATGCCTTAACTTGAGGATCCAAATGTTTATTCAGGTCAGCATAATCACAGTCATCATGGTGTATACCTAACAACCACTGTTGGAGAAGAATTAATATATATATATATATATATATATATATATATATATATATATATATATATATATATATATATATATATATATATATATATATATATATATATATATATATATATATATATATATATATATTGTACAATGATAAAACAATCTAAAAATTACCATATCATCCTCAGAGCACAAACCACTACTCTGCATCTTGCATCTCAACCAAAAGTGCTTCAGATCTGAATGATGTAGAGAGAGGGATCCATCTAGGTCTCCATTAAGGTGCACAATGGGGAGTAAAGCACTGGTACGGTAAGTGAGATGGAAATGATTCACCTCTTTTACAGCCAGCTTAGAATTTTGACCAACTTTTGAGAAATATTTCCTGTCTAAATAAATTCTTCCTTGACCAGCTCCCAACCTTAGTGCCAAGTTCCTCAAGACTGGTTTAAAATTCTGATATATTTTTGTCCTGTACAGCAGTGATTCTCAAACTGGGGTCCGTGGAAAGTTTTTGAGAAATAGTGCGTTTAACGTTTGTGAGAGATTTGACGATTCCAATTCGCAGGATATTTTGGATTTGGGTTGAAATGAACAAATGCTGTGGATTATGGTTTCTTTGATTATTGACAATATTTGTATGTGCCATGGTATATAAGGGGTCCTTGGTGGAAAAAAGTTTGAGAACCCCTGCTGTACAGTACCCATTAAAAAAAATAAAATAAAAAATTCAATAATATTTTTTTGGGATCAATGTACAACCATTATACATGATACACCTACAGCCAGACTTCTTATAAAGGACATGATGCAACTACAGCTAGACCTCTTATAAAGGACATGATACAACTACAGCTAGACCTCTTATAAAAGTTATGATACATCTTCAGCCATATCTCTTATAAAGGACAAGATACATTTCTAAGGAGTGTCCATGAAGTGATTAATCTGTTATAAAATGTCATTATAACATGGTGCATTTTGAGATGTATTCCCGAGTGTCAATTTTTACCCTATAATGGTACAGGAGACCTTCCTTGGGTAATAGAAATGGCTCTGCAGATGTTATTATGGCTTTTTTTTTTTTTTTTAGAAAATGAAGACACTGTTAACTTAAATAATATATGAAACTAAATTTAACCAACATTCACCAGTTAATTTTGTCGTAGCTTGCTGTTTTGTCTATCACCACTGTCTCGCTCTTATTGCTACCTGTATTTCATAATCAGTCCTAAAATACCTCACACACATGGACATGCACCCTCTCACATAGACACAGAGATGTTACCTCAATAAATGGTACACAACTATGTAGCACAGCCCTGCAACACTCCAAAACATAATGCTCTAAGGGCATGTTAGACACTAATTACATAGTATGAAGTTAAGATTGAACAAAACTATGGGGAAGTTTGTAGAATGGAAAATTTTATGAAGAAAAATAATTTGAAATAATGAGAAATAAATAAGAGAATCTGAAAGCAAGTGTAATGTCCACTTAGTGGAGATGATGAGTGAGGAAGTCATGGTGACCAGTAAAGTGAGCAATGAGGCTAGTAAGCTAAGTACAACAGTTGATGGAGTTCTCAATATACAGCATTCTGAATAAATTCCTGCACTTACTACCCTAAAGGGAGAAGCATTGCATCTTGAAATGGTGCAGCTCACTCACCACTTTGTGCTGAGTGTAGTGGGTTCCTTAGATGTGTGGGCTCACTCACAAGCCCCTTGAGCCTTACCACAGAAATCAATGTTAAAGAGCTAATAAAGTTTTATATTTTAACACAAGTGAAGTGCTCCTAGCCAATGATTAGTCACACTCTGATGTGACAGATAAGGCTTAACACTTATTACTATTAATGACCGACACAAGTTATGATTCAACAGAATGATGCCTTCAGTACGGTACATGGTATCCCATATCTTCTATACACAATCCTTTTGATATATATATATATATATATATATATATATATATATATATATATATATATATATATATATATATATATATGTATGTATGTATGTATGTATGTATGTATGTATGTATGTATGTATGTATGTATGTATATATATATATATATATATATATATATATATATATATATATATATATATATATATATATATATATATATATATATATATATATATATATATATATATATATATATATATATATATATATATATATATATATATATATATATATATATATATATATATATATATATATATATATATATATATGTGTATTAAAAAGTTATTTTAGATGCCCATCTATATATTGCTTCTTCCAATGGAAAATTGTTGGAGCTGGTCCTTGGCTGCAATTTGGAATCTGCTAGAAAATGTTATATTTCATATACTGTGCTGTACTCTAAGTAATTAATTCTTATGCATTCATTACCTGGACATAATTCCACAGAGCTTTTGTTGGGAGTGGCAAGGTCTTCGCATGTGTTTTGTCACACTGAGTCTGACCTGACACTGGAATAGTTTCTTGATTTACATTTCCTTTCTTGGGAGGCTGTTTTTGAGGACTTAAATGGGTTGATGAGAGGGCTGATGTGAAGCGTTCATCTAGGAAGGCACCAACCTCTCCTAAAAGCCGTGAGCACATTGCATATCCATGATCTTGCCAATTGTACTCCTGTAACAAATAACAGTACTTTAATTTCAAAATCTAAATTTTCAACATTAACAATCTACCCGGGAACTATAATGTGCTTAATAAGAATCCCATTAACTCTCATCCTTAGGCAAATTTCAAAACCCAGCCCAGTGATGGTTGAGATAGAGAGCTCCAGTAACCTAAGGACCAAGGCTGTGCTGGATAACAGAATATTCCATTAGATAAAGAGTTGATATATACAGCACAATATGCAGCAACTGTCGAGAAAAAAAATCCATTCTAAAAGCACCAGAGCCTACAGGTAGTTTCCAAATTTGCTGATTACAGAATTTTAAATTCAACAATAGGTTTCGATACTGTATACTTACATGGACAGAAAAAGATGGGATGCGGGATTCATCATTGCCATTAAAGTCTTCATAGGTTAAGGTTGGATTTACTGTAAGGTGAGCATATGCTCGTATTCCATGTCTGGTACTGTCTCCTGCTTTACCCTTTTTAGTTTGTGATCTGAAATTTAAATTATACCATATTATTTATGTAAACATACTGCATGTCTTGCATGATCTTGGGGGCAGGTTTGGTGCAACTCCCTCCTATTCTAGAGATGTGGGGCCAGTACCTGTAACCCTATCTTCTGGTACTGAATGGAAACAAACGCAAATTTACGTGGGATATTAGAATCTGTAAAAAATAAAAGAATATATATATATATATATATATATATATATATATATATATATATATATATATATATATATATATATATATATATATATATATATATATATATATATATATATATATATATATATATATATATATATATATATATATATATATAACTTTTACTTCTACTTGAATAACATTTTGCCAAAGTAACAATACTTTTACTTCAGTAACAAGTCCGGTACTTTTACAACGCTGACTAACTCACGGGGACGCAATTTTTTTTATTCTCTATGTTTTTGACCTTATTATAATAATTTATTTTATTTTTATTCTTACATTCTATATGAAAGATTGTGTCCATTTAACAAAGTTAAAAAAATTAGAAAATTATGTTTGTCTCCCAAAAAATTACTTGTAGTGACAACTGGAGATTCACAACTTACTACTGTACACATACATATCATGTAAGGTAAATGAAAATAAACCTTAATTTCGTATAAATTCATTGTTTTTGTCCTCATTTGGATAAATTTATCAGTTTTAGATCTATTTACAAACGATTTGAGTTATATAGACATTGTTTAATCTTTACAGCAGCAGGATATAACACTTGTCTGGGCTCTTCAGGGGGGCTCAGGAATGGAACCCATTTTTTCCCACAAGATGTTAATATCAATACAGGTTGACAATCCTTTATCCGAAATCCTTGGGGCCAGAGGCATTTCGGTTTTCGGAATTTTACGGTTTTCAGAATGGTTATTTTTTTTTTTTTTTTTTTTTTTTTTTTTTTTTTTTTTTTTTTTTTTTTTTTTTTTTTTTTTTGTGTGTGTGTTAGCCCACCCGGGCATAGATCACTGACCCACATTGGGGCCTGGGGGTCTAAAATATAATAAAAATTATAATAATGATAATAATAATTCATAGGTCTAGGTTGTGTTTCTCACTTTTGATCTTTTATTCATTCTTGTATTTCTTTACTGTATTATTATTACAGTATTATTGTTATTATTATTATTATTAATTTTATTATTATATTTTATTATTATTATTATTATTATTATTATTATTATTATTATTATTATTATTATTGTAATCATTATTATTTTATTTTGGTGTATAATTATTAAAAAATTTATTTACTATGAATAATTATTATTATTATAATTATTATTACTATTACATTTTTGCCCCCCAGGCCCCGATGTGGGTCAGTGATCTGTGCCTGGCTGGGCTAATAATCCCTGTAAAAAAAAAAAAAAAAGCCCCACAAAAAACTTTCGGTTTTCGGAATTTCGGATAAAGGGTTGTCAACCTGTATATGATCGATCATCTAGTGAAGGCTTTATTGAGGTCCCTAACCCCATCATATAACGGTCATTATCTCTATATAAAAGTCATGCATCTGTGATTTTTTTATGCATAATTTCCGAGTTAATATTCAAATGGCAGAACAAGTAAAATACATAACCCCGTAACTCAGGTACAGTACATACAGAATTAAGTGTGAGTAACATACAGCACTGAAATATATCTTACCTGGAGATCAATTTGCAGTTTACATTGGAGTTGGTACCATGGGGAGGTTCTGGACAACCCTGTCTGCTTTGCAAAGCTGTTGTGGTAGGTTTACCATTGCTGCAGTCTTCTCTTTCAACCACTTGTCCTAAAGAGATAAATGCACAATAAAATAATTAATTACAAGTAGCTATTTAAGAAAAAAATAACAATGGAACAGTTTCTGGCTGGCATATACACGTACATATATTATACAGTGACCCCTCCGTTAACGAACTCAATCCGTTCCAGAAGGTCGTTCGTTAACCGAAAAGTTCGTTAACCGAAACCATTGTTTCAATGGGTTTTTGGGTAATTGGTTCCAGCTCACCAAAAATTTCCTAAATTCAACAAAAATGGTAGAAAAGTTCACTTACTTTGAGGTGTGTATGTAGAAGGCTCCTGGATGATGATGATGATGATGATGATGGGATTTAGAATGGGGGTGGAGGAGAAGGCAGAAGAGAAGGCATTGGGGTGGAAGAGAAGTCACCCCATGGCGCCATTTCACCCATAAAATTTTAGCTCTCTTGGTGTAATTCAAGATTATTTTTTTTAAATCAACACTGCACTGCATTATATATTGTCAATATGTAAAATATATTTCAAAATGACCAATAATTTGCTTGGAAACACAGAAAAAAAGCGTTTAGTTGAAGAGAGTCACAAGCAAGATGTTACCTCCAGTGAAAACAGAGAGAGACTAACTCCTGTTTGCTGTGTTAAGAGGCTGGATGCCGAGCATTAAACTAGTCACTTTACCTTCAACTATGTTCAATAATTGTTAAAATGACTAAAAAATTGAATATTAAACTTTTAAAATTATTGAATAGTATAAACTTCTTGATATTTACTAAAATAGTAAGGAATTTAAGCCCTAGAACTGATTAATGTATTGGCGGACTGATACTAAAGCTAGTTGCCCGGTCAGTGCAAGCGAAAACATGTTGAGGTCGGTTCGTAAGAACTTCGTTAACCAAATTTTTTTTCGTTAACCAAATTGAAGATCCTTATGGAAGGCAGTTCGTTAATCGAAATTACGTTAACCGAGGTGTTCGTTAAACGAGGGGTCACTGTAATTACCTTAGATAAATAACCACTATGTGATCTCCTTTTATCTTTATTTTTCTGTTAAGAGTATCCTAAGTGCAGTGGGTACAGTAAGGTTTTACTCTACCAGATTCTGTAACACAAGCACTCAGCCTCACCAAACTTCTTTAAATCTTTAATATCTATTCTACCAGTTTGTTATGGTATCCACTTTTAAGTAACCATCAGTATCCACAGCTACCGCAGGAGGTTTCTAACCCAATGCTGGAGAAAAGTTAGCTGCATCAAGTATATCAAGTGGTTTGTGGTTCATATTGTGTGTTTCATTGTGAATAAGTTCCTCAAGAAACAATTTGTTATCATGTACCACACTCAGATCCTTTTCCCTTTCTAACCTCTATAAATCAATTTGCCTATTTTCATTCTTCATACTACAGGTACATACAGTATATACAATATGGCTATCAACTGTGTTATTAATATTGTAGTCATCACTTAACACACTCAGGGAAAAGAAGGCTGAGGAGGCAGTCACACCCCTCATGGTCTGGGTGTAGTCACTCAACTCACTGTGTTGCTAATGTTCAAAAGTATTTATGCAAATATTAATAATAATATTGTAAATAATGGATTTTTTTTATGATCCTGAAGTTAATCAATTCATCTACAATGCATTAAAAATTTTCTTTAAATAAATATTTATTTAAAAAATTGTGATGAATAATACATTTTACATTCAGAAGACTTTACATTGTTCTATGCTTGTGTATGAAAACCTTGTAGGTTAACAAACTTCATGTGCACTTTTACATTGCAATGAATCTGGGGGACTAATCGTCTTCTCCAATTACAGGGTACGCTGCTTTATACAAGTTCATTTTGTACCTGCACAGTGTACTGTACAGTACTGTATAGTTCTGTAGTATAATCACACTTCAGTATGAAATATCTAGAGGTGCAATTGTATATTATGTTAATTCTTTTCAACTAAGAACCTTTGGCTACAATATCTCACTTTATTTCAAGTTTTGTTTGGTGTCAAGTAAGTTATAGAATAAATTTGGGTGTTATCTTGGCAGCCATGAACAAAGTCCATTTTTCCCACATGCAATCTGAATCACCATCTACAATGTTTTCTAGGAATGTTGCCCCCATAGAGGGTGAGATAATTTATATTTCTAACATAAATTCTACCACCTCCACTGGATTATGGCCACACTTAAGCAATAAACCACTTTACTGGTCACAAGTGTTGTCAGTAGTGATGAACATTTGAATGATGTGATGTTCTTGTACCAAGGGCTGACTAATGTATGCTTGGTTTATTGGAGGTTTGGATTTAACAACCAAATCTTAACCCAAATAAATCCAATAAAGTGCAGCCTTACTGCATTACTTTTTACCTTCATCTTTCTTTGAAGATCTGGGAGGGTTAGAGAGTCCACAGCCATGTAGAAAGGTAGCCAGGGCATGGAAGTGGGTCATGATACAGAGAGCCTGGCAGAGTTCACCAAGAGACCAGCTTTCTTCACCTTTTGTTAATTCCTGCAGTGATAATAGACCACAATGTATTTGCTTTAAGTAATATATAAATGTAATTCCCTTCCTATTTTCTCATCAAAGGGTCTCTTTTATCTAACCAAAATCATATATTTAAAATATTTATGAACAATTCTCAACACTGCTGTACATACACTGACATACTGTACTACAGTAATACTAGGGTACTACAGTAATATTATACTGTACATGTAACTAGCTACACTACTTCTGTACAACCAGTGGTACTAACCTGAATATGTTGTGGCATAAGAAGCCAAGGACGATGTGCTAATAGGTTATTAATAGGGACCAGTGCAAAAATTTTAGGTGGGGCATGATGTAATCCAGCAATCCAACGAATATCTCCTCCAGAATTACGAAAGTCTGTGAGCAGTGCTTGCATCAACCACCCAACTTCATGGCGACACACAGCCTATAGAAGAGCATTAATCATTTGTACATGTTAAAAAGTTTTTCATGATACTAATAAATCATATCAAAGATTAGGTCATCATAAAATGATCTTTATACAGGAAGTTGTCGGTTTATATCTGGGTATGTGTTCCAAGAATACATAATATAAATATGAACATCATAGATAGAACATGTTTTCCCATAAACCTTGTGTTATAATTTGGAAATACATTAATGGGATATATTTTCAGATACAATAACCTAACTTAAACTTCACTTAATTAAATACTGTACAATAGAGGAATTACACAAAAATTAACCCCATCATGGTTTTTTGACCCAAATTGCATTGCTAAGAGCTCCCGTGCTGGCGTGACCCCTCCCGCTCAGCCATATCTCACACTGAGAGCACCCTTCACAAAAGCAGAAATGTGGGTACAGTGGACCGGCCCTATCAACCATCTAAGTTCCTCCCACTAGCCTCTTGGGTTGGCAGAAGTGTCTCTAAGGGTGCAATTTGGGTCTGGATCGCTCTACCAAATGTCGACTTGAATGGAAAAACTGTTACTGTTGTATGAAAGACCACAAGGGGTGAGATTTCCAACCATGGCCAGGAATACCAGAGGATTAATGAAATCAATACAGAACACTAATGAAATGAACACAGAAACATGATTAAATGAACACAGACACATGGACACTTACCAAATTAAAACCAAGATTGCATACACCTGGGCAGATGTAACTGCAGGAGTATTTAATTTAAAATTAATTTTGTCATTTCACCACTTAAAAGCTTACTGGCCATTCAGGCAGTTAGCCTGTTCTTTGCTACATTATTTTGAACTTTACAGGAGGAAACTGTAGTACCTGAGGGAAACCTGTAATGTTTTGGTAGGGTTACACTGGATAACACCCTTCTTACATGTGTTCACAGGTTACCACTGTACCATCAACACTTGCAGTAGCTACAGTTTCCACTTATGGGTAAGGGTCCTTTTTCAGATCAAATCTTTAGGTTAAGTTAGGGAGGCCAACTTAAAAATACATATTATTTCCATGCAAGTGCATTAGTTAAGGCATTCTGAAAAGGGGGACATGCTGTGAATAATGCTATAGACCTTGAATCAAAATTGAATAAAAAAAAATTATGTGTATCCAAGCTGAAGGTGACTATTTTGAGATTTTTTTTGTAAACTTAACTATATTTTTGCAGCACATATTCAATAAAAAAATTAAATTATGTGCAAATCACTCTTAAATTTCAACTACCCATTCTTTAAATACAGTTGAGAATTGGATCCCTGTTCATAGAACATTTATGACAGGGTATGACCTCAAAAATAGTTCATGAGGTGCTGACATAGTTATGGGACACCCTGTATACTGCATACAGTATACAGTATATACAGTATACAGTATATACAGTATATACAGTATTCATTTACAGGAATTTAATTTTCTGTGATTACAACAAAAATAATGGAGTTTGACTGCAATAACGAAAAAGGGAGTAATTTAGGTTACTATGGTTACCACACAATATAGAAACTGCAGTACCTGTACCAATTTTCCCTATACTGTACAGTATAAGGCAAGTGCAGTCAAACTCCATTATTTTGTGGTGTAAACACATAATTAAATGACTATAAATGGAACAAGTCATTCATCACTTGAAGACAAGTGTTTACAGTGTATAGTACAGGATATTCTGTATTGTGATCGAATACTTCATTATGACCTTTAGTTTCAGTACTATCAACAAAAAGAGAAAGAAAAGTAAAATATATGCCTGGTGGTATTCAGAATAAAAGCCACGCTTTTATTCTGAATACCACGAGTATGAATCTGTGCATGATCAAGTCAGGTATTCCTCCAGTGCAAGACATTACCGCAAAGAGGAGATGCAAGTTTATGAAATCAAGACATGAGATAATGGACATGGAACAACCTCTTCATTTTGTATATGATTTATGTAGGATAGCAAATACACCGGGATTTAGATTCAGGGCGAGAGCAATTACATTAGACTGTAACACAAACCCATTAGACAGAGTGACGAATCTGGTAACGGAGAGGTCAGCTGGTGCTACAGAATTTGCTACAAATATACCCGATCTGAACCCTTTATGATAGTGCATGAGGTATACTTAAGTAAGAAATTTATCCCGGATTTTCAGCGCGAGTCGTTCACCAGGCTGAGGCTAATGTCACACAGCCTTAAAGTAGAGATAGGCAGGTGGAGTTGCACACCAGCAGAGTTGAGATTATGTCAGTGCGACGACAGTCGTGTACAAAGTGAACGACATGTGCTGATCGATTGTACGCTCTCTACACGCTATCGTGAAAGGCATCATATGCTGACTTTCTCCAGTATCAGTGAACTCTTAAATGAAAATGTATATGTGCCTGAATTATGCAATTATGTACACGAGATACTAGGAATCTATAGTTAAGTTTGAAATTGCCCCTTACATGTTATGTTTTGATTTAAATTATTTTGTTGGACAAATGTATTTTGAATTATTTGTACTGTATATATTTACCATGTATTTATACTTTTGTCAATAAATAACTACTACTACTAATGTGTGTGTGTGTGTGTGTGTGTTAGACGTACCAGAGCAGCAACATAGAGACGCCAGGTGTGGGGTAAGGGGCCATCACCATGGAGGAGGTGGGCATGGCTACGGTACCAGGTGTCACCATAGTCACCCAGGCCGCCCAGCACACCCACTACCCGCTCTGCCCACCATCCGTTCTCCTCTTCTTCATTCCCTTCTTCCTCATTATTCTCACCTTTTTCTCCCTCAGTCTCATCAACTCTCTGTAAACCACAACACAATACTGTACCGGTATACCTTACAGTCTTGAATTTATTATACTATACAATATAATATACTGTATGTACAATACAGTATATTAAAAGCTCATTTTCTCATAATAAATGGCATACAACACATATTGCTACTAAAATCTGGTGTAATACATTGTTAGTACAGTAAAGAAACAAAAGAGACCTTGTTAGTGGGAACAAACTGCTGTGACCCAGTAAAATTTACCTGCTGGAGTTGTGAGTGTTTGGCGAGTGAGTGACGTGGAACATGGCAGGACAGAGTGTGAGCCAGATGGTTCTGTCCCTGTCCAGCTTGCCCCTCGCCCCTACCACTCTGCCTCTGTTGCTCCCCCTGCTGCTGCTGCTGTGCTTGTGATAGGTGCACTGGGCCCAGCTGCACTTGCTGTGTCTGTTGGGGAGATGATGCTGTTGCAGAAGTTGTGGTTGCCTTGCTCACTTGGGTTTCAATGGCTGCCACCTGTAAGATGATAAGAATTGTGTAACATTCACTGAGGACCACATTCCACTGTTGCCACCACCCTCACTAAACACCATTGCCAATTAAACACAGAAGATATAAAAATTCAAAATATTAGGAAAAAAGTCTTCTGCCATTGACATAAAATGGTCTTTTACGTGTAAACTGAATCAATATGATTGTAGGGTGAAAAGTTTAGTCTTTATGCTTATTATAAAACTGAACAAGTGTAAAGTATAAGTACAGTACTGTGCTGTACATGTAACTATTTGGTAAGAATAATTCAACCTGAGCATTTCTTGAAGCACCATCACAACCCGCATTAATGCTGGATAAAGCTGTAAACAAAGTATCTACCGGTACTGTACTTAAAAAATAATTCATGCCACAGAAGCTCTCTCTGAGATTTACTATGGCATGAATCTCACATATGACAAGACACTAAGCCCTTCCTTGTCACTTTATAGTGCGGCCTCTCCTGTCATCCCCCCCCCCGACACATTCTTTCTGACCTAACAGCCATTATCCCAGGCCAAGCAGCAAACAACTCACTCAACATCCTTTTCTGACTTTAACTTCCTTGTTTACCTATATTCACTGGAGTACTTAAAAAAGTGGCACCATTTTTCTGAAAACTTTTACAGCAGCCTTGGCACAAGATTCAAAATCACTTAATTGATATGGAAAAGAAATAACCAGGAACTGCATGTGTTGGAAGATGCATAAATCTCTCCCACCCTTAAGTAAAAGACAGCAAAGCAAAATGCATAGTTTCAAAACAACATCTAGATAAAAAAATGGTGATACAAAAACTTTTGTTACACACCTAAACTAGGTATATACTGTAGCTAGTTATTTCACAGATTTTGGTAGAGAACAAATTTTCCTTTCCCACAAAAGCAGCCCAAATCCACCTCAGGAAATGTAATTTTATGCTTTTTTTCCAGGCTTTTCCTCCTTACTAATTCTAAGTTCAGTCTGATTCTAAATATGGAAAATAGAGTGCAAATTAATGCAGATAACTCAAATATATTCTTTGAAACATTTAAATATACTGTATATGTTAACAATAACCTAAAGCGATAAGGGAGAGACAATATATGATTGCAAAAGTTTGTAGGACAAAAAAATATATTTGGTCAATCAATCATGTGTCACCATGATGTTTGGTGATTGGCAACCACGGTCCTCCAGAATAAATATTTTCTTTATTTATAAAATTTTCCATATATATATATAATGCAGTCACACTAGATGCATTACACCACCCTGTGTGCACGCACACACACACACACACACACACACACACACACTAGGGTGATACAAAGGAACAGACACAAGATAATGGCTTGACGGCAAATATATAATTATTGCAATGGTAACTTTTATCTACATGACAATATATGATATAATGGTTTTGATGGTAAGGTAAGTGTAACAAAAATATTCATATTTGGACAATAGATATTTTTCAAAGATGATTTAAAGGAAGGGAGCATAGTCTTTGTTCGGATGGGTGGGGGTAAGGCCCAAATGCAAGATCAGCCGTGGTGTACACCATGCCATCGTATCCCGGCGGTGGTAATACAATGAAGTGAAAATTTTTTGATTATTCAAGATGGGCCATGGTGGTACCCGACTGTCGTTTGTTGTTACTACGTCATCGTAGTGTAGTCAGGTGTACCAACTGGCGGAGGACTTGGGGGTTGGTATGCTTGCACCCTGAAACGTTGTCAGTGGCACGAAACGTTTGCTCTTGCTACACGATTTAAAAGCATAAAAAACTTGAATCCCAAGCTAAGGTGCACCTCATTTTCCTATTTTCTTGGATTATAAGCCAATTCTGGGAATAAAATACGATCATTTACAGTGAATATAGGTAAATAAAGCCCGTGACAACCATAAAAACGTAGGAATTGAGTGTAATATCTGTTCCTTTCTTCTTTATCCTTATTAAATCTAACAGTAAAGTTATAAGTTTTTCATGAACTTGGGGTTGGGTGAGTGTAATAAAGAGAACTATGGCCTGTTCTGTGGATGAAGTCAGTAGAATATACCAAAGTACAGTACAGTGGCGTATGCTATAACGAACGGATCCTACTACGAATATTCCTATAACGAATGGTTTTACCTATAAAATTGAGAATGCTATAACGAACGAAACTCCTACAAAGAACATTATTTAAAATTTTTTTTTTTTTTTTTTTTACTAATTTATTGTTTTTTTATTACAAGTATTAATGATATTCTTTTTTTCAGGGGTTTAGATGCATATTTATGCACTTTTTTACAATTTTTACAATTTCATATTATATTTTTCAGTGTTAAGTGGTTGTATTTGGGGGCCTGGAACGGATTAATCCTATAACGAACGAATGCTATAACGAACAAGGTTCTAGAACCAATTAGATTCGTTATAGCATACCCCACTGTATTAGGTATTATAATTTTTTTATGACAGTGATGAACTCACTGTACAGATGAATTGGGATAAAATCTTGAAAAAATATCACAATAACTGTTAGTTTTCTATCAAACAGGAAATTATCTTTATACAGGTACCAAAATTTTTACTTTCATATTAGACAAGGCCAGTTATCTACAAGATATGAAAACTTGAGATAATGTTTCCTCCTTTTCTCCACCTGATTATAGTAATGCAATAAATACCCTTTCAAAAAAAACAAGACATGAACACTTTCCCAATGTCAGGAGTAAAAATGTATACAATATGTTAAGACATGGACTAAACCAGAAGTCGGAGAAAAGTCTCTGCTGTTTAAAAAGTCTTTTATTTGGAAAAATATTACATGTAAATAATGTATATGGATCCTCACCAGCGAGCCTTCATATAGTTAGTGTGCAGACATTTGTTTACAAGGCATATACTCAACTATTATGGAAATGAAGACATGTTAGGTTAGATTAGGTTCATCTTGTGAGCAAATGTCATGGAACCCATATACAGTAGGTACAGTCATGAAATTCTACCAACTAATCAGAGACTAATAATATTAAACATAGAACAAGATGATAATTAAATGGTTTAAAAATATCTTCAATACAGTCTGCAATGTTAATTGCAAATCATTCCTGCATTTTTTAATGTTTAATATAAACTGTAATAATTATAAGGATAAAAATACAATGATAATGCTTATTTCAGAATATAGCCTTTATTAAAAGCAGGATATGGTATAATATATGGGTGATCAAGAGTAAAGTATTTTAAAAGGAAAATCATCCACAAATTTCACAAATAAATTAATACGTAATATCCACGCATGTATGCAGTGTAAAATAAAAAAAATAATAATAATTAAGGCATACAGTACGTTATGATTTCTCCACGGTATATGTTCAGAAATTCCAGAAACTGCATTTTTTCTGGTCTATGAGTAATTTGGGGATTTTATGGAAAGTCTCCAAATATTTCTGTTCTGAGTCTGCTAACCAGCTCCGAGGTTAGGTTAGAAAGCAAATTCCAAAATCTTCCCTAGGAACCGGAAAAATTCCCCATCAATCAATTGATACCAAGATATATTTTTTCAGTATTGGTGAAAGGTGAATAGTCAGCTGTATCTCTACCTGTAAGTGAAAATAAAGTCATTAATACCTGTATTGTGTTAGTTAAATTTGCGAATTCTGAAACATCTATATTTAAGAGGGTTAATATTTATAAGTTTCCAACATCTAAATATTGAGGGTAATTTTGTCTGTTAAAAAAAAAAAAAAAAAATTCCAAAGGAAACTCAGATTTGTTTGGTTTGATATGCAACACACTAAAAAAAATTATATATTTTTTTTAATGTATTGTACTGTAGTGTATATTGTTATGGTGACTCCAAAACTTTGATCCTTTTTTTTGGAGAAATTCATAGAACAAAAATTATAACCCCTTTAAAGTTGTAATGATCTATATAAAAATGTTAGCCTAACCTACCTAACTTAACCTAACTGGAAACTGACTTAACTATCAAAAAATAAAGTACAGTATGCTGTCTTTCATATTTTAAAGGTTGGATTAAGGACAAATTCACTTAGGTTAATTTCTGGTTACAGTTAATTAGTCAAGTCTGACATATTTCTGTTGTCATCATTAGAATGTATGTATATCACATTTCTTGAAGATTCATAATTTCATTATCTTTGAATATTCAAGAATTGTAATATAAAAACAATTAACGGTAAAGGGAGTCATACCTGTGATTACTTTCTACAATTATTACATCTAGCTATAATTGAGTGGAGCATCAAGGTGAGTTAGGTAAGATACAAGGAGTTTAAAGATGAAAACGTATTACAGTCTCTCCTCGACTTACGACGGTGTTCGGTCCCGACGACCAGGTCGTAATACCTGAAATATTGTTATTAAATATTATCATCAATGACTTCTTTTGGTATTAAAAATACAATTTCGTGCTAATTTTTTTCCTCTTACATAAAGTAGCTTTAGTGTATAGGGTGAAACATCTATCATGAAGTGATTGTCATTTGAACTTTACGGAGTCTGAATTTGTAAAAAAAATGACTAATGTTTTTTTGATCTACTCATAATTAATTTGGTAAAAAATTAATGTTTAGGTCATCCACCTATTTGGCATTTGAAAAAACATAATTTCAATGTCACCAAACCTAACCTAACCCAACTTAACTAATCTAACGTAACCTAACTTAACTGGTAAAAATCGGTCAACTTAAAATCATTAAATTCGCTGGATGGCCAAAAATATAATATCATCATCAATTCTATTTACTTTAGAAGGACTTGTTCATTTTTGTTGAAATCATGGACATACTGTCAATGGCAAAGTTAATTAATATCACCACTCCAACTGTTGGCCCAAACAAGTCGTAAAGTAGTTCTTTCTTGTAATACACTGAGTCACTAAGGGAATAAAAAAATAAAACATGAATTTAGGTCACTGAATTTATCTTATTTGAAGAAAATTGTGGTTAAACTGATACACAATGAAACATGCCTGGGAAGTACCTGGCACAAGTTACCTGGCATATTTGGACTTATTAAAATATGAAAGCTAGGCTAATAAGTAATTATACTAAGGAAACAATTATTTTGGTAGTGCTGGACGGTTATTAATTGCCCTCATTACGAAAATTGGGTCGATATTAATTCTGATAAAGGACGTCATTCACCATCCCAGAGGAAGCTGTTCTCACCACTCTTCAAATAGACCATTTACGACTTTTTTTTAGTTTAATTTGATTTAAATACATTTCTACACATAAATTAGTTGTATTAGTTATCTTAAAGGCTTACCTTTTATGATGGTTAGGCGAATTTGGAGGATATAAACGGCGATGAGACAAGTAGAGGCTGGCGGCATTTTTCGTACACAAACACTGACTGCTTTTAAAAAGAACAATACAATTCTGCATGTGCTGTTCTATATGGAGTATATCGTATTACAAATATTATTCCTTCGCAGATTTATACACTTTATGTCCATCCAAATCAATTTTCTTTCTTTTGGTTTCAAAAATGTTTCCCTCGTAGTTTTCACGAAATTTCCCCATGTTCCAATAACGAATCGTACATATTTTTCTTTTTATTTTAGCCCAAAACGCTTCTTGCATAACAACCATGGGAGTACTACAGCATGGTATACACCACGGCTGATCTTGCATATGGGCCTAAATACTATGCGTCACACCACAGTACTTCATACAAGTGTCACAAAGTTGTATCGCTTATTAGTAGGACAGAACGTTGTAGCATACACGATAAAATTTATACACTAAACTACTACCGGTATGATTGTCACAAAGTTATAATAAAACTGAAATATCATAAAAAGGTAGTGCTAAAAATAAGTCACAAAAACATTGCACAACATTATACAATACAAGCGAAACCGTGGAGCCACTTGGGTTGCCATTTTTGTTTTATCCTTGATTGCTCAAAGGTCAAGGTCATTATTAACAAATATATATACAGTATATATACTGTATCGTTAATAATTATATCTCGAAAAGTACTGGATAAAAACTCTTAAAATTTGGCATGGACTCAATAGGACCCCCTCATTGCTCCATGAAATAAAAACTCAAATGAAATTTGTCGTACGTGCGAGTTTTTCAATTCGCTGCAAAACCGTGGCTGGGGCCTTCTCTGATATCCGAAATGTCTGGTGACTGACAATATGTTGTGTGGTGACAATAATGGTATAAGTCACCACCATCTTCCACTTATTAGGTACGTTATTATATAGTGATGATGGTGATGCCACCATCCATATAGTATAGTATGTTGAGTGGTGGTGATGGTGACGCCACAATTCTTAACATTTATTAGCTACCTAAAATATGTTTAGTGATAGTGACGCCACCATCCTCAACACTCACGATGTTAAATGGTGTTGATGGTGACACTGGCTCCCCCCTCCCCCCCACATATTATGTCGCCGCCGCCACCTACTAGACCAGAATCATGTGAGAAAAATGGTGTGGTGGGCGGGGATTACACCGGACAGGTCACTTAACCTTGTTGCTTGGCGCAGGTCCCCCATTGCTTGCTGGCTCACACAACCTCGGTTTCACCTTACACTGTCCTCTCCTGAGAAAAACACGAGGGTACAGTCAGAAGCAGTAGCCGCAGCCAGTGAAGGCCGATACTAGCACACGTAACATCGCCAGCCACGATAGTTCCAAAAATACAAGCAACGTTTGGTTAACTTAGGCTAACATATGACCCGTTTCCGTATCAGACCATCTTCTCCCTCACCCCGCCACCTTCTCCCCCATCCCCAACTTCATCTTCTCCCTCAACCCCGCAACCTTCTTCCTCACCAAGACCATCTTCTCCCTCAACCACGCCACCTTCTTCCTCACCAAGACCATCTTCTCCCTCAACCCCCGCCACCTTCCTCACCAAGACCATCGTCTCCCTCACCCCCGCCACCTCCCTCATCCCCAGCGTCATCTCCCCACCCTGTCACCTTCCCCCACCCGAAACTACCACCTACACCCCTGCCACTGCCTCCCACCCAAGCCAACATCTCCATTGTCCTTACTGTACGTCAAGTATATCTACTCTGGTTACATAATAATATTTAAAAAATAACACATTCACATATTATATTCTGTATATATTTAATGTAAACAGGAATAGTTGCGTGGTTGAGAAAATTTATGTATTTGTTTTTCAACTTTTGATTGGCTGTAGACAATCATGTAGATTTTCGTGATAAATATAAATAATAACCTAACCTAAAATGACCAACCTAACCTACTTAAGATATAACGTGGCTGTCTTATAAAGGTAACGACGTCTTAAATGAAAGAGCAAATTTTACCAAATACCAATTAATTTCTATTGTAGCAATAAATACAAAGTTATCCCTATCTGGCAAAGTTGACAGCTGTGCTATAAAGTTTAATAGACAATAAACCTTTCTGTTATATATAAATATATATATATATATATATATATATATATATATATATATATATATATATATATATATATAGATAACCACAAGGAAAGAAGAACACGAAGTTCCCTCACCCCTGAAGATGGAATTACACGAAAGTGCTTGGGAACTTCGTGTTTTCTTCTTTCCTTGTTATCATATATCACGCGCACCTATATATATATATATATATATATATATATATATATATATATATATATATATATATATATATATAAAACATTAATTATGATTGTTTTGCAGTTGGCTACTACCATTAAGTGGGAGAGCGTGAACAAGTAGTAGGCAGGCAGCAACACGATACAGCCTGATTCACCCACCGTCGGGCCGCAGGTGTTGGGGACTTTCCATGGTCGTTGCCCGCTTGTTCCCACACATCTACTTAATAATACTTACTTGCTTATAAATTCCTTTTGCGGTTTACTTCCGCCGTTCATTGAAGTCTCACGTAAACAAACCCAAAAACTCATCAATTTGTAACTAATATCGTAATTATGGTTAGCTCTACTCACACCCTTTAATGTGAGACTAAATAGGCCTGAGGTACCATGTATCTAAAACATACAATGACTATAAATGTGCACTACTAAATCATGGCTACCAAAAAATATAACCCGCGTTAATTATTTTAAAGCAACACCAAGACTTTCTGTGTTCAATTCGTGGAAACTGCACCATAACTTGCTGAGTTGATTAATGGAAATTGTACGAACACTTCCACAGTTAACTAAGTGAAAACGTTAACAGTCCTCTGACCTAAAATAAATGTAAACTGCCAAAATATACGTCACCAGAAATATCTCACCCAGTTAAAACCACATCTCTAATCTTCGGCAAACATAAAAAAAAAAAAAAATATATATATATATATATATATATATATATATATATATATATATATATATATATATATATATATATATATATATATATATATATATATATATATATATATATACTCAATTACCACAAAAAAGACTTAAATGATGCGTTGTGAGGGAGGTAAGGAGACAAGTGAGAGGGGAGGGAGGTAGAAGGAAAAGTGAGGGAAGGGTGTGATGAAAAGTGAGGTATCGAAAGAGGGAAGGGGAAGGGAGGTAAAGGAGTGAAGAGGGTGAGGCAAATAAGAGATGAAAAGAATTATAAGACGGACATGTGAGAGGGGGAAGATGAATATGGGAGGGAAGGGTGGGAGGGAAGGGAGTAGGGAGAAGGAATGAAGGTGAAGAAGGATGAGAATGAAGAAATAGAGGGGAAAGGGCAAGGAAGGAAGAAAGAAAAGGAGTGGAAAGGCCAGGAAGATGGAAAGGTAACGAGGGAAAAAGGTAAAAATGGAAGGGGAGAGATATACGTGTGGTAAGGAAGGAAGGAAAGAGGGAGAGAAGGGTGGTAAGGAAGGAAGGAAAGAGGGAGAGAGATAAGGGCGATAAAGGAAAGTGGAAGAGATATAACAAGGGTAGGAAGGAAGAGGTAGAGGAAGAGAGGTAACAAGGGTCGGAAGGAAAGAGGGAAGGGAAAAGTGGGATAGAGGTAATAAGGGTGGGAGGGAAGGATGGAAGGAGAAAGAAGGATTAAGATAACAAGGGTGGGAAGGAAGGAAGGAAGGGGAAAGAGGATAGAGGCAAGGTGAGACGGAAGGAAGGAAAGGGTAAAGGAAGAAGTAAAACTGGAAGGAGAGATGCGCCGGTTAAGGAGCTAACGAGCCGATCAGTGGTGAAGAGGATAAAGGTAAGTTAAAGACAGGAATATGAAGGTTGTACGAGAGAGAGAGAGAACGTGGGGAATGGATGGGTACATGTATACAGTACAGAGAAGGAACGAAAGACCAGGAACACGAAAGCTTGGAAAGACGACCAACAGTGTATAAGAAGCTCCAGTAACTGATCCATATCATCCAAAAAAACTTGGATTTAATGATAAAGAGAGTAAAATGTAAAACAAATGATGCAAATTCTTTCTCGGTGAAAACGAACAAAAAAGTATGACATGAGAGAAAAAAACTAAAGAGAAAAGCTATCCAGACTTGATATCTGGCTCAAGTTACAACAACATTTTCCTAGAAACAAAATATACATATGAAATTGTTGAGTAGTGAAGTACTGTATGAACTCTTGACTGTTGCTATGCAGGTCTGCCGTTATTGACTCGCCTACACGGCTCAGCGTCCCGTCTCTCTGTTGGCCAGATAGGCCTACTTGCGCTTGGTGTCAACCTTAACAGATTTAACTTTGTAAAGACTGTTTTATGTTTATGTTAAGCCTACCAATTGAAAACGGTAATTATTTAAGGACATAACTAAGAATAACAAAGTTCAGTCAGAATAAGTTATGTTCATCTGGTGATCGCTGGCAAGCAGGCGCCGCCGGTGTAGCCTACCTACCTGATAGCTTTGTGTACCAGTCATGTCTTACATGTACGAGTCGATAATCACTTACCTCAGATTGCTCTACAAGATGTCCCATTTTCTATTGACTATTGTTTAACAAACACTGTTGTTGCTGTTATCTCCTATTTCTCTCCAAAATCTTTGGCGAATACTTGTTCAGCAAGAACAAAACATTTCAGTTCATTTTTTTCATAAATATAAGTTTGTTATCAGTGACAGGCAGTGATATTTTCTTCAGAGATCCATGGGGAATAACAGTCAGCTTATTCCCCAGGGTGTCTCAATATAATGAAACGATAAGACTTCACCTCAAGAGGAAACACGTCTACAGCACCACCGCACCGACACTCAGCTGAGACTGAAGGGAATCCTTTGTTTGACACCTACCCAGCTGATTGGCCGCTCAGCTGCTCCTCAGCTGATGGCTAACTGCCAGCTGTCGCTTTTCCACGAGATATTTTCTTAGATTATTGTACATAATATGATACTTTTTTTTCAATTTAACACTATAGAATTATTTCTACATTTTATCTAATACGTTTAACACATACTTCAACTTGCATTTCAGATCGTACTATAAAATACGAATAACAACATGATTTCCTCAAGTGGCATCTTCATAACGACAGGTCGATGACGGAAGTATCCTAAAACACGCGGCATTTATAAAACTAGTAAGCATGATAGCTTTATAATAGTGTATTGTTAGTATATACGTAGTTGTTCTCTACTATTTTGTTTCTTAAGTGATAAATAGCATCCCAATGCTTAGCGACTCAGACTTAACTTTGTTATATTTGTAGCTAAGTTATACTTCAAATAAAGTTTGGCTCCGGCTCTTCTAGGGCAAGCCGGCAAGAAAATGTGATAGTGGTTTTCGTTCTAGAAACAAGTTCGATTTTTCAACGAAATGAAAAGTGTAATGCAATAATTAATTATAAAATCAGCGTGAATCATTGCAAATTAAATATAGAGTAACAAAATATCATGTTTATAAGGCAAACTTCATTGGTATGGAGTGAGAATGTAGGATTTCGTGGTATAATGTTGTCTAGCACTCAGGATGGATGGAAACTCTAAGGTGGTTTTCTTGTATAATATAAGTTATAAGATAGACAGTCTGGTGGGTCGCCATGCTCGCTGGCGGGAGCGAGGACCGCCAGGCAGGCGGAGGAGAGGCGAGGGCCGCCAGGCAGCGGCGGAGGAGGAGGTGTTGCTTGTTCAGGAAGAGTGGCCTGAATGAGAGCTGGTTGGTGAGGAAGCTCAGAGAAGGCCAGCTGGTGGGTCGCCATGCTCGCTGGCGGGAGCGAGGACCGCCAGGCAGGCGGAGGAGAAGCGAGGGCCGCCAGGCAGCGGCGGAGGAGGAGGTGTTGCGTGTTGTAGAAGTGAGGCCAGAATGAATCTCAATGGAGAGACAGAGCTTATATACCCAGCAGCCGTGGGTCCTCTATGATTCATGTTGGGAAAACCCGAGAAAGTCGCCGGTCTTTAGTTCCGTTGCTAGGTTATGGTAACATCTGTGTCGCCGCTCGCTTGGTTGCTAGGGAAGATGGTAGCAGCTGGTGGCGCCGCTATGCAGTTGTAGGGGAGAAGTCCACTACAAGAAGTGGGTCAGACAATGGGGCCTTAAAATTATAACTAGATATGTTAATTCCAGCAACTATATTATCAGAAAAAGGAATCTTTTTCCTATAGTAAATTGCTCGGTAGAAATCAGACAATTGTCACTGTAAAATACACTATGTTTACTGAGATGTCCCATTGACATTGAAATGTAGATCATTTCAAGATAACAAGAATTTCAACTGTTATTCAGTGCCATTACCATTTGGTTTGAAAAGCAGAGGGAACTACTCCCATTTATGGAAAGGAAGGGGCCTTATTCCCCCTTTTGAAAAGGAGGAAGCCTATCTTTTTTTCTTTTTTTTTACATTTTGGGGCTTGGCTTTCCCTTTTGAAAACGAGGGCCCATTCTTACACTTTTAAAAATGACATAACTAGGCCCCCAGTTTCTGAAAATGGGGTGGGGGTGGGGGCTGGCGTCCACGTTTCAAAAAAAAAGGAGGCCATTCTGTAGTGGATTCCTCCCCTACAAACGCTGTTTGTCGCTGGCTAGCCGACCCCGCGAATTCCCCAGTGTATGCCTCGTGGTCTAGGTCAGCAACCAGCGCCGCCTTACATGACTGAGGTCAACTATTAAACCACGCCTACCTCCGCTATATAAGACCTGACCTAGTGGTGACCTACCTCTTCTTCTACCTACAGCCAGTCTTCAAGTAACACCACCTCCTCCGCTCCTGCCTGGCGGTCTTCGCTCCCGCCGGCGAGTATGGCTACCCACAAGCTAGTCCTCCTTTGAGCATCCTCACCAACCAGCTCTCTCTACATCACGCTTGTAACCACGCTGCCACTTCCCAGCACCAAGCTGCACTGTACATCCAATACTGTACAATATGTATACAGAGAGCACATTGTGAGTTTCCTTTCTCCATCCCTTCCTGAGTGTGAACCAAATATCTCGTACCCCACAATTCTCCCTACTTCTGGAAAGGAGGAGACTTGGCTCTTACTTTTTAAAAGAAGAGGTTTTGGTTCCACTTTTGAAAAGAAAGGTGCCTGGCTCCCTCCTTTGAGGATAACAGGATCGGGTTCTAATTTTTTATAACGAGTGAGCCATGACGTAACCTTTATCCCTTGTAAATGAGGTGCCTGTCCCGCTTTTCATATACAAGTACATAGTATAGTCCTGTGGCAGAGCATGGTCTTGTGTGACCTTATGTCCCCTAAATTACTTTGTTAATTAGTTAGGGTATTACTGTATTTAAGGTAAAGGAAATGTCAGGGTAACACTCCCAAAGCTGATCAGTTACTAATTCAAAATTTCCATATGAAGCAACTTGAGAAAACAATTATTTTCTTCAGTATATAAACATATTCCACTACTTTATGCAATTTTTCTGTAATTGCCTTCTTTTATGTCACATTAAAGCTGAGTACAATTTAAGATGTTTTACTTGGTGAAATTTAATACACTACAGTACATCCAACGTAAGTATTTCTCTATACATCCCAGTACTGTACAGTACTATCTTAACCAAGTGAAATGATCCTAAACAGAGAACGATATCATTAACCTCATCTGGATGCCATACCAATGTGGTACACTCCTTCATCACAGAATACTGCCAATTTATCCTGTTAACAGACGAAGCACATTTTGTAAAGCAGTGTAGACAATTTTATAATAATTAAGAGGATGCGGCACAATGGGAAGAAATGCTACAATATGTTCAGGAAGAGACTCATCAGTAACTTGAGCATTGAAAGCACTCCATGATGGTATACTTTGTTCTGATTCACTAGATCTCTGCATCAGACAGATCTAACCTAGATATACGAGTTCACCAAGCCATGTCTAATATATTGTTATGACCCTCCTTTCACTGCTTACCCAACATCCACCACTAGTTACCAGTGGCCAGGGTTGTATGTACAGAAGCAGTAGATATCACAAGTGTCGTCAAATTACCTCTGGCTGTCCCGCCAGTCTCCGGTAATTTCCCAATGATCGGTATCAGTGTACAGACAAACAACAGGCAGGTAGATTTCCACCAGGTAACAGAAACACACTTGTGCACTGTAGTCCTCTTTAATGGTCACTAATTCTTCACAACAATGTTCAGAGGGTAATGTCTTCACAGCTGAACTTCTCACTTCGAATATACAAGTACAGTATACCTGTACTGTAGTCGGCACACTACCAGTGTACAATCCCTTAGTCTTTTCACTTTATATTGATCACAACAAATACAAAACACTTGTACAACAATAATCTTCAATTGTCTTACTAAGCTTGATGTCCTTTAAACTCTGAGCAGAAACCGTTGACTGACCTCCAAGGCACCTCCCGAGTTTTTACATACGTCTTGCCAGACGCCTAGAGCACTCTAGCGCCATCCAGGCACTACACATTGGAACGAGAACGCCTGGAGAGTTCTCGAATGATCTAGGCTTACAATATGTAAGTAAATCATAACAAAAATGATGCAACACATTCTAGAAAATTCTGACATAAGTACGTAATACATTAATATAGACAAGAAAATCCTCCTAAACTTGCTAAAATAGCTGTTGCTTGGCATAGAAAATAATCAAAACACCTAGTTTACAAACAATACAATACCAAATTATGCCTTGACATAACACTACGGTACCCCCTCCCTTAATCCTTGTGTCGTCCCGACACACTTATTCACTATACTGTATACAGTACATAATAATCCTGAACTTGGTAGGTCTCCTCTTCTTCAGCTGCAGCAACCTTAGTCACACCCCCAGATCGGTGCCCCTCTCCTGTCAAGTCTAATTCCACATAGAGGGAACAGTTCCCCTCTTCCAGGTTCATGGTCGGGTTCTCCAAATCGCTACAGCCCAGAGTTCTTCCAGGATCTCTAGTCTGGCCCTAGTCGGTGGTAGGTGACAGCTCCTCAAAGTCTTCCCAGGTGTACTGCCCTGGCCCATGATATATATATATATAATATATATATATATATATATATATATATATATATATATATATATATATATATATATATATATATATATATATATATATATATATATATATATATATATACTTTTTACTCTTCAAGGATAATCTCATCATGGCTCTTCTCCAATGATGTTTTGATTGAATTGTGCATGTGCAAATATTTTTAGCACTGTGCAATCTTAGACTGTGATACCACTCACTCTAGCAGCTCATCAGTAAACAAAAATAAATGTGATGCCAGACAGGCAGGGCTGTATATGACCATTAATATGTACTTCTTATTTTCATATACCTGAAACTGAAACAGATGAGAATATCTCTGTTTGATCCTTTGATTCTGTAGAATACTAATTATATCATTATCCCAGCCGTGTTTTCAATTTTTGGAGGTGATAGAAACACTGGTTCAACAACTACAAAGAGATCGTTACACATGAGCCATGCTTCAAGAGATGGGTCACTACAAATGATGAGCAGTACCTAAGGAAGCATAAAAAGTTCAGGAACCAAGCAAAGTTAGAGTGTAGAATGGCTGAAAATGAGTTCCAGAGGCGGATTGCAAATGAGGCCAAGTCACACCCAAAGGCTGTAGTGTTGAAGTTAACAGGTAGTAATAGCATTGGTGTGGACATTATAAAATAAAACCATCATGAATTTTGTCTACCTATATCTACTCGCTCACTTACATATGGAAAAGGATACAACATGAAAATCAATTGTTTTTAAAAACTTTATTCTATGAATAAAAATATATTGTATATACAACATTTACACTTCAGTATATGATGCGGTTCCAGCCGCAAGATACAGCATGAAGATAAAACTAAACATTTAGCACATACAGAACCTCAGTAGATGGGGCAGCAGAAGAAAATTTTTACCATTAGAGGTTATTATATATGAAAATATTAACTACTGAAAAGTGTGATAAGATCAGTTCTCCTGTTGTCTGTCAACCCCATAATCATACCATTATATAAATACTTATAAATTCATTGTGGTATGTTGAACATTGTATTTAAAAAAAGATTTCCTATAGTGTAACAAATCAAAACCATCAGGTTTACTTCTTTATTTTGCTATTGCTAAGCAGAGTAATGAATGAATCCACTTTTATTTTAATCACACTACTGTATATTACTAATGAACTCTGTTAAGGAACTACTTTAGGTAATGTATTTGTCTTCGGTTAACCATCTTTGCCAGATGCAATCCATAAAGAAAGATGCCTTCCAGCAGCATCATTATAAAATATTACAAAAATATATTTGCAGTCGAATATCTTTTTGTTATAATATTAAATAATTAAGAAAAAAAAACAATAATTTGACTCATAACTAATTAAGCTGAGTTCTAAAAGCTTTGGCCTATTTCCAACAACTGGCTAGTCACTTTACTGCTGAATTTCTTTGGTAAGTTTTCTTTACTTAAAGGTCTCAGAATATATTTAAAATGGCATATTAACTATCATTATACTTAATATCTTCCCCTGAGAAGTCCTACAGCAGGCCACAGTAGCAATGGCACAAGAACACAACACATAATTACTGTACAAAGTACACTAACCGATGGTAATAGGTGAACATATATATAATACTGTGCACACATGAAAGCTACTTTCTAAAATTTCACAAAATTGCTAAACTGATTGTTTATGTATACCAAATCGAAGAGCACTAATACTGTACTCTTCCATATGAGATCTAAATGCAATTACTGTGCTCATTTAATTCAGATGCCTCGTTAGTATAAAAAATTTAAATTAACAATGATAATGAGCAATTGATTATATTCAAGTTTCCATTACAGTACACTCCTGCTTTTCCAGCTAATGTTTTATTTATTTTTTAATTTCCACTGCTAAAATACTAGTTCTGTCATGACCTAGGTAGTAAGCTCCTTTATTATTGTACACCTTATACTGTACTATAGGTCTACTGTAATGTACAGTATGTACTGTCTAGTACTTCCATGTATATTTTAATGCTGTACATTGATACACTATACTGTACACTGGGTAGAGGAATGGTGACATAATTAAAAACTAATTGTGGTGATGGTATCTGGAAACATCTCTCTCCTTCTCAGGCCAGCAGGGATGGAACCCCAAAAGGCATGGAATTATGGAAGGCACCAAACTTTGCTCCTGTCTGATGTGACAAGATACTATACTGGGTAATCTTCTTTATCCTTTATATCAGTACAGTATTTGTATTTCATCTACAGTAGTTACACTTCAAATCAATATGTAAAAACAAGTAAAATTATGAAAGACTAATATATACATAATAATGCATTTACTGACTGTATCAATTTCAGTGGTTCCAAAACTCAGTTTGAAGAGCACCTGCATGCCCAGCAAATGGATGGTCATGAATTTGACTCCCAACCAAAGAGATGTGTTGTGTTTCCACCTTGTACACTACCCTCATACTCTGAAATAAGTGAGTACACCATTCGGTGCACCTGCTAATGGTGGAACAATCCTTCAGTGGACTGACATCCCACTATTGAGTGCTTCGAATCAAGAATTAGCTGCAACTCTGCAAATCTTGCAGGGAAAGGCTTCTGTGCATGATAAACAAAAAACCTACAATAGGGCCATCACATTCAATACTGTTGATAGATCTGAGTAAGTTAACTGTGTATGTGTATTACAGAATCAATATTATATTAGCCATGTACTGTAGTTTGTTTAACACAGTATCATCTATTCAAGTGGTGCGTTAACTGAATGGTTCCTTTATTATTATCACTACTGATGTTGCAGAGCACCATCTGGTCAGCATTCCCATCAAAAAAGCACATGTGAAAGACAATACTGTATTTGTATATCCAACACATCTTCAGCCCCAACCATACTTGGTAACAGGAAGTGTACTGTAATGTATCTAATCTTATGAATATGAAACTTATCGTGCATTATAGAGGCACAACCTAGCTCAATATGAGGTGGTATCACAGGATGAGGTGAAACATCATTGAAAGTTTTCACAATAAAGCTCCTCAATGGAAAATAATCCAGCTATGAAAGTCTTATCCTAAAACATCCCTGATGCATGGATACTCTACTCAAGTTTACTGAAAGTTACAAGTACTCTAAATTAAGAGTAATTCAGGTAATGGCATTGTCATATATTTATTTATTAAAAGAAAAGCTTTAATAATTTTAATTCAAAATGTCTTCATTTCATAACTGAGGTTTTAGGAATCCATCATTGCTGAAATTTATAAACTACCTTAAGTACTGGCCGCCCATGAGATCCAATCAGATGTGTAGGACACCTTGTGGTATATACCTATAAGTGGAGAAATATGGCATTATAAGTAAAACATTCTTTTATTGTCTACATAAAAAATGGTAATAATTATAATAAGAGCTTAATAGACAACAAACGGAAGTACAGTACCAGATGATGTATAGACTTATGCACTCCAGGATACACTACACTATTCCAAAGTTAACAGAAAGGCTTTATCATCACAGTACAGTGAACTTATTGATTTTTGGTGGTTTGTGTTGCTTGAGAATGTTGTCAATATGGAATCAATAAAAACGGAAATTAATAATCAGAAAGGAAAATGGAATGCATTCTGAGCTATGAATTTCTACTACCGGTATATTCTAATGATAATATATTTGCATTAAAATCACTTAAAATTGTTTACTAATAATTTGTTTTATTATCATTAAAGCCTATCAATTATAAACATTATAAAACCTCAACTGGACCCAAAATGCAGTAAGAACTGCTCTCATGCTTTCCATTTTCCTCGGGTTCTAGTTTTCATACGAAAAATCTGACCGAAAATGGCAGTACAGTAGTGCTGTTTTCCTGCGAATGAATGTTGGCATTTTGCCTAGTGTGACAGCTTCTTTAGTAGTACAGTAAACCCTTGATAACTCGGCATTCGATATCTAGGAATTTTGTATAATTTGGCATGTGTATGGTCTCAGAATTTATTATAAAATAACTCGGGAAATGCCAAGTTATATAAAATTATCTGGGAAAATCTCAGCACATTTGGGCGCGTGGGTAACACTCTCCACGCTTGGTCAGTCTGATCTTTGTTATTGTTGTGGTCGGCTGCAGCTGGCTCACTTCACCCAGTACATGGATGTGGGAAGGAAGGGTGTTGTAGCACCCCAATATTTTGGGTATAAAGTACTATACATTGCACCACAGAGTTTCTAAGGCACCAGAATTAATATTAAGCACTCCCTGGTAAAATTTGGTTCCTGCTGTACTAACCAATTAACACCCAACAACCTCCCCCATTCATGTCAAGCCACTGTATGCAGAACGTCTCCACTATTATGGTAAATCCAATATCATAGACTTTATTTAATTTACAATGCAATTCATTTTATCCAAATTCCAACGATTAGAATCTTCCAGGTCTCTGAACTTTGTCCCCTTTGGTAAAAATTTAAATTTAGCCCAACAACCCAAAAGCAACTGAAGTAATTTATTCGTGTCTGACACCAGTAGCGATGTAACCACTTTATAAACAATAATTGCTATGATAAACAAGACCTTTGTCCCATGAAATACATTACATATACAGAAATTCAATGGCATTTTTATAGAAAATAGTATATATATAAACAAACTCAATCATTTTGTATTGTACACACTGATGGACGGAGGTGGTGGAGTGAGTGTGTGGTGGGTAGTGGGGTAGTGGAGCAGAGGAGGAAGGCAGGAGAGGAGGAGGAGGGATGCGAGTCACCGAGACCCGACAGGTGGCTCCTCCCAGTTTAAAACCTCCATTTTCGTAGTAAGGCTAATGGTCTTATGTTGCTTCTTCACAACACTAGCATCAGTAGCACTTGATGGGAGTTTGGAAGCCATTTCAAATTGTCACAGTACAGTATTAAGAGCAAAAACACTTAAATGCGCACGAATGCTGTGGAAGCCTAGCAAAGACTGACTCCGCTTGGGGATGCTGTGACGCTCCGCGAGTGAGAGGTAGTGCGCCAAGACGAGAGAGGGTGATGCGCCGCAAAAAATAGTCCGTGACGACATTAAAAACGAAGTTATATTGTGTCGTTGGGACATTAACCGCATTATTGGTATCTAAAGAATAGTGATGTTATAACGAAACAACGTTAAACGAGGACTTACTGTTGAGTATAAGTGACCAAATTACAGTACGTAGTACAGTATACATAAGTGCCACACTGTTAATTGTTTATGTAGCATTTCCCCTCCATCACCTACCATTCCCTTGTGTCACCTACCATGCCTCTGTGTCACCTACTATGCATCTGTGTAACCTGTACACATATATGGGCCAATAATTTTTCATTGTTGTATTTTTTGGGGAGGGGGTGCCTCGATAAGTCAAAATTTGTAATAATTCGGCAAGGCCAGAGCCCCTTACATGCCGAGTTATCAAGGTTTAAACTCACCTATACTATAGAACAATTCTATACAGGTAGACCACCTCATATCCGGTTAGAGGTGTTTATTTATTTAATCCTAACCTAACCACCTGTGGTTTGGCAAAATCACTAATCCAGCACTGCTCAGGTCCCAATCAGTCTGAATTTGAGATGGTCAACCTGTACTACTATTTAAAGAGGTCTTCACAAAGGTCACAGCAAAAAACAAAGGCATTCTTTACAGAACAGTGTTTAAGGACATGCCTTTCAGGCAGTAGATGTTGTTGTGATGCCACATAGTTCCTTCACTGGATATATAGACAACCACCACACTGCTGGATATCTCAAGGCCATATGATATGAGTTGTGTTGACACAAATGCATCATTCACCTCAACAATGAGTCCTGTCCCAATGGAGTATTCAGTCAGCTGGGATCTAAATGGTCACTCATGAAAGACCATGAGGCCATAAAAGTACTTGGGGCATACAGTACTGTATATTTCCTGTAACATCCTGAACTTGCAGTAAACAACTACACTTATGGTATGTAAAACTGTGGCTAACATATTACAGTAAAATAATTACATTACTTGTACTTTATCCTCTTCACAACTGATTGGCTTGTTAGCTGCTTGGACAGTCAGTTACATCTCTGTTATGCACTGTTCGCAAGTTCTGGGTATGTACTAGTTCCAGAATGTATCTGTTCCTGTGCCAGTGTTGGTCAAGTCTGGTCTTGAATGAGCTCACACTTGGTGCTGTCACAATGTTCTCTGGCAGACTGTTCCACGAGTTCAAAACTCTCACTCTGAAAAAGTTTGCTCTGACAATTTTTTAAACTTGTGACTTCTTCAACCTTAACCCTTTAAGCCCAGGCGACATTCCTCTATGTCCTTAATTTTTGCGGCATATTTTGAATGTCTGATTTGTGTGTAATCTTTGTCTCAAGTCTCATGGTCCAGTTACCCACCAGCTTTCGTGATGGTTGCACATCCATTGATGTCCCGTGACCCGTCTCGCTCCTCCACACCCTTGACAGTAGTGCTATTCATTAAGATTTGCTTGATTTGGGTGGCATTGATATAGGGGAGGAAACAGACCCAGATGATGTCATGTTTGTTGAGGCAGCCAGTGATAAGGACAGTGATATACAGACAATGACACTCACTCCCTTTCCCAACCCCATCAGCCATCCCCTCAGTGAAGTTGTGGTAACTGTGGACACAGGGGACCACATGCATGCCAGCCATAACAGGATGCTTGGAGTGACATGATGGCACTTGACTGAGTAATGTCCTCTGAGGTGTTCATAGATGGGTGCCCCTTGCTCGCCTATAGTATAAGCTAAGCAGTTGCAGGCGTTCTAAGCTATCTGGGTAACTGAGGTGCTGTACTGCAGGCACCAGTCTGGTGACCTTCCTTTGGACATTTTCAATCAACTAACAGTCACTTGCAGTAGCGCACCCAGAAATTCTGTAAGGGGGGGCCTGGAGGCCATGGATGCACCCAGAAATTCGTCAAAGAGGGAGCGAAATTGGGTGGCCGAAGGTTAAGCTAGCGGGATTTTTTTAAGCAATTTGGTGAAAGCTGAGAACTAATAAATTGTTTTATAGAGTATAAAAGCCAGCAAAAAATTCGGCAAATAATAATCAGAGTTTTATAATAATTTTGGGTCAAAATATAATATTTGATTATTTTAGATTAAAAAAAACATATTTCCTTAGATGATAAACTGATTACAATTGGCCACGTTTAGATATTGATAAGTAAAGGGTTTTAATGCTATAATGAATAAATTAGGAAAGTTTTATAATTTTTTTTTAGAAACGTCACGAGCAGGTGCCACATCGTACCATAAACAGTGAGAGAGTGGTGCAATAAATTCGATAACGATACACCTGTCACTATTAGTACTATAAATTATATATATCAGTTATAAAAGTAAGTGAATTGGGTAAGGAGCAACAATAAGAACAATGCGGGAGATACGAAAAAACATGAAACAGCGGCACCACTGTGGTAAGGAAATCCGCTTGACGTTATCTCAGAGGCCTGCCTTGGCAAATTGGGCGCTCGTGGGAGCTTTAAATTGGCAAGTACGAGAAAATTGAGGTTTATTTCCTTTATTTTCAGACCAAATGGGACCTATTAGGCAGAAAAAAATTCACTTTTGCCTGACCAGGGGGTGGCATGTAGGATTCCAGCATCTCACCACGGACGGTTAAGGAACCGTAGGCTTAAGCGGGGGGGGGCCCGGGCCCCGTGGGCCCACCCCTTGGGTGCGCTAGTGGTCACTTGCATATCTTGGGGACCACACTGGATAACAGTACTCTAACGGGGAAGCACCTTATTTCTGAAGAGCGTTATGAGGGACCGACCATCAAGGTATCTGAATTACTTTCTTGTAAGACCAACTAGTTTAGTTGCTTGATTCACCTTCTCACAATGGCCCAAAAATTTTAGTTCGTTGTCAATATACACACACCAAGGTCCTATTCACATTTGGTCCCCGTTAATGCAGTTTCTTTGTCCCACTGGGACATGTGATATGCCTCCTTACTGTTGGTGCAAGTTGGGTCTGGATCGCTCTACCCAATGTTTACTAAAATGGAAAACTATTCTTGTTACTGACACAACCTATGGCAAAAGACTGTGAGGGGGTGGGATTTCTGACCATGCCCAGGAGTACCAGAGGGTTAACATCCATTCCTTTGACCACTACTGAAGCTAGCAGAGATCTTTCTGCAGCTCTTCACAGTCTGTTTGGTTCTTAATTTCCCTGAATAACGTGGCATCGTCCACAAACATTTATATGGAGGAGTGTATAGCTTCTGGCATGTCATTTAGGAAACAATAAAACAACAACAGGCCCAGTACTCTGCCCTGTGGTACCCTGCTTGTCACCAAAAAATCTACGCACCCTTCCAGTATAATTTTCAGCCTTTCATGGGGGTACACTTGGCAAAGTCCAGATATACTTGTATATTGTCCATATTGCCACCACGCTCCAGGATCTGGGTCCACACATGCAGCACCTTAAGTTACTGTCAAGCAGGAGCTTCTAGGCATAAGACCGTGTTGGTATTCTTTACTTGGTTGTTTTGCAGTAGATTTTCTATCATGGCATCTCATATAATGCTCTTCAGTACTGTACACACTTTGTGAAAAAAATCACAAAGCAATATTCAGTAAAAAAGTTTACAGTAAATTGTCTTACCTGGTTGCTTGCCTTGAGCGCAAGAATACCCAGCTGATACAATACCAGCCAGGTACCAGCGACCCCCATCCTGGATCATGAGGGGGCCTCCTGAGTCACCTTGACAAGAATCTTTACCTCCTTGGCTATATCTGTATCCAGAGAAAGGTGAGAATAATTTAATTTTTAAAGAAAAATTATGTGAAACAACTCAATGCCTGTTTTTTTCAAAATTCTCTCTTTAAATCTAGATAAACCCAGGACTGTACAAGAGGTGCAAGTCTAAATGTGGAGGGGAGGAAAGCCAGGGTAGGCCAAGAATGACATGGAGAGAGGTTATAACATATGACATTAGAGTTTAGAAGCTGATGAGTGAGCTTGCACGAGACTATGCAGCATGGAGAGCTGCCAGCAGGTAATGATAGTTAACTTTTGCAAGAGAGGAACATAGCTGTAAGAAGTTGATGAAAATGAAACATTTTTTGTCATGAACTCAAATTGTGATGAAATAAAACTGGGATATGTGAAATTGCAATAAATGAAGACTAACTGTTTTCTACCCCATTATGGCTGCACTTCACATCCAGATACCACAGTAACCCAAAGCTACTTTGCTGAAGCACTTTTAGTCCAGGAGAGAATACATATACAGTGGTCCCTCGATTAATGAACACAATTGGTTCCACAAAGTCGTTTGTTAACCGAAAATTTCGTTAACTGAATCTATAATTTCAATGGGATATTGGGTAATTGGTTCCAACTCACAGAAAAAGTACAAACAAAGTAAAGTAAAAAATGCATAAAGTCAGAAACACACCTAAAAATCCCCAAAATCGCCCTTAAATCACTATGTATATATATATATATATATATATACACACTAGAACTCTTAAAATCACTACTGTAATGTGATACAGGTGATTAATTTTTATCCCATGTGCAAAATATATGACGTTTATATTCAAATTATTCGCTGTCTTGCAAGGATTCCAGCAATGCAAATTATATTATCCTAACTTTAGTCTGAGATATTATATAAGATAAAAGCTGTAAGCCTAAGACCCTGACTGGGCAGATGGGGGAGAAGGAAGGAGGGGTAGGCGAGGTGATAAGTTTGACAGTTGGCACCGAAGGTCTAATGCTTGTTTATTTATCAGTCCTTAAGAGTGACTAAGCTTTTCTCTTATAAAATGCCACTGAAACAACCTGGGAGAATATAATTTACATGGCTGGGATTCTTGTAAGACAGTGATTAGTTTGAGTATAAACAAGCTCTAATTTGCACTAGACGTAAAAATTTTAGTACCGTAATGATTTAGTACATGTACAGTACAGGTTTGCACTTAGGTCATTTATTTCTTTTACGTTTCTTTTAGTATGGTGTGTGCATGTAAATGATTAAAAATAAATTAAGAAATTTATGTAAATATACCCCAAAATACTGTACAGTTGAAAAACTTGTACATTATTAAATTGTACTACAGTACACTAATGTACAGTACTCAAATTTTTTATGTCTTGTGCAAAATATATGACATTTATATTAAAATTTTTCAATGTCATGCAAGGATTCCAGCAATGCAAATTATATTCTCCTAACTTTAGTCTGTGATATTATATAAGATAAGAACTGTAAGCCTAAAACCACCAAACCCTGGAGGGGGGAGGGAGGGAGGGAGGGGAGGTGACAGTGACATGTTTGACAGTTAGCGCCGAAGGTCTAGTGAAGTATTTATTTATGTTCTTAAGATTGAGTTTTTGTTTTTTGCTTATAAAATGTCATAGAAGTGACCGGGGAGAATATAATTTACATTGCTGGAATTCTTAAAAGATAGTGATTAATTTGAATATAAACATGCCATAGTTTGCACTAAACAAAAATCTTAGTAATCATTTTGTACATTATTTTGAGTACATGTACAGTACAGTTTTGCCCTTAGGACAGTGTGGGCATGTAAATGAGTAAAAATAAATGAATAAAGTTACATATATCGAGCCAAAATATTTGTTGAAAAACTTTATGTAGACAGAGCTTGGATGGCGAAATTTTAGAACGACCAATAATTTTAATATAAAAAATGCAAACATATTCAAGAATACAACTTTCTTGATATTTACTACACTGGAAACAAATGTAATCATACATTAAAAGAGCAAGATAAAGACTCACCCAGCACACATCATTTCATCATATATAATGACATTGATCCCTTTTTGCCTGTGCCAGTCCTCACACAGCCGAGAATCTAAGATTGGTACATCAACAACCTGCAAGGTCTTAGGTCGCAGCCGTGATCCTGGGGAAATTAATTTCAAGTGAGATCAGAGCAAATGCCTGTAAATTTAATATCATTCATCGTGTGAATCACATGTTTTTTGTTGAAGGTAAAAACTTGAATCAAACAAAATTACTAGTTTTAAGTGGATATAGGCCCCCCCTCCACCATGTGTTTGAACCCCTCTTAAAATTCACATTTTGTGCCAAACAGAATATCCTCAAGTCTTTTTAGAAGGAAATTTGAACAGATATAAGAGATACTGTCATGATAAAGTGTTTTATAAACTCATCAAAATTGTGTAAAACATAACTTGAACACCAAACACACGTGGGCCTTTCACATGCAAAATTGCACATGATTTGAATTATTGCTTCAGGGTTTTCATATGAACACTAGACATGCAAGACACACATTCGTAGACTGCACTCCAGTCTGCCAGTTGTGTTTAAAGGACCCGGGATATAATGTTGACCCACATTCCCCACTCATATTCTTGTGGCTTGTGCTGATTTTTTGTGCATCACAGTTATTTCATTTATTCATAACAGTGTTGCGAGAGTGTTGAACCACGCCTCGTGTTGCTGGTGAGGGTGGAGGTGTGGGAAAATGTAAAAAATGTAAGGAGATTGCACCACGTGGTGATAGTGTGGTGCCTACTGATGCCTCGCCCTAGCAAAATATAATTTTTTCCTAAATATGTATGCTTTATAATGCAATCACATGAAATAATGAAGACATAAAGTGATGTATAAACATTTTCATTAAGCGTAAGAAAATTTTTTGTGTTCCATTTACGCTTACATATAAAAATAATGTTTTTTATCGTGATTACTCATATTATTCTGTTTGTAGATAATTTATTTACAATCTTAATGCAATAAAACCCACCTTTTTATCTCAAACAGCAAGCTTTCTATGATTTATTATGCACAATTATCTCTCATGTGGTGCAGCAAGTGCAGTGAGGTGAATAACAGGCCAGACCCCATGGCTAGTCGCTTGGGCAGTCGGCCATGTCTCTGTTACACATTGTTGGCAAGTACTGAGTAAATACTGACTCCAGAATATATCAGTACCTGCACTAGTGATGGTCAAATATGATCTTGAATGAACTCACACTCAGTGCTGCCACAATGCTCTCTGGCAGATTGTTCCAGGAGTTTACAATTCACACTCCAAAAAGGTTTGCCCTGACAATTTTTGAACTTGTGGCTTATTTAACAAAGCTTTAGGTTGAATAAGCCACAAGTTCAGAAAATTGTCAGGGCAAACCTTTTTGGAGTGTGAATTGTAAACTCCTGGAACAATCTGCCAGAGAGCATTGTGGCAGCACTGAGTGTGAGCTCATTCAAGACCAGCTCCAGATATGAACACTCGACCGAATAATGCTCTCCGAGATGTTTATAAACTTTAATTAACCCTCTGGTGCTCCTGACCATGATTGGAAATCTCACTCCCTTGCAGTCTTTTGACACAGGTTGCGTTGGTAACAGGAATGGTTTTCCATTTTAGTAAACATTGTGTTGAGTGATCCAGATCCTAACTACACCCTTAGAGTTGCTTCTGCCAATCCAGGAACTTAGGTTCATCTTATTACACAACGTGACAATGAATCTTCACAGCTATTCCTTTGACCACTCCTGATGCTAACAGAGATCTTTCTTTAGCTCTTCACAGTTCATTTGGCTCTTTTAATATAAAAAATGCAAAAATATTAAAGAGCTCAACCTTCCTGATATTTATTCCACTGGAAAAGAATGTAAACATAGAACCGATTACTGTATTGGCGGACTAGCCGATCAGCTGATGCGCACAACAAAACGTGTTTGTCGTAAGGATTTCGTTAATCAAAGTTTTGTTCATTAATCGAACTGAAAATCCTTATGGAAGCTAATTCGTTAGCCGAAATTTCGTTAGTCGAACCGTTCGTTAACCGAGGGACCACTGTATAGGTTACGAGCAAGCGTCGTATACACTCTCGGTTACAAGGGAGGACAAGCGACCCTTGTGTAGAGGGGGTGTTGGAAACTGACCACATCAACCCTCCCACCCACCTTCTCACTATACTCCCTCCTTCACTCATTCCACTACACCCTGCCTCTACCATTCTCTCCACTTCCAATACTCTCCATAATTGTTTAAGTAAATAACAAGAATAAGAGATAAGGTAAGAGAAATCATGTAAAGAAATAAAAAAATTGAGAAAAAATAGATTAATTCAATAATAAATAGAAAAAAGAGATCAGAAAGAAGTACAGTGAACCCTCACTTTACGCGGTCAATTGAACCCACGGCGGCCCGCGTAAAGTGAGAAACGCGTAAAGTGAATAACAACATATGGGATTAATTGAAATAGAGACCGGGCCGACCCCCAAACTCCACTTTTTCAGACACAATACCTACGTTGTAGTAAAAATAACTTCTTAATTTTATGATGGTATGCACACACAATTAATAATTAAGAGAAATATCAATAATATTAGGTTTTTTAACACTTACGTTAGTAGAAAAGATGGCTGGACACACGGGGATGGGGGGTTGGTTCCGAGGCAGAGGGCAGATTATTGGCCCTCACCTGTATCACTTGTATCACTATCCACCACAGAGGCTTGCAGGGCCTCTTTGTCAAACCCCTCAAAGTCCATATAATTCCATATCCTCACTATCATTATCACTATCACTGACTTGGGCCGGCTGTGGTGGGTGGCGGGTGAAGAACTCGGTAATGTTTTGATGACTGGGCGACCTTGTGCGCACCCTGCTCGCGCCGCTCTCCGCGTAAAAGGGTACACACACCGCGGAAAGTGAGCATTCCGGTTTCGGCAGGGTACCGCGTAAACGCGTAAAGTGGGACCGCGTAAAGCGAGGGTTGACTGTACTGTACTGTATTTTGGTCACTTATACAAAATAAGGAATAAATTAAAAACAAGTTGTTTTCCCTACGTATAATTCAAGTCTGAGTGTGTAAATAAACATGTAACTTATATCACTCAGGATATAATAGATATAATAGTCCACCTTAATACAACCATTTTCTTTAATACAGAACAAAAGAGTTAAAAATTTAAATATTCTAATGTGGCTCAGAAATAAAGACAATACTGTATAGTATAAAACTATAAAATAAGAAAATGAACAGCATAAGTGTGTGTGTGGGGGGGGGTGAATGCATATGGAGGCAGTGAGCTGTACTGGATGGCCGACTCACCTGCCTCCATCCCTGCAATGTGACGTTGTCACGGTACACACATACACACACACACGTCTCGGTCAGCTGGTTGACTGCCTGCCTGAACTGTGTGGCGTCACTCCGATGATGGTTTGCATGTGGAAGGAGCTATACTTTTTGAACATAAAATATGTGCTATGTACAATACCTGTGTCAGTTATATTGTTTGTCATAGCAATTTTTGTTTAAAAAGTGGTTATAGCGCTACTGGTGTCAGATACACGAATAAATGACTTCAGTTGGACTAAATTAAAATTTTACCAAAAGGGACAAAGTTGGGATACCTGGAAGATTCAAATAGTTGGAATTCTGATAAAATTAATTGCACTGTAAATTAAATGAAGTCTGCAACATTGGATTGACCATAAAAGTGGAGATGTTCTGAATATGGTGGCCTGACATGAATGGGGGAGGTTGTTGGGTGTTACTGGATCAGTACTGTGGGAACCAGATTTTACCAAGGACTGCTGAATATGAATTCTAGTGCCCTAGATACTCTTGGTGGAATGTAAAATATTGGGATGCTACGTCCATGTACTGGGCGGAGTGACGGGGAGGACTGTGCGGCACACACGAGTGAACTGACTAACCACGGAGTGTGTGCAGGAGGTGGACATCTGCCAATGATCAGTCAAAAAATTTCAAACAGCCTTGCCGATAGCTGAAATTCAATTGCAAATCTTGAATAAAAGATCCTTAATAATTTTTTGTGAATAAGTGAATTCACAAATACGGGAGATAAGTGTATACTAAATATTCCGAGATTTTCCAAGATTATTTTATATAACTCAATTTTTTTCCGAGTTATTTTTAAATAATTTCCGTGAGTATAGCCGCCCCGAGTAATATAAAATTCCGAGTTATCGAATGCCAAGTTTTCCAGGGTTTACTGTAACTAATTTCAATATGAAAATAAGAACTCATGCAAGAAGGCCAATATTACATCACGAAATATTGTACTCAATAAGTGTATTAAAATGATAAATGCTACAAAGTTTGAACAAAATGCAATGCTTGAATACAGTGGGGTCTCATTTTATGTGGGTCTCGTGTGCACAGTTACTACTTACGCAATTGGTTGAAATGTGACCATAGTTATAGCTTACACGGAAAGCCATGGGTAATGCGGGTAGTGGTATGGCGTTAATTTAGTGATCTTTTTCTTATTTCGCCACAAATTTTAGTAATTTTAGTGATTGGACTTTATTTTCATAATGTATCAGTACTGTAATGAATAAATGAAAACAAACTGGCAAACGTGGGGGATTGCCTCCATAAGTCGGAATTTGGGATAATAAAAATGGCAAGGCCAGAGCTCCATATGTGCCAAGTTATCAAGGGTTTACTATATGTGCTATGCATTTTGTATTAACAAGAGTTTTTGTGGACCTTAATACACATTAATGAGTAACTCACTACATCCACAGAAAATGGGTGTTGTTTGATAGGATCATACGAGACAACAATCTTCTCGCATTCAACCAGAGTGGGAGTAAAACTAGGTTGCAGAGGTTAGGGGGAAGTGCATTATCAGTGTCTAAGGATGAGTAATCTATCCATACTTTCTGATTACAGCAATAAGATTGTATGTTAGCTTCACATATCACATCCCTCTGTGCACTGGCAAATACAAGAAAAATCTTACCAGACTGTAATGCTCCCCATCCAGCAGCCCAAGCATAGCTGCCTAGCCAGTCAGTTCCTTTCTCAGGCAAACATATAGGTTGAACATGAGGCTGGTAGTGCACAGGTGAGTCCAAGGTTATCACTGCCACATCAAACCTGTCAGCTTGTGGTGTGAACTTGAAATTTGGATGAACCTGGAAGATATCTTATTTTAGACATACTGTAATGATCTAACAATATATAACTGTCAAATTTGAAAATATTCATGAAAAGAATTGTAGGAAAATTTTTCTATTTCATAAAAAAATACATAATGAAGCAGTCCCCACTGGCACTGTGTGTTTAGACACAGTGTTCCCCCTAGCAACACGGTTTTGTGCCACACCTCTCCACAGGCCACCACAGTTGACTCATTAACCCTCTCGTGATCTTTTGACACAGATTTCGTCACTGAGCACTCTGAGCTGGCCTGACCCCTCCCACTCAGCCGTACCTCACAGAAAGCACCCTTCCCAAAAGCAGAAATGCAGGAACAGTGGACTGACTCTATCAACTACCTAAGTTCCTCCCACTAGTCTTGTGGGCTGACAGATGTATCTCTAATGTTTACCAAAATGGAAAAACCGTTCCTGTTACTGACACAACCTGCGTCGAAAGATTGTGAGGGGTTTAAATTTCTAACCACGGCCAGGAGTACCAGAGGGTTAACATGAAAATGCCTGTTGATGGACTTCACCTTTCACAACTTGCAAGTCAATCAAGCAATTCCACTTTTTGTTCCAAAAACATTACAGCAAGTTGCCAGGTCAGGAATGGATTGCATTCAAGAATTTAATTCAAAAAAACATTTGTTTGGAATTCAAAACTCAAATTCTCATAGACAAAATGTTATATATGGTGGTCATGTTCCCAAGCAGTCCTACAAAGGACTATTTTACCCACAAATGAGCTGTATTGTACATTTGCAATAAATATTACAAGTTCAACTTGTAGGATTTGGTTGTTTGGAAACTGGGAATATGAAAAAATTAAGTTTGGGATTCATTTTAGATACAAACAATCAGAACATTTTCAATTCTAATTCATTCATAACTATGAAAGCTTCAACTCCTGAAAATAGAAGTCTGGTTCTTTTTTGTAAAATTTTGATTCACCCTGAAGATATAACACTATTCTCCCAGATGTCAAGGTCAATAGTAATGCTGCCTTTATCTTCTTGTTCCTCCTCAACAAAGGCACTACCTCATCCAAGATATTTAGACTGGCTTTAATCAGCAACAGACCTTCATAGATTAAGAAGTACAAATAAGAGAAGGTAAAAAACAGAGGCCTCTCTAACAGGATACATTCTAAGTTAACAAAAGCTTTAGCATTTAAAGCCTTATTTTGTAAATTCCTATTAAAACATTGCCTTACTACTGGATTCATAACACTAATCATGGAAAAGCTTACAAACAGATTCATATTGCCTATTAGTAAGATTCCAAAAGTGTCCCATCATAAGCTGTTCACTGGCATACTAAACAACATAAAGGTTACTTCAAAAATTTTATCCTAAAATTATGCAATACTGTACAGCAGACACTAAGAGAAGACTATTTCATCCTCTCCTTAGACTCTGAGCCAAAGATTGAAAATGAACCCGGTGGTGTGATCCGAAGGAGGAGATCTATGTAGTCCACTTGGTGGAAAAACTAACCTAATACACCAAGGAGACAACCCGGAAACCAATGGAAATCTGTCCTTCACTTGAATCAACAGAGCTGAATTACCCCTACTAAGGCCTACTCCTCTCACCATCACCTCTGCCTGTCTTAACTAACTTGTTAATCCAACAACTCTTATCCTTTCAATGCCTTTTCTCAAATAACCAGTTTCAAACTAGGAAAAGACAGGTCTGAAATTGCATTCCTGATCCATGAGAGGTATAGTATAAGGTCTGAGAGGATACTTCCTCCCAGTAGCAACTACAGTACACTCCTTTTACTTGACAATAATGTTCCAATTTATCAGTTAACCCGTACTGTAACATGGTAAATGATAATTTGTTTTTACAGACAAAAAAATTCTTTCAAAAACAACACAACAGATTGGTTGACACCACTGAACACTTACATCTATTCCAAGATGGAAAAAATCCTTGGACAAGAACAGTACAGTAATACCAGACCTTCTCTGCCTAGAGTAACCAAAGATTTCCTTGAAATTTCATTAAGAGCCTTAGAGGTTTTACCTTGCTATTAATGCTGGTATTCCTAAAACATTCTTTCCCTTGACAGACACTTGGAAAAAATCTTTTAGCAAAATATATATTCAAGAAAATTTCCTTCTCTCCGTGGTGTGAGAATTCTTCCTTCCAACAGGACAAATTACTGAAACTTGAATGAAATATTTGGCCCATCCTTTCAAAAATTCTTTCACATTTTGTCTCCTATGTTGGCTGGTCGCACTGAATAATGATAAATAAGTTGAGCAAAGTATATACTAATATATTTTTCTTAACATAAAGTAGTTTGATTTATTGTGGTATCAATAACGTTAATATTTTTTTAAAGTTTTCTGTGACCATTGTGATATTTATTCCATCCAAACTTCACAAGAGTACTACGTTGATGTGATCCTGTGATCTCTCTCAACATTTGGTAGATTATTGGTTTATGCTGCCAAGACATTGCATAAAAAATTCAGCAAATTATTTAGTTAATACAATATTAAGCTGATGATTTTTTCCCAATACTGAGATGAAATTGTGTGTTTTTCTAGTTTGGTTTTCTCCTTTTCAATGACAATAATAATTTTTGGTGTATGTAATTTTTTGTGGAGATTTAATGAAAAATTATTAGCTTAGACTCCTACCAGGCTATGTACCATTCAAATCTTCCTGACCTAACCTGTTTGGTTTGCAATCTACAGCTAGCATTTATTCCGGCAGCACAGCACAATCCCACGCATTGGTAAGGTTTGCCATGGTTTGAACAACGCATAGCCTAACTGACATAGTGTATTACCTAGGGTGTGGAATGAACTAACATGGTGTATTACATAGGGTGTGGGACTAATTAACAGTGTATTACCTGGGGTGTGGAACTAACTAACATGGTGTATTACCTGGGGTGTGGACAGAGAATTGATTTACATAGAATTGGTCATTGTTGGTAGAGGAGTAGCTAAGGCTTATCAGGAGAGAGGTTCAAACAACTTAATTGCCACTTTGCCATCAAGGGTCCAAATTGTGAGTTTAAGTGCAAAGAGTGAGCCTGAGTGTAAAAGGGACAGAAAAAGTAGAACATTTGAGTGAGAAGTTTAAAAAGAGCTAAGAGTGGTGACAATACAGTAAGCATCACCTGCAGATTGGTTCTGCCTCCTAGCACTGTTTGTTCCATGATTAAGATTTGAGACAATATCGAAGAGAGGCAAGTTAGCTAATAAATTTTCAGCAATGAAAATAAAGAGGCTGAGTACAATAAACTTTACATTTAAAGGTTTTATCTTCTTTATTCTTGTTTGAATGTCACTTCACTATTATCAGTACGATCTCATGTGAACTCTCAGTATCCATCCCTTTGACCAATCCTGAAGCTGACAGATCATCCTGTAATACTTCACAGTCTGTCTTTTTTTTCTCTGAATAAATTATCCCCAAACATATGTGAGGAAGAATAAATAGCATCTGATATATTATTTATGAAATAAATGAACAACATCAGTCCAAGCACACTATGGCACATTGCTTGTCAAAGAAACATATTGCTTATGATCACAAGAAAAATATCCATTCCTTGTGAGGAAATTTCCCCTAAATTCTGTATCCTCCCAATTTAATTTTCAGCTTTTCATGATATACACCTTCACATGTCTTGGCAAAGTTACGGTATATATTTTTAATAATACCACCATGTTCTAGGACTAGGATCTGTACCTCCAGTAGCTGTGTCAAGAAGAAGCAGCCAGGCATAAATCTGAATTGGCATTCCTCCACAAAGTTGTTACATTGTAGAAGGTCCACCATAACATTGTACATAATCCCTTCTAGCACTTTATATACTATGCAGGTTTAAATTTAATGGCTTGTAAATATTCATGCAGTGGCAATCACTCTTATAATATGCCAGTAAGACTCACACATAATGATTATTTCCAGTCCCTGGGGATCTTTTACTCATCAATACTTTTGGAAAACAAGATTTTAGCAAGTTCTAAATAGCTCAATACACTTTTAATGTGCTGGGATGCCCTATATCACAACCATGGCTTTTATAAACCTTCAGATTAAATTATTCATTTTTAATACACTCTTCTGAGAAGTCTATATACCCCAGTGGTGCCAAAATGTTATTCCTCAAAAGTTGGAAATTAATTCATTTAATACATCCGCTTTGTCTTGGTGAGAGTCTGCACAACTACCCTATTCCAGCCTCAGATTTGAGACAGAGTTCTATCTCTCAACTCTTTCAACTGTTAATGGACTAGTGTAATTACTAACCTTGTTATGTGTTTAAAAACCTTAGTAGTTGAAGCACAGTAATACATTACCCCTGTATAACATTAACATCCTTCATTTGAATTTGCAAAATATAAAAAAGCTTTGGGGGTTTGATTGTGCCTTGGTTGTAACCTGATTACGAAAGTGTTCTGAGAGGATAGGATCTAACTCTACCTAGTTTTTTGCCACTGCCATGATGTGCCACTTTGTTTTTTCATTTGCTGCTGTAATCCTGAGGAGATGTGGTTTATTCTTTTGCTTCCCCCTTAGCCTATCTATTTTACCTGGGACAGATGTTATATGCAGGCCCTTTGCAAATAAGTCTCAAAAATTCATCATGCTTTGTGTTTTCCCATTCTCACCAACATCTGACTCAGAGACTCCAGACAATAATAAGATTAGTGTATTCAAAATAAACCTAAAGTTCCTCTGGCACAATGTTAGTATTGACCTAAATCTGCTTCTCCTGTCCTATCCTGCACACAATTTTTTAATACTGTATGTTCTTTGCTGAAAGGAACAAGATAGAAGCAAAAGCATTATGAGCAGATGCATCTACTGAGTTATTAAAAGGTGACCCACACACTCAAACTTAACAGTGATTACAATGCTGATACTGTATCACAGTGCTTGAGATCAGTTCTCTGTCTTCCTCAAAACAGAGGAGAGACAACTATGATCTAACACCGAACGTCATGATAATTTTCTATTCAGTGACAGTAATGAAGTTACCTTTATATCAGTGGCTCCAAAGATAATTGGACGAAGAGGCTCCTGTTCTGAGTTGAGAACATAGTCACCCAGTGTCACCCGAATTTGGTGTGGTCGTGCCCTGTAATGAAGTTTATATATTAAGACTGTTAAAAAACAAATCAAAATAAATTGCAATTTAGCAAATTAATATATTTTTCACCTTAAAAATATATAAATACTGTACATAGGCAATTAATTCTTCAGTAAGCTGTATTTCAAGTTGCAGGATTTTTATAGCCTGGCACCCTTTGCTGGAGACTTGTGTATTTTATTCACTAAGTCTAGAAGAACTTCCACACACTGTAGATGGCTGCAAGTAATTCATAAATTACTTAACACCTTCCTGTCACACACAAGTCTCTGAGGGGATTTTTTTATATAATAGTTATCACTTAAAGCTAATCAATAAAAAGGTGCCTCACCCTTCACCTGGATCAAACATAATGGATTATAGGACTAATTTCTCCAATTCAGTCTCAGTCATCTGCTTACACTGAATGACTGTCTCACTGTCACCTCCACCTCCTGTTAGGATAAATGATATAATTTCAAACTCTTAAACACGGGACCAGACAATCCAGTGCTTGGTTGATTTTATATACTATGGGTTTTAACAGTTTGCAGAATGACCTAACTTGGGTCCAACCATTGTGCCTGTTCATAGAGTTGAACAGGCCTCAAATATGGAAAAAAACATTTAAAAACTCTGAGTTTCCAAAGAAATCTTCCAAGGTGTTTCACATCCTAATTACCAGACAATCAGTTTTGGAAGTTGTGGGTTTATTGTGTTTCCCACTTAGGAATGGAACAGGTCTGCACACACACACACACCCACATCACATAATATTTTCTATCGAGGATTTTTGTGTGCTTCTTTGAGTTCTTTGGTTACTTACGATACTTTTTTTTACTTTTTTCTTATTCACCACTGACTGGCTCGTTAGCAGCTTCAGCGATCTGTCACGTCTCTGTTACGCACTGTTGGCAAGTACTGGGCATGCACTGGCTCCTGAATGTATCTGAACCTGCTCCAGTGCTGGTCAAGTCTGGTCTTGAAACAGCTCACACTCGGTGCCATCACAACACTCTCTGGCAGATTGTTCCACGTTCCACGAGTTCAAAACTCTCACTCCGAAAAGTTTGCCCTCACAGTTTTCTGGACTTGCAGCTTCTTCAACTTTGAGCTGTGACCCCTTGTCGGGTGAACATCTGCCAGCTCCAAGTAAGGAAACTTAACTGAGTAGTGCCCTTTCAGTTGTTGATACATCTCAATTAGGTTGCCCCTTATCTGTCTGTAGTATAAGCTAAGCAATTGCGGCTCTCTAATCTCTCTGGATAGCTGAGGAGCCTAAGAGCAGGCACCAGTCTGGTGGCCTTCTTTTGAACATTTTCAATCAACTGACAGTCCCAAGCATATCTAGGGGACCAGATGGGGTGTCAGTACTCCAGGTGGGGAAGCAACTCGCTTTTGAAGATCGTTTTGAGGGACAGACCTCTAGATATCTGAACAACCTTCTTATAAGACCTAATAATTTAGTTGCTTGATTCACTTTCTTTTCACAATGGCCCAAGAACTTCAGTTCATTGTCAACATACACACTTGGGTTCTTTTCACATTAAGTCTCAATTAATGCAGCTTTTTCGTCCCATTGGGACATATGATATGCCTCCTTACCGTTAGTACGTCCCAGGTGCATCCTCTTACACTGCGTCACATTGAATCTTAGCAGCCATTTCTTTGGCCATTCTTCGAGCTCACAGAGATCTTTCTGCAGCTCTTCACAGTCTACTTGGTTATTAATTTCCCTAAATAACTTAGCATCATCTGCAAACATTTGTATGGAGGAGTGTACAGCTTCTGGCATGTCATTTATAAAGCAAACAAACAACAGCTGGCCCATTCCACTGCCCTATGTTACCTCGCTTATAATGGGTACACATGACGATTTCATGCCATTAATCACCACACACTGTTTGCGACATTAGAGAAAGTCTCTGATCCACGCTAGGACACTTCCGCGAATCCCGTACCCTTCCAGTTTCAATTTTCAGCCTATCATGGGGTATGCTGTTGAAAGCCTTGGCAAAATCTAGGTATATATTGTTGTCATTTGCCACCCTTTTCCAGAATTCGGGTCTAAACATCCAGTACCTTGAGTAATTGTGTTAAGCAGGAGCGTCCCAGCATAAAACCGTGTTGGCAATCCTTTACAAGGTTGTTTCATAGCAGTCTCTCCTCAACTTACGACATATTCGACTTACGACAACCTGGACATACTGTAAGACGGCCATGGTCGTATAAAATAATTTTCACATTACGTATTTTCGAGTCCCGATGTTTGGTCGAAATGTGCATTCAGCTGACTACATTAAAGGTAAGTGCACAGTAACATTTTATTATTTTTTCATTATTGATTACTTTTACTGTACTACTGTATTTCATTTTAAAATTTCTATGTATTATTTTCGCCTTTTCAACTTCCGACCAAATCGACTTACGACCTGGTCATCGGGACGGAACCCTGTCGTAAGTCGAGGAGAGACTGTAGATGTTCCATCATGGCATCTCTTATAATGCTTTCAAGTACTTTACACAGTATGCTGTTCAGGCTCACTGGTCTATAATTATTCGTGGAGTGTTAGTCGCCCTTCTAGAAAACAGGACTCGCATTAACCGTTTTCCAAACACTGGGGACCTTTTGCTCATCCAGGCATTTACAGAACAGGATCTTCAGGGGGTCAGCAAGCTCATTGCACAACTCTCTTAGCACTCTGGGATGCACCATGTAAGGGCAGGGACTCCAATGAGCCTTTAGCTTCGACAATTTATTTCTTATAACCTTTCCTGAGAACACAATGTGGGTCAGTGCTGTGTCAAACCGTCTGTCCTCAAAAGCAGGAAGATTATTCGCATCCTCCATTGTGAACACCGAGGCAAAGAAAGTGTTCAACACCGAGGCAAAGAGACTGTTCAACACCTCTGCTTTGTCCTGGTCAGAATCTGTGTAACTGCCATCTTCAAGCCTCAGGTCCGATACTCCTACTAGCGTTTCTAAGTTAGACTTTGCATAGCGGTAAAACTCCTTTGGGTTTGACTTGACCTTGCTTGCAATCACCCTCTGGAACTCCTTTTCAGCCCTTCTACACTCTGACTTTGCTTGGTTCCTGGATGTGGCATACATCCTCCTATCCTGCTCATCGTTTGTCCTAACCAACGTCTTGAATTTTGGGGTTTTCTTCTTAACTTTGTCGACTGCCGCATGGTTCATGTGTAGTGGTCTCCTTGTATTCCCGGAGGCACTGGGTTTGGTCTTGGGTATATATTTTTCAATCAAATGGTTAACTTTACTGGCTATGATATTCAGCGTAGTGTCTGCATTCGTCACAATTTCTTGTAATATTTGCATCTTGGCCTGGTTTTGTCATGAACCAAGTAACAGTTAAACCTAAAGGACAACGTTACGTGATGGCTGGTGCCAACGGTGGCTAGGTGTTTCAGATTGGCCACCATACCCTCCTCGTTTGCTATCATGAGGTCCAGTGGCTTGGGTGTCTGCTCCCCTCTGTAATGAGTCAGGTTTTTAATATGTTGGAATAGAAAATTCTCTATCATCACAGTTTCTAAAAAAAGATTAGCAAGGTTATTTAAGCCAATTGACATGGTTTCATTTCTCCAGTCAGTGTCGCCATAGTTAAAGTTCCCCATGATAAGGAGGTGGCTAGGGTTGAGCACCATTGCATTGTCTATTAAATTCCTTTGGTTTAATAAGCTACACCTGACGATAAGTAAGTCTCCTCCCTCTAATTCAATTTTACACCACTTGAATTCTTCAAAAACATCCTCTCCCTATACCCTCACCTAGCTGGCTCTAAGGTCTAGCATAGATAACCACACCCCTCTTGAAAGTTACTTGAGAAAGGTTCGTAAATTAGTCATATCCGTCAATAGTGAACTCAGATTCCTCCTGGTTGATTCTCCTGTTCTTTTACAACAGTTCTACAACACCTACTATATCGGGTTGATGTACCTTTAGTAGTGTTTCAAACTCCTCTCTCTTATCAAGGAATGTGTCAAGATTAGTGTACATGACTTTCAAGCTGGAATTTGTTCTTGGTAACATCTCTGATTTTGGGAGTGACTCCGGCCCTCGTCCATTCTCAGCAGCTGCAGCATTTGCTAAATACATCGTATTTTGCGGGGTGTGGCCAGAGATGTCATTGTTTACATGGCGCTCGCCTGCTCCTGGGTGGGAGGTAGAGCAGCTAAGGGGGGGGGGGGTCCCTCCATTCCCCAGGTCTGTGCTGATGCTCTTGCTTCCACTACCCTCCCCCTGGATATAACCCATGTACACCCGTTCCCGTTGACTCCTCCTTCCTCTGCTTCAGGCCCTGTTGGAGTTTTTTGTGCTATTCCATCTGCATTACCTTACTAAGTTTTTTGCCTGCCGAATAACTTCCCATTTCTTATTTTCACTGACTAGTGTGATCCTGAGGGACCGAGGCTTGTTCTCCTGCTTTTGTCGTAGCCTTCTCACATTCAGAGCCTCTGTACATATATTCCAAAACTGCAACTTATCGTGTGTTTTCCTACTCTCAGCTTCCTCCGACTGGTTCTCAGGGACTGCAAAATCTATTACTTTGTTCCTGTGCTCAAAACGTTCCCATTGTTTCTCCTCTCCCCTAACATTAGGTCTGCTAGTTGCCATCTCTTCGACACACTTCTTCAGAGTCCCTAGCTGCTGTAAAACCTGTTAGGATCCTGTATTACTCTTCTTTCCATCACCTTCTGTGGCCCTGCTAAAGCCTGAGCATAACTATTCCTCACTACTCCCTCCATTCTATCAGCTACTTCCTCAGTCTTAGCAAGTATCTCTTTCCCAACTTGTTCTAGTTTGGCAACCAGCAAGGATCCAGCTTCATCTACTTTCGTCCCTAGGATTCTCATTCCCCAATGGTTTGCAATCGCCTTATTTACTTTGATTTTGCAGTCAGGACAATACCAGCAACAGCCTTCATGTTTTACCTTATTATGTATTGTCCTGAATTCTGTATAGCCCAGATCCGCACAATTTACATCAGACGTCGCCCTGCAGTAATTGCACGGCAACAGACTTCCTGGTGATGCTGGGGTTTTAGCCCCTGATTCTCTACGCCTCGTGACTGTCATTGTTGGGGAGGAGGGGGGATTGTGCAGACTCTGGACGAATCGTCTCAGCCTTAAGCCCAGTTTACAATGTGATATAATTCTAATTGTCGGTTTAATAATAATAATATTATTATTAATCTTTATTATTACTATGATAATTGCTTCTAATCTGTGTCTTGGTGGCAGGGTTTTAGCATCAAGGTCCCTTTAAAGCCCCACTCCACTGCCTTCATATATAGGCCTCTTTGTCTGGTGCCAACCACCAGATGCTCACACTTAATTTCTTCTGATGAAGAAATTTACCTCTCTGGGATGACTTACCTTATAATCACATCTACTAATTGTAATCTAAATGAAATGAGATGTGTGAGTGATCATGCCCTTGTGGCAGACTAATGTTATTTAAAAAATCACTTAGCTGCCCTGCTGCTGGCCTTGACCTCCCTGGCACCCTTGTTCGTCCAGTGTTGCCGTCCAAGACAAGTTGAATTGTTTTCTGTTTTTGTTTTTATCCAGTTCTCCTCGATGAGTTGTTGGTATCTTTACGTTCTATCACTAAGTACACTGTATCTTGCTATAAATGGTGGATCATATGCACAATCACAGTCCCTTAGAGAACAGAGAAAAAATAAAACTTTCTTTATGGAGGCAATAAATGCAGTTCGAGACAGCTTGGCTTGGATTTTTTCTTCTTTTTTTAACTATTATTTACTTATGTTCTCTTTTCCAGTTCTCATCAACGAATATATCTCTATGTTCTATCACTGTGTACACTGTATCTCCCTATGAATGGTGGATTGTAAGCACATTTCAGTACCTGAGAAAACACACACACAAAAGAAAAACTTTCTGTATGGCACCAATATATATGACTTGGTTACTACCGGCAGTGGTGCCAGATTGCTTGTCCCAATTTGTTTTTCACTTCAATTTACAGTGATCCCTCGGTTAACGAACGCCTCGGTTAACAAAATTTCGGTTAACGAATTACCTTCCATAAGAATCTTCATTTCGGTTAACAAAAAAAAATTCGGTTAACGAAATTCTTACGAAAATGTTTCGACATGCTTTGGCTTGTTCACCAGCTGGAAGATTAGTCCGCCAATACAGAAATCGGTTCTAGGGCTTACATTCATTAAAATTTGAGTAAATATCAAGAAGGTTGTACTATTAAATAATTTTCCAAGTTATATATTCAAATATTTAGTCATTTTAACACTTTTTTAGTTAACACAAAGGATAGCACAGTCTAAATAAATGTTACATTCATATCTAATAATGAAATCATACAATAAATTTAACACTTTACCTTGAAAAAATATGAATATAACTTGGTGGGGGAGAAGAGTGATTTTGAAGTTGATAGCATCAAGCTTCTCTTCAAGTGTTATAGCCTTTCATTTACAATCACCACAGGGAATGCGATCACCAGAACGCTTCTTGGAGATATTCTTCTTTTCCATATTCACAATTAATACCACAAAATTGGAGAAATAGTAAGCAAATATCACTGAGGACGCTTCAAAACAACTCACGTGTTTCAACTGATCGTGTGATGGAAAAAGAGAGAGCGGGTGTAAAACGCTATTTGCCCGCACTGCGAAACATTATTTTTATTTATTTTTTTCATACAGTATTTATGGGAACAGCTAAATTTGAAAAAAAAAAGATGAAATTTATAGAGACCCTATCAAATAACACTTCACAAACAAAACTCATGAATCAATTGAACATGTGATGTCAAACGTGAACTGTAAACACTGCATAACCCCGCGCCAAGCGACAGTACACCTAAAACATTCGAGTGGAATCGCATTACAACCAACATGCGTTCGCTTCCTTTATCATGGCAAAATATTATTAATGTACACCTAAACTGAGCATCTGATGATGATGTTATCGGGGGCATAAACATCAGTGACATCAGTAAAGTGACAACCTTTCAAACACTACATGCTGTGCCTGCTGTTTTTGTTTATAACTCTATCTTGTTTGCTCTTTATTACTCTTTCTCTGTTGGTGGGGTATTCATCTGTTTCATCTCAGCAAGGGTAGTGACGTTAATTGTTGGTATGTATTGTGCATAATGAAGAGCATTTTACACAGGCTATAAGTTTTCTGAAAAAATTTTGTACACACATTCACAGTATGGTGATTTGGCCACTAAGGAATGTGTTCTCAGGGAGTTGTTGAACTTATTATGTTTTTTGTATTGCAGGGTGGTGGAGGCAGCAGAACTTTATCATTCTGCTTGTCAGTGCCGGCTAACAAGGTTATTTGGGCGATTATATTTCCTACTGTCTTTTGTCTTGTATACCTGGTCAGTAGTTTCCAACACTGGGTCCCTGCACCCCAGGGGTCCATAATGGTGGTACTGAGGGTCTGTGAACCTACTACACAACTGCACACTCCAAGCTGAATAATAGATTTGGATTTCTACAGGATTTATTTGAAATCAGTGAATATGATCTTAATGTAAAATGTGAATATCTTGTAAATGTATATTTATCAGATCTGGAAAGAATAGTTGGTACAGAATTGTTTCAATTTTGCTATATTGTAAGAGAACTTTTGTCTGCCAAGAAAAAAAAAAAAAAAAAAAGTTTTTACGACGTCTCGCTTTATACCTACGTACGTATGTTCCTATCATAGCATGAACTCGCCAGGCCAACATACAGGCAATTAAAAGATCTAATAATTACTTAAATACATAATATTAGGATACGTCGTTACCTTGCATTTAATTGCAATTCTCAAAACCCCCTCCCGCACCCTCCATCACACGCATTGCTACTGTCATCTTCTTGCCTGGCGAGTAAGAGATGAGCCTTGAACACTTTACGTTCAATATAATTCGTGATCAGAGACTAGAATCAACATTTCCAAACATAGACATACTTCTATGAATTTATCATAGTCTTGTGATACCAAATTTCTCTGGAGAGGTCATTTTCCAAACTGAAATATGTGAAAAATTATTTTCGATCAACTATAGACTCAAAAGAGATTAGTCAATCTGGCACTTATGAGTATGGAACAAGATGTACTAGAGGACATTGATTTCGATAAGCTAATCAAAACATTTTCTGTTAAAAGGCACATAAAGTTTCAATGCACCTATGTTAAAATATAATGTGATATCAAAGAAAAAGAAGTTTAATTTATGTTCATTTTGTTTGTCCGTTCTTTATGGATTTATACATATTAATAAAGTGTACAGTTTGTAATGATATACTGTATTTTGATTAATAACCTACCACCACTTACATTTAGTCTGTGAAATATATTTTCATACATACATAACATAGGCAATTGTACGTGTAGCTTGTAGGAGAATCTAAAGTTATTTTTATTTAATTTATACAAAAGGGCCTCCATAAGCATATTTACCTCAAGGCCTCCACCTACCCTAAGCCGGCCCTGGCCGGAAGTACATTCACCACATTTGTAATATTTCAAAACATCTAAAGGGACTGTAAATCAATCACTGGTTCAAATGGTCTTGATTCAACCCTGATCCATTTATCTGAGAGGTGTTGCTTGCAGCAGTATTACCTTATCTCACACACCGTTCTCTACTACAGTATTAAGTCTTTACAGCCACAAGGTAAAGATAGGTTATCTCCGAGGGTTTAGATACATGCACTTCACAGATAACTAACTAATGAGATAAAATAATACTTTATAATTAGGACACACAAACCTGAAAGATCAATTAACACAAAAATATATTTTTAGCACTAACTTGGAAAGAAAAAACCTTGAGATTATAGAATATAGAAATATAAAGTAAAGTATAAAAAGTTTAAGGTAATAGCTTACCTTGCAACACAATGACCAGCAGTGACCACATGATATTGATTGATGAGTGATCCTCCACACCGACTTGAACCAATCCGGATATATGCCTAAGGGTCAGGTGAGGTCAAGGTAGGGGAGGATGGGGTACAAAATAAATAATGAAAAAACCTTACAAAAAGTCTATATACAGTATTCAACTCTTTCCACTTCATTCCATTAACAATTACAGCATTAAAATAAAATCAACTAATATATTGTACGAGACATACTGCAGTGAATTCTAAGAAACTACGTATTTTGCTTAGTTGTGCAAGAGTCCCGTATGCACTACTAACGTAATCAACTACATACTTTCTATGTGATTTTTATTACTTCAGTTACATTTGAAGCTGTAAACTAATTCTGTAAAAACATCAAAATGACACTCTGGGTGAAGACAGAACTTATTCATAGTGGTAAAAAAATAAACAAATTAATTACGCTAACTGCAATTCTTAAGGTAGAAAAATTAAACTGCAAGTTTTATTATAAGACTTAAACTTCTTGCTAATTAAAGGTTTAAAAATAGGAGAATACAGTAATGAATAAACTCCGGATTCTAATTCAAGCATAAAGATGTTGACTTAATACAGTTAAACAGTCTGTTATTATCATTAAAGCAATAAGCATGGGATATTGTCATCTAGTTCTGCTTTTCAATATTTACTTGTCAAACACTTTCCCCTGGTGTCTTCTACCTAATCAGTTTGTCCTACCAACAATAGAGGTTACTCTCATGATGAAAACATTGTCTTATATGAGTTTGTCTTGTATGCTGACTTCATAATATAATAACAAATATGAATCCATCTTCCTTAAGATGTGTCCTTGCAAGATATATATTTAATTACTATAATTTTTCTTGGCTTCTAACTCGAACATTTAAAATTACCTACACTGTACATACAAAACTTGTACAAGTCAGCAAACAAACCAGAACATTATGTTACACAAAGTCCACCTGTCTTGTCTTCAGCATAGGTGGTCAGGTCCTGTTTGGTTTTTCCATCATCATTTAGAGGATTCCCTATTCTTCTTCATACACCCTGTGAAGGAGCAGGCTGTGCTCTGACTACTACCATGATACTGTACTAGCAGTATCACATCTGCCATTAAATAATTTGCATTATCAGTCAGGTGTCTCATCCTAGTTACTATACCAACTGTCAGGTGATGTCATGTCTGGCTGCATCCACTGTATTCCATGTCTTGTCTTGAGAACTTCAAACTGTCAGAAGTTGCCCTTTCCTCTGCTCTGCAAGATTTTCTTAGAGTGATACTATATGGTTTACAATAAACATATCTCATTTAGGTAGTCCTATACAGTAGGCTAAAAATTGTAATGTATAATTTGTACAATATAATACAGCAATTATGAAAAATAATTTACAAAGACAGTACAGTAATATTATCAAAAACTATCTTGAGAGTAGCAGTTTTTGGACAGACCTTTTATCCCAGAATTAACTGTAATGGCTTAAGCCAAAGCCAAAGTAAAAATACCTAATTCATTAAAAGGATTGCTTTTGATACCTGAAACTGCAGTCTACCAGATAGAGTAATGCCCTCGCTTTTTTTTATATAATTAAAAAAATTAAGACTTTCTTCATTATCATCGTTTTATGGCAATTTCCCACACTTGCTTAAGTTACCAATCCTAATGCAGTATTAATATCATATGATCCTTATTTTCTAGGTTAACACTAAATTTTTTCACTGCACTAAACTTTAAATAAAATTTTTTGTTAACAGTAGAACCTCTATACACCGGAATTCACTTTTTTACAGACTCTTTGAGGTGCTCCGGACTGCCCCTCTATTCACTGGAAATAATTTGAAAAAATCCAGAAAATCCAGCATCAGTTTGAATGTTTGTGTGTTTGTAGGTGCGACTGAATGTTTACGGGTGGGTGTTGCATGGCATGTGACTGAGTCCTGCCTTCATACATATCATATCAGTGTGTCGTGCCTCATAACATACACTCATTTATGTGAACGTTTCAAGTAGAGTACGTATTGTCTTTAATGAGAATACTTGAGGGTTTTGTGAAATGGGCAAAATTATGTAGAATACTACCTAGTTTAAGAAATTAGGCAAAAAAAATATATAGAAAATAAAAAATGCTTATACTATACGTACTAAAAAAAAATCTTCTTCGCTGAATACTGTACAGTGGTCTAATCATATTTGCTGTATGCCTAAGGAGAGCTACTAAGTATGACAGATAAGATACTGCATATGTAAACAGGCTGAGGGTAGTGGGGGGAGGAGGACAGGGCATTATCATATTTGCCATTTTTGTTCAATCCAGAATGCGACGTCTAGCTTTATACCTAGGTATGTTAATGCCTAGCAATAACTCGCCAGGCCAACATACAGGCAATTAAAACATCTAATAATTACTTAATATGTAATATTAGGAGGACACGTCACTACCTGGCGTTTAATTGCAATTCTCAAAACCCCCTCCCGCACCCTCCATCACACGCATTGCTACAGTCATCTTCTTGCCTGGTGAATCAGCTGTAAATACGCACAAAGAAGGCTCCGCTAATTTGTGTTGTAATAGCTGAAATACTAAGTGCCACGAGGATTTTACATTTGGTATTTATACATCTTAGCACAGGTGAGGAAATCGAGTGACTTTTATTTTGCTTATGTCTCTCAGATATTGTGTTAGGGGCAATTTTTTATACGGTCTGGTCAAGCATGGCGACCACGGCTCATCTTCTATCTAGGAAGACAGTAGATCGTTAGTGACTAATATCCTCTGCTTTCAAGTCACTTAGTGAATGACATTGTTTTTCACCCTTCCGGGCACATCTTCACTGAAAGAATATATATATACGTGTATAGATATACTGTATACAGTATACCGGGTATGTATATATACTGCATACTGTAAAAAAAAAAATTCTTTGTCCCAATTATACACGTGCAAGTATGAATACCATGTGGCCATCCCTCTCCCTCTTCTCATGTTTGTTCACAAAACTATTCGGGCTTCCACCCTGGGTTTTCTAATTACTGTACTCTCAGCATGAAGGCTAGAGTTGAGTTTTTCTCTTCATAACTCTATTTTATTCATGTCCTCAGTAGCGAGTTCAGCCTTTCCAGGAGAACTTTACCAAGGCTGCTAGTCTTAGTGATCCTTCCGGACGCTGACCTTCCGGTCTTACTAGCAATCTAGAGTTATGTTGGGATGAACCTTGTATCCTTAATATGGGTTATATGAGAACCATTCAGGGTGGAATTCTCAACCCAACACATCTTGCCAGAGTAATGGTGAATGATGTTAGCTAACGGAGCGCTATGGTAGCAGCTCAGCACTGTCAACCCTTCCGGGTGACTTGATGCTCACTCGGGCATCATCGCTGAAGCTAATCATGTTAAATGGGTCCTGGGGAGGAGGCCCCCACCTACACTACCTTCTGCTTGTTGCTCCGATACACTCTCATCTCCGTGTTTTATTTTTTTCATAAGACACACGAGCACATTGAAATGACTTCCCAAATATAACACTTTACAGTACAAAATAGTCATATTAGTGAAAACAGTTGTCAGCATTCAGATTTTGTTTAATTTCTTGAAATAATTCAGATAAACAGTGTTATGTCCAGACTGGGGTGTATTGCAGCAATTAGTCTGGTGTACTGAGGTACGTACTGTGCTTTACAACTTATATACTGTACATGTCACTTGTAGTAAGTACAGTACAGAACAGTATGTGAAAATAATAATTGAGATGACAAGTAGGAGTAAACTTGGCTCGGTACTCTATTCACTATTTGGTTCTAATATAAAGAAAGCCTTCACAAATTTTAATTTCTTCTGTTAGTTCATGCCATACGTTACATGGTACACTACCACACAACATTATTTTAATGTGTTTTCCATCTGTCCGTCCATCACTTTGGAGGCCCCAGTGGTCCTCACAACATAACTCTATATTTATTTATTTATTTATTTATTTTTTATTTAATTATTTTTTTTTTTTTACCGGGGATCAGACCACCCGGGCACAGGTCACTGACTCACATTGGGGCCTGAGGGGCTAAAATATAACAATAATTATAATACTGTAATAATAATAATAATAATAATAATAATAATAATAATAATAATAATAATAATAATTATAATTATAACAATAATAATAATAATAATAATTCATAGGTCTAAGTCGTGTTTCTCACTTTTGATCTTTTTTTTTCATTCTTATATTTCTTTATTATTATTATTTTTGTTCAACCCAGAATGCGACACTTAACTTTTAACCTAGGTATGTTAATGCCTAGCAATAACTCGCCAGGCCAACATACAGGCAATTAAAACATCTAATAATTACTTAATAAGTAATATTAGGAGGACACGTCACTACCTGGCATTTAATTGCAATTGTCGAAACCCCCGCCCTTCGCCCCCCATCGCACGCACTGCCACCTTCATCTCTGTTGTGCAACGAGCTTGCAGAGCCCCTGAAGATCCTGTTTTGTAAATGCCTGGATGAACAAATGGTCCCCAGTGAATGGAAAGTGAAGTGGCTTATAAGAGTCCTATCTTCAAGAAGGGCGATCGTCACTCCACAAACAACTATAGACCGGTGAGCCTGACCAGCATAATATGTAAAGTACTTGAGAGTATTATCAGAGATGCAGCAATGGAACATATAATACGAAACAACCTTGTAAAAGATTGCCAACACGGTTTTATGCCGGGGCGCTCCTGCTTAACACAACTGCTCAAGGTATTGGATATTTGGGCCCATATTCTGGAACAGGGTGGTAATATCGACAATATTTACCTAGATTTTTCCAAGGCTTTCGACAGTGTACCCCACGAAAGGCTGAAAATCAAACTGGAAGGGTACGGAATTCGGGGAAATGTCCTAGCGTGGATAGAAGACTTTCTACAAGACCGCAAGCAGTGTGTGGTGATTAATGGTATGAAATCGTCATCTGTACCTGTCGCAAGTGGGGTACCACAGGGCAGTGTATTGGGCCCGCTGTTGTACACTCCTCCATACAAATGTTTGCCGATGACGCCAAGTTATTTTGAGAAATTAAGTACCAAGCAGACTGTGAAGAGCTGCAGAAGGACCTCTGTGGGCTCCAGGAATGGTCGAAGAAATGGCTGCTGAGATTCAATGTCACGAAGTGTAGGAGGATGCACCTGGGGCGTACCAACGGTAAGGAGGTGTATCATATGTCCCAACGGGATGAAGAAACTGCACTAGTTGAGACTGTGTGTGAGAAGGACCTAGGTATGTATGTTGACAATGAGCTGAAGTTCTCGGGCCACTGTGAGAAGAAGGTAAATCAGGCAAATAAATTATTGGGTCTTATAAGAAGGTCGTTCAGATATCTAGACGGTCCGTCCCTCGTAATGATCTTCAGGAGTGAAGTGCTTCCCCATCTGGTCCCCGACATATGCTAGGGACTGTCAGTTGGTTGAAAATGTTCAAAGGAGGGCCACCAGACTGGTGCCTGCACTTCGGCACCTCAGCTACCCTGAGAGATTAGAGCGCCTGAAATTGCCTAGCTTATACTACAGACGGGCAAGGGGGGACCTAGTTGAGGTGTATAAGCATCTCAGGGGGCACTACTCAGTTGAGTGTCCTTACTTGGAGCTGGCGGACGCTCGCCCCACAAGGGGTCACAGCTCAAGATTGAAGAAGCCGCAAGTCCAGAAAACCGTGAGAGCAAACTTTTACGGAGTGAGGGTTGTAAACTCTTGGAACAATCTACCAGAGAGTGTTGTGACAGCACAGAGTGTGAGCTCTTTCAAGACCAGACTTGATCAACACTGGAGCGGGTTCAGGTACATTCAGGAGCAGGTGCATGCCCAGTATTTGCCAACAGTGCGTGACAGAGACGTGACCGATCGCCCGAGCGGCTAGCGAGCCGATCTTTTGGTGATGAAGATAAATGAAAAGAAAAGTAATCAGAGATGTGACCGATCGCCCAAGCGGCTAACAAGCCGATCAGTGGCGAAGAGGATAAAAGTAAAAGTAAAAGTTGCCTGGCGATTCAGCTATAAGTACACGCAATGGAGAGCTCCGCGAATTTGTGTTGTAATTGCTGAAATACTAAGCTCCGCGAGGATTTTATATACGGTATTTGTACTTATTAGCACAGTGATGAAGTAATGACTTTTATTTTGTGATGTCTCTCAATTACTGTATTTGGGACAATTTCTTATACGATCTCAGGTCAGACATGGCGACAACAACACGTCTTCTTTGTGAAGTCGTTTGATCGATATAATTATTTTTACATTTTCGCTTCCCAGACCCCAATGTGGGTTAGTGACCTGTGCTCGGGTGGGCTAATCCCTGTTTAAAAAAACAAAAAAAAACAACAGTTTTGCTCCACAAAAAAAAAATTCGGTTTTCGGAATTTCGGATAAAGGGTTGTACTGTATTACATAGGCAAGCATTCCTCAGTATCACACAATCTATATTGACAAAAATCGGAAGTACAATCCTAGCATAATTATTGAAACCAAAAAGTGAACACAGATATTTATAGAGCTAAACTTAGGTCTTATAACTGTATATTCTATTTACTTCATTATTACCAAATATCTTACCATATCCTTCCTCCAGATTTAAAAAGTAAGAACTCCATTACTACTGTCAAACTTTACACACTGTGCAGTAGAGCAAAAGTTAAGTTATAACCCTAAATCATTCAATGGATCTCCAATGAAATTGTCACATAAGGATACTCTTGCACGACCACAATGATACAAATACTATGGCATTAAATGATTGCCCATGAGATCACCAGTTGTCCATAGAAGTGAGTCATGAAAGAGGTTATGATAATAGCTGTAGCTGCATGCACCATTAATACATGTGAAGAGAAATAGTTGGCGAAGACACACACCAGACAAGGAAGAGACTAATGGGACAAAGCCAAATGAAAGAGTTCCTTACTTACTTTATATAATAGATTAAGTAGAGAATAAAAAAAGAGGAGACTGGCCAGTGACAGATGCACGGAATGACATACAGTATTACCCCGCTTTACGCGGTTTCACTTTACGCGATTTCTCATATACGCGGTGCCTCGCCAGAACCGAACTTTCACTTTACGCGGTTCATCTACCCATATACGCGCAGAGTGTCCGGCTCGACGCTATTTTTAGATTCGCCCCACCCGCCTGCTCCCACCTCCGCCTGGGTAAGCCGCGCGGTAAGGTTGCGCAGTGCATGTCTCTGTTGCGTTATCACTGATGTCATATGACGTATCGGACTGTGATTGGCCATGCATCCCTACCCCTCTCTGCTGCTAGCTGTAATTGGTTTAATGTAATGTGACGTGTCCACCCGGGGAGGGAGGGAGGGAGGAAAGACGATACTTGACCTAGCCGCGGCAGTTTCATCCCTCCAGGCCCCGTATGCCGACCCATCTCTTCTACTAACGTAAGTGTTACACCTAACTTTTAGTTTTCCTAACCTAACCTTTATTTTTCCGAACTTAACCTCTATTTTTCCTAACCTAACCTCTTCTATATTACTTGTTTGTGCATACCATCATAAAGTTAAGATAAAATTTTTACTACAACATAGTTGTGTGTCGTCAAAAAGTGGAGTTTGGGGGTCGGGCCAGTCTCTATTGGAATTAATCCCATATGTTCTGTTGTTCCATTTACGCGGATTTCACTTAACGCGGTACCCTGTGGGTTCAATTGACCGCGTAAATCGGGGTACAACTGTATTATGAAAATACTAGAATTAGAATAAATTAATGTTATTAAACCACCTTGGTTCCTAAGCCAAAGAATACTGAATAATGGCTGATTAAAGACTAGTACCTTATAAATGGTGCATATAGAAAGATAAAGTTCAGAAAACAATATGTAAGCACAGTCTATTGAAAATATATTGAAAGAAGAAAAACCATATAATTTTAAACTTCATGACCGATCAAACAAAAACTGAGAAAGCAAAAAGCTGGGTACTGTATACACTGCATTTACCACACCAGTTGCTGAGAGGTAATAAACTCTGTACTTACAATTAATTTAAAAATGCATACTGAAAAAAAAATATATATATATACTGTATATATAATATATACATACTGTACAGACACAATCCAAAATTTCTTTACCCCCTTGGCTCGAAGGAAGGCTAAACCAAGGTTGAAGAAAGGCCAGGTGAACGGAGATACATTTATTCAGTAGTTTGGTAATGTTGCCCGATGATGGTGGGGGTCACACACCAGCACCTCAACACAGACAAAACATTCAAGCACGGGTATGAAATATGATCGAAAACATTGACATGATATGTTATGTTGGTACTGCTATAATTATTTTATGAATATTAATATATAACAACAGCACAAAGCATAATATATGTCCGTTCGGCTGGCCTTTCTTCAAACTTGGCTTAGCCTTCCTTCCAGTAAGTGGGTAAAGAAACTTTGGATTGTGACTGTACACTCTAATACTATACTATACTTGAAAAATAGAAACCCAGGTGATATGCTGTTAAAAGATTATAACATAACCTTAAAAATAAAGATTAAATAAATATATTAGTTCACAGAATTTCCTTACAACTGCATAAACAATCTAAGTTCTGTATAAAACAAGGAAGAGAAGATGAGTCTGACCTGCCAGGGGAAGGAACCAAAGCCAGCTTCAGTACCCCCAACAATCCTCCGCTGGGCAGAGAGGCGGCTGCTGGCACTCAAACCACAATCTGCAACACCATAAATTTTGAGTGAAATATTCAGGAAAGAAAATTTCATGCATATAAGCTTACCCTAGTATGATGCAGGGTAGCTAGAAGTGTTTTGATATACATTTATAGCATTCAGCAGTTAGTAAGTTACCCAACTCCTAGGGAGGATGCTAGTTCTGCATTTTCTTTTTTTATCTCTGGCAAGCACATCCACCACTGTAATTAATAAGTGATGAGTGAATAAGTCTTTGTGAACACTCCCCTACTCAAGTCAGGATTGAAGTTTGTCATCCTTCACAGAGAAGATGTGCACTGTCACTGAAGTACCTACTGTATACTGTGTAATCTTTTTAAGTTCTGTATATTGTACCTACACTGTACATTACTGCTATATATATTACCATGTGCCATACCAGTACTGTACAATTCTCTTACTCTAAATCTACTGTGGTTGTAAATTTAATTTTTGAATGGTTCGATTAATGAATTAGCTCCCATAAGGATTTTCAGTTCGATTAACGAAATCCTTACGACAAACACGTTTTGTTGTGCGCATCAGCTGATCAGCTAGTCCGCCAATACAGTAATTGGTTCTATGTTTACATTCGTTTCCAGTGAAGTAAATATCAAGAAAGTTGGTCTCTTGAATATTTCTGCATTTTTTATATTAAAATTATTGGTCATTCTGAAATTTAGTTAACATACTGATAATATAGACAGTACAGGGAACTAGTTTTTTGTGCGCCCATCAGACGCTTGACTCAGCCAACAGGCGTCAGTTGGGCTCTCTCTGTTGACAGTGGAGTGAACATCTATTTTGTTGGTCTTGAATGTTTTGCATTTTTCATTGAAATTATTGGTCATTCTGAAATTTAGTTAACATATTGATAATATATAGCGCAGCGCAGTGTTGATTTAAATAAAATAGTCTTGAATTACACCTAGTGAACTTAAAATTTTATGGGTGAAATGACAGCATCAAGCATGGGTCCCCTGAAAGGTGATTTCTCCTCCATCCCCACTTCCCTCTCTTCTCCCGTCTCCTCCACCCCTACTTCTAATTCCCATCATTATCATCAACCAGTAAGTGTACTTTACTGCATTTTTTTTTTACTTTGTATGTACTTTTCGGTGAGCTGGAACCAATTACCCAATATCCCATTGAAACAATGGATTCGGTTAACGAAATTTTCGGTTAACGAACGACCCTCTTGAACAATTGTGTTAACGAGGACCACTGCACAGTATATATATATATATATATATATATATATATATATATATATATATATATATATATATATATATATATATATATATATATATATATATATATATATATATATATATATATATATATATATATATATATATATATATATATATATATATATACGAAAATGAAGAGCATGGGTGTGTATGTGTGAAGTGAACATATGTACAAGTATTGAGGCAGTGAATTGTAACTGTACATGACTATTCACCCCCCCATGTGATGTCACGGCATATAGGCAGCAGCCACACATCCACACTTTCCTTTTGCAGAGTTAGGCTCACTTTATTAAACTGAATAAGTATTCTATTCCACATTTTTGCCATGAAACCTGTTTGATTTTTCTTTGGAGACCTTCATATTTCCCAGACATATTGGCAGCATTACAGTACAATTGTCGACGACAATTTTGAATATCTATGTCCAATTCATTCAATGTGTCCAGGACCTTATCACACATATTTTCTCCTGTGTGACTACTGGTGGGAAGGGAAAGCAAAAAACGATCCACTGGTTCACCAGACGAAGAAACATACCGAATAGTGAATGCAAGTTGGTCCGTCCTTGAAGTAACAGGTGTAGAATCTAAACATAAGGAGTAGTTTGCTCTCTGAATCTTTTTGCAAACAATTGACAAAACCTTTTTTCCCTTAACCAAAATGAGTTCATCACAAATGGTGGAGCTCAAGTTACTTGGATTTCCTTTGCTTTTATTTCCACTGTGAAATGTGATCAGACAGAAATGGATCAAACTTGCTTATTAGTTCAAGAATACCTAAGAAGTTACCATTATGGGGTGATCCTATGACTTGATCAGATCCTTTGAACGCTAATCAACGCTCATTCAAAAACTTTATTACTTCTACTGTAATGGTCATGATAAGAGCTAACCTGAAAACCTTAAGGATTCATATTACGCTCAAACGTCCACAAAACCTTCCGAGTCCCCCAGGGGAAACGTCCCCCGTTTTCTCTGTTTCCCCCGCCTTTGTCTATGGGAGCAGACGCTGTATGCTGGGACCTGTTGCCATCCATTCCTTTGTAATCAATTTAATTTTGCTTTCGATAGCTGAGTCAGAGCATTGTTAGTGAAGATAATAGTAGAGAATGAAAATGAGTTCATAGTCTCAATTTCAACGTCAGAGGGTACCGTAAATTAATTCATCGGAATAGGAGTAGGTGGACTCCCTGGTCTGGTTTGAGTGAGGGCACGCGGGCATTTTAACCGTTAGTAAGTGCCCGTCCCTTCATCCATACAGGTATGCCATTCCACGCTGTGTTGTAATTTGCCCTTCTTTAAGTGATTTGACCCAATTGATAGTTGATTGTGCAAGTGTTACAGTAACGTAGTTGATATGCTCTGAGTAAAGTCATATTTACGTCTTTAACGTCCCCTGAAACGTGTTGTTGTTGTCACCGGTTAGTAAGTGCCCGTCCCTTCATCCATACAGGTCCCTAACGCAGCCTAGGCCGTGTCTGTAGGGTGGATGTTGTATCCACTATGTCTGGGGACATGTCCGAGGTCCAGTAGGATCAGTTACCTTCGTGAGACCCGGCCGTCAGACACTTCAGACCACCTATAGCCCCCATAGCTGGCTCGTCTGGCCCTAACGCTCGGTCCACGAGGTGACCCGGGACCACCAAGCCACACACCACTACCAGCCCCCATCATTGGTGGATGAATGTCTACCTCAGTAGGGCTATATTTGTGTGGTGGAATTAACCCACTGGGATCTCCAGAGTTCGTCAGATAGTACTCCATGGTGGCTGGACCCCATGGCTGTTGCTTGAGTATCACTCCTGACGACTGAGTGTTGTAGTGGCAGTTGCCTAGTATTTATGGTGCTAAGTGACTATCATAGTTGTGCTATTGAGTATGTCCACCCAGTAGGGTTGGAAGTGTATTGAATATGTCCACCCAGTAATGGTGTGAGTATGTTGAGCCTGAGGGCCTAGTAATAGATTTCGTCTGTTAGTACAAACCAATTCTTTCTTCTAATTTCATATTCATGTTTAAATAAACTTTGTATTTGTATAATTGTGTATATTATTTACCTACAGTATTTACCGTTATTTCTTCCCTATTGCTTGATACTATCATTACACCTACCCACGAGCCTCCTATCGTCACGCTACCAATGGTGATATATAAGAGTAAAAGGAATTGTTACTGGCACACAGGCCCTCATGAAGGGTGGCAGTAGCAGCCCTCATAAATGGTGGCAGCTCAAGCCCTCATAAATGGTGGCAGCTATGGTGATGTAATGAACATAGTATCGAGTTGGGAGGAATGACTGTGATACTGTAGTTTTTAACTGAGTTATAACCATTTCTCTGTACGGGTATTTAATAATCATTCCACTGTAACTAATGAGTATTTCAGATTGCTAATAATTTTGTTCCATATTTTTCTGAGGTACAGCTTTTTGTGGTGGTTTGCAGAGAAAGTGAAATAAGTTCAAAGAAATACCTTGGAGTTAGGTTAGAAAAGTCTTGTTTAAAGTAAAAGGAAACCTGCAACAATAACTTGTAGTGTGTGAATAAGGTTCATTAATATTGGAAGAATTTTGATATGTAACAATCTGCCCAAAATTTTTTTTCCGTTGTTAACTCAGTATTACTTACAGACAGTGAATACATGTTTGGGCCGTGGCACTAGTTGTGAAATGTTCCATCGTGGGAGTGCCCAGTGTTTTAATTCTGAGTGCTAACAGAAGCATTGCACTATATGCAAAGGTTAAGTGGATGCTAATTCTGTACTTGTCATATTCTTTAGTTATGTGTTAGGTAGGATATATATTCCATTTACTTAATATCTCGGGGCATTTTACAGTTCCTACTATTAATATTCCTATGTATATGCTATAATTTTAAAGTTATTTTAACCCGGTGCTAACGGGTCATTATTTTGTGTAACGCATGTTATGTGAACTCTAATGCCAGTATACTTTCAGAATACAGTATTATATATGTGAGGACCTTATGGTGATACGGTATATGGAAAATGTTATACGAGTGTATGGACCCAGAATTGTGAGTACAGAAATTCGTGAAGTGTTCACGCAGTGTTGCACCATACTGAGTCTGTGAATGGCAAAGTGTCTAAGTGAATTTTTGATGCCATAAAATTATCTTTTGGGAGATTAATAATCTGAACAGTAGTTTGAATAGTTGATGCATGGAGTGTTAGTCGTATTGCAGAAAATCAGTACCAGTCCGTGGGTCTTGAGTGAGCACTGTGCATGTATTGTATTTACAGTGGGATATACCTGTAGTATTGATTTGTTGTAACACAATGGCAGATGCTAACGCAAATAAGGGGACCATGACGGCCAAAGCCGCTGTTGATTTAGCAACAAAAGTCCCAGCACTTCTGGCTAAACTCGCTAAAGCCATGGGTAAAGGAGGAGAAAACCAGTGGTTAGACTGGATCTTTAAGAAACAGTGGGCTTTGTAAGTGAACCTCCTTGGTTGTTGATGGGTAGTGAAGTGCACAATCTGTTGTAGGTAACTTTTGGTAATTGAAGAAGAAAAAAAAAATGGAGGATGTTTTTTTGGGGGGGTTAAAAGTATTTTGCAGAGGAAGGGTCAATTTGCAGTAAAGACAGAGATTGGAAGATGTATTGGCAGTTATGCAATCATCTGAAGGGTATCTGTTACTAGTATGAGTAAAGATACCAGTGGTGAATTCTCAAGTTCTGGTTGGTAAGTCCTACGTAGGCTGGGTGTTGTTGGTATATAGGTGTAGAGTTCGTGACTTTCAGGGAGTATTCGGGCATATAAATATGGTGCTATTACTTCTACATGGCAAATGCCATAAGTACAGACAGTTTTTGGTTTGGTGGTGTTCTCATGAGGACCGTTTCGTTAGCATTGAATTCTTGGGAATACCCGCTCGTTCGGAGTCCCTTGAAGGGTGCTGCCTCTCGCGAGTGCGACATAACTCTTTAGATTAAGGGCAACAAATCATTCCTTTGACTTGATGGGGTCCGTTCGTCTATGTCCTAGCTTGAGAAATCTATGTTAAATCTCAGTGTGTCCTGTCAGCATTTGACCAATCGCGTAAAAGAAACTTTCATAATCTATGAACATTGAAATTTGAGTTCTGTAAGGAAATTTTGAGTGTGCATTTTATCTACCGATGTGAGGGTGTATTTTGTAACATGTAACACCATTTATTATTATTATTATTGGATATGAGGTATCTAACTCAAATCATTATTATTCTATGATGATGTACTTGACCCCATTTATTATTATATGATATGATGTATGTAACACCATTTATTATTATATGATATGATGTATTTACCGCCATTCAGTATTATTATGACATGATGTACCTAACCCCATGTGCTATTATTTTTGGTGCTATTTTGTAATATGTATCCCAATATATTTTTTATGAAGGTGTGTCACATTCTAATTGTATGTTAACAGATTTCCATTTCTTGTACCTAATCCTGACCACCGGTAGGGAATTATTTTTCTATTTTTATTGATATAATTTGGGCAATGTTTTGTATGAGGATTTATACTTTATATTAATGATTTAATATGTATGTCACTACTTACGTGTTTTCTGAACGTTACCGCATAATGATGAATCTTGGGGAAGGAGGAAGCTTTGTAATGGTCATGATAAGAGCTAACCTGAAAACCTTAAGGATTCATATTACGCTCAAACGTCCACAAAACCTTCCGAGTCCCCCAGTGGAAACGTCCCCCGTTTTCTCTGTTTCCCCCGCCTTTGTCTATGGGAGCAGACGCTGTATGCTGGGACCTGTTGCCATCCATTCCTTTGTAATCAATTTAATTTTGCTTTCGATAGCTGAGTCAGAGCATTGTTAGTGAAGATAATAGTAGAGAATGAAAATGAGTTCATAGTCTCAATTTCAACGTCAGAGGGTACCGTAAATTAATTCATCGGAATAGGAGTAGGTGGACTCCCTGGTCTGGTTTGAGTGAGGGCACGCGGGCATTTTAACCGTTAGTAAGTGCCCGTCCCTTCATCCATACAGGTATGCCATTCCACGCTGTGTTGTAATTTGCCCTTCTTTAAGTGATTTGACCCAATTGATAGTTGATTGTGCAAGTGTTACAGTAACGTAGTTGATATGCTCTGAGTAAAGTCATATTTACGTCTTTAACGTCCCCTGAAACGTGTTGTTGTTGTCACCGGTTAGTAAGTGCCCGTCCCTTCATCCATACAGGTCCCTAACGCAGCCTAGGCCGTGTCTGTAGGGTGGATGTTGTATCCACTATGTCTGGGGACATGTCCGAGGTCCAGTAGGATCAGTTACCTTCGTGAGACCCGGCCGTCAGACACTTCAGACCACCTATAGCCCCCATAGCTGGCTCGTCTGGGCCTAACGCTCGGTCCACGAGGTGACCCTGGACCACCAAGCCACACACCACTACCAGCCCCCATCATTGGTGGATGAATGTCTACCTCAGTAGGGCTATATTTGTGTGGTGGAATTAACCCACTGGGATCTCCAGAGTTCGTCAGATAGTACTCCATGGTGGCTGGACCCCATGGCTGTTGCTTGAGTATCACTCCTGACGACTGAGTGTTGTAGTGGCAGTTGCCTAGTATTTATGGTGCTAAGTGACTATCATAGTTGTGCTATTGAGTATGTCCACCCAGTAGGGTTGGAAGTGTATTGAATATGTCCACCCAGTAATGGTGTGAGTATGTTGAGCCTGAGGGCCTAGTAATAGATTTCGTCTGTTAGTACAAACCAATTCTTTCTTCTAATTTCATATTCATGTTTAAATAAACTTTGTATTTGTATAATTGTGTATATTATTTACCTACAGTATTTACCGTTATTTCTTCCCTATTGCTTGATACTATCATTACACCTACCCACGAGCCTCCTATCGTCACGCTACCAATGGTGATATATAAGAGTAAAAGGAATTGTTACTGGCACACAGGCCCTCATGAAGGGTGGCAGTAGCAGCCCTCATACATGGTGGCAGCTCAAGCCCTCATACTACCAAAAGCAAAAGTAATGAATGCCAATATTTCTTCTCATTTTCAATTTGATGATGGAGTCCACTGTCAATACAATTACCGATTTTTTATCGCTGTTCATAGGCTAGAGTTGTTTTTCTGTGATCCACTGAACACTCGTGTTCACCAAGAGCTCTGCTGGTGTATGCCCAGTCATTGAAACCATGCACAAATGGTGAACTTGTAGATGTACTAGAGAGGAGCAAACATGTGAAACAGTAGAGTTTACCTTATGATTTAGAGAAGAATAACCATTCTCTCTTTACTGATTCGCCATTACTCAAAGTTCTGAAGAATGCAGACTTAGGGAGGAAACGGCATTTCTGATGCTCACCTGAACCATACGCTCTTAATGTTCCTTTAAACCCAGAGTCATGATGCTGACAAGTATCTGGCCCAGCCTTTGACCAGTAAATTTGAAGTTCCTGTGATATTGGTCTTTTCCATTACCAGGATCAGTTTCAATGTACTGAATTTCATGCCGTTTAATTTCATCACTTTTCTTTGATTGGTCAGTTGTATGTGTAGCAGACGAGGTACTACAGCCAGGTAAGTCCTCTTTGTTTAGTTGGTCAGTTGTATGCGTAACATCAGCAGACGAGGTACTACAGCCAAGTTGGTCAGTTGTAGGTGTAACATCAGCTTACAAGGTACTACAGCCAAGTTGGTCAGTTGTAGGCATAACATCAGCTTACAAGGTACTACAGCCAAGTTGGTCAGTTGTAGGTGTAACATCAGCAGACGAGGTACTACAGTGTGGCAAGTCTTTTTTCTCACTTTGGTTTATATAAAAAAAAAAGTAACTTCTTATTTTTTTAAGTTCAGCAGAATACTGTTGTTGTTTTTGTTTTCTGGCTTTGCGCTTTGTAGCTCCACTTAAACCTTTGCCACTCATTATTTTAATAACTGAAACTGAAAGCCTGAAATGCAGAATAGAATATGATAAATATCATAAATTAAAAAAAAATTCATTCATAGGTAGACTGGTAGATATTTGCAGCTCCCCAAACTCACGTTATACCATAACTCTAAAGTAGAGAATCATGTTCATCCAATGCACAGTAAACTTAGTAAAGACATAAAATCCAATGATAAATATGAATCAATGAGTGTCACACCAAGCAGCTCTTACACAACACACCCAAGCAGGCACGTGGCGATCTAACGTGAACACAACGAGACTGAACGAATGCATATTTCTGCTCTGGGGTGGGGAGGGCTCTTTGCACTAGCAGTCATATTTAGATGAAAAGATAGTGCAAACTGAGAAATACCAGCATATATATTCATTAGTACTATTACTAATATAATTAATATAATGTGTCCTTACAGTACTGCAAACATTTACTATTTATGATGCAATGTAATGGGCTGCAAATTTTAAATTAATTATTATTATTATTATCATTACTATTATTATTATAACAAATATTTGCAAGCTCAGGGCAGACTCCTCGGGCACCGTTGTTAATGCGGCCCTGCTGCAATAGGAGAGCAAACAGAACATCAACCTCCTGAGGCACTCACCTTGATCATTCCTGATGGGACCATAATTCACAGGAACAAGCCCCACAGTGTCTTCTCGGTAAGATTCTGGACCTCGTTGTCCTCTCTGGTTAGGTCGGGTACAGCAGGCAAAGAGAAAGCCACCACAGCCACCATCAATTAAACCACCGCCCAACCAACACATGAGGAAGAATTCACAAGTTCCAGAGTAACACAGAGATGGGTCGCCCAAGAACAGTCGCTTGGTGGCACGTGAAATACCTAAAATAGAGAGTTTATACAGTACTGTACTGTACTAGCTTTGTTCATCAAGTCATTAGTCTTACTGTACAATGTTTTGTCTTAAGAAATTGTAAAAATTACTTATTCAATCACCTTTTTTTTAGCTAGAGCGAGATTTCATATATTACAGCATATTTTTGTGAAGTCTCCATACTGTACAGTATATTTATTATTTACTAACTTGAATCCATTCTCCTCTGAGGTAAGGTGCGAACATTGCGTCCTAGAGGCAGTGCCTGGGGTCTGTCACTGGGTCCTCCAGGACCCTGTAGGTCTCCTCCTAGCATCAATTCATGCTCTAGCTCAGCCACTCCAGCCCCTGCTAGACCTAATCGCTCAGCTATCTGAGTTGCTTGCAGAGCATCTAAGCTAAATCTGAAATTTAGAATTTCCTTGTTATTTACATCTAAGTCCATATAAAGTAAAGTATGCCTCAGTTTATATCATATAGATTTAATTCACAATAATTCACTGTATTATTTCAACCCTACCAACAGGATGGTGGTAGTGCAACGGTAGAACGCTTACCCCTCACTAATGACTCCCGGGTTCAATCCCCAGCCTTGGTCAGATGTGAGAAGAGTGCTATCTTAATGTGACCCTTCCAAGCATCATAAAGTTTCTCAAGATACTCTTTACTCTAGTTCCTCCAGTAATAACACAGGACAACGAAGGTTACAACAAAGTAAAAGAGAAGAGACAGATCACCTGAATGGCTAGTAAGCTGATATGTGGTGGAAATGATGAAATTTTGACTCCATTCTCCTTGACAGGTACTGTACAGTACTGCTAAGTGACATTCTCCGGACCAGGCAGGACTCAAACCCATGATATATGAACGTTATTCCTGTACCACCAATATCAACAGTAACGTTCCTGTATAAAACCCCTAGCCTGCTCTCTATACAGTAGTACCAACTCATGTTATAGAAACAAAATCTGTACTGTACACACAGGCATAAAGAATAACAAAACACCGTAAAGTATCAACACCACAGATGCATAACAAGAATAAGACTTTCCATATGAGGGAGGTCCTTGTTCCATGCAAGTTATGCTGAACAATAAAAATGTACTGTACTGTAGTGTATTGAGCTGTACATCCATAACCATATGCTACTACCAGTCTGAAAGATCAAGCAATTTCCTACCAATCATGATTAAGTAAGCTAATTAGTCAGGGTGAGAGTCATGTACAGTATTTATAATTAATTGTTTAGTACTGAACTGTATACAGTATTTAATTTATAAGAATACAGTACAATACTATGATGAATCAAGTATGGTACAGTGAGGTATTAAGCAAAAAATATTGATAATTCAGCACTAAATCTAATTAATGTTTGGCGGTGTATCATTGTCAAATGTGACCTGCTCTACATAACTGTATGGGTGTGTGATAACAACAAGCATAAATCTTACGTGTACAAAAATTCCTCTCATGTAATTATGACCGAGCAGGTTAAATATACTGTACTGCAGAGTAAATATTGTTGAAGATACAGTATTGTACTGCATTATGTATTATATACAGTTGGAGCTGAAACAGATAACAATAAGTAACTGGGAACACTGTCACTAAATTCCATCACCCAAAAAGAAAATGTTCTCCCGGGTTCTTACCTTCGACATATACCTGTACATAATATCGATATTTTGAACCCTGGGGGGAAATATGTAACAGGCAAAGTATGCACAATGCAGCTTATTAAAAAAAAAATCAGTCATAAGTACTGTACTGGTAAGTTGCCATTTAATTTTTTCTATTTTTTCATGGCATTTCCATGAAATTTCCAGGTTTTTCACTGACTGGGATCCATGATATTTGATATTTCAGCACAACTATATTTAATAACTTTTTACTGAACAGGATAATTTAGCACTAAATTTGATCACCCAGTACAATACAGTGTCACAAACCCCTTAATAAGTATTTTCATGGTTGTGTTTGTGTTCTACTTGCTAAGAGGTAACATTTTAGCTTTTCATCTACTGTATAGTATTAGGTATATGTAAAGCCAAGGATGAATTTTGTGATAAAAGTGCTACACAGTATGGCTGACCCTAACTGTTAACATTTGTGACACTGGTGGACCACTAGTCTAAGTCAAAGTTGATGGAGTATAGATGAAACTGATGATATTTTCTACAACAGTCCAAAGATATTCATGAAGGAAGGTACAGTCCTGGTCAAAAGTCCTGTGCCAGGCAGTTTTGGCCAGCCTGGTTATGTGACAAAGTCAGAGACAAGCACGCACGAACACACATGATGGAACTACCGGGTCATAGTTTAAGCGTCACTCTGTGGTTTAAAGGGTGCGTTTCATGCCTAGATTGCCATGTTGCCAGCAATGTCAGGAATAAACTAATGAATACCATTAATAATTATTTCGACCTAATTGAATGACGAAAACCAATATAATTGCGATCACAGACGAAATGCTTCCGCACACACATGCCGCACTACACTGTCTGTTAGACACCTCTATCATGTGAACAATCCATTCTATGGCGTGTCTATGTGCACATCCTCTTTGAACTACACCATGAATCCATGACAAGAGTGGTCTTATGTGAGTGTCAGGAGGACAGATATAAAAAATACTGCATAAAGAGAGACGGTACTTAATTTCAAGTGATAGCAAAGAGGGTTCCTGATAGGAGAGAGGGTTGGTGATGGTTCCAGACAGCAGGACAGAAAGAGTGAGGTGGCGAAGTAAATTTGTCCTCTCGTTCCTACTTATCATCAGTGTCACATTTCATTGACAATCTTGCTACCATTTTTAGTACTATAATCAAGTGCCACATTTGAGATATTAACTTTACATATTACAGGGTTCTGTGATGATATGAAAGACAACAGAAAACACCATGTAAACACCCCCCCCCCCCGTCTCACGCAGCAGAGACTCGGAGGTGGATCCCAATTCCATGGTGGAGCCATCACTTAACTGTCCTAGCCGAGACCTCTGGAGCCATCACTTAACTGTCCTAGCCGAGACCTCCAAGTGCAGTCACTCCGTCATGGCCACCGCTGTGGTGAAAGGATGGTCACAAATGTTTGCCACAATCCTCGCATCATCTGCTGTGCTGGTCAGTCTAGGTCCGACTCCAGGCCGCCCTGATCTGGGAAAATCTGTTAAATTACCAGACTCTTCAAACCGCTGTAACCAACACCATATTGTCGATCTCAAGAACTTCCATCTGCCTTGCGATCTCGCTGATACTTAACCTCAGTGTTACGCATGCCGACGAATTGCCCTCTCTGGGAGATATTGTGGTGTTGGTGTCCCATGGTTGTAGCTGGTGGAAACGGTTACTGTATAACCACTCCATAACCTCCGATAAGATAAAAGTGTGGTGAATGGCATTAATTCTTTGTAGTATATGTCATTCCCATAGTACAATCAACTTTCATGTACAATGAGACAAACATCATTAATAATTTTAATAAAAGCAATAGGAGAGGGATAATACACCCACCACCACCAGTTGCCATTATGAACCTCTCTACTATGAATATAGTGCTATATATAATATGTCCTCCCGGCAGTCACATAAGAGAAATATTATCAACCAATAAGAGGTGTAGTTCAAAGTATAGGAGCACAGAGACACGCTGTAAAATGGGTTGTTCCCACAATTCAAGTGTCTAGCAGACACAACGTATGTTCTTTTCTTTTTTTATTAAAAGTGTTACATATAAGTAACTTATTTCTCCTAAGACATAACATTTTATATTCCAATCATCATACTTATGTAATATGACATGAAACGACAAGAACTCACCGCAAACAGTTCATGTCCTTTCTTTATGCAAGGAGGGCACAGTTGTTTTACATGGATACAAGTACGGCCCCCCCCCCCTAGTTCGCGGATTTTTATTTCACTGTCCTCCATTATTCGCGGATGACACCCTGGATGTACCCAAGAATGTCTGTGGGTAGTTTTAAAGTTGCCGGCATTTTTGCGGCCGGGACAGGAAGCCATTCATTCTTGAGAGAAGTAATTTATTTTACCTGTATTGTATACCTGTATATGTGTGTGTGTGTAGACACACACACACAATACACATACAAATAAATAATAATGGGAAAATAATCTCACAAATAATCAGAAACAAATTTATTAAAAATGTGAGAGTCTACCCTCAAGTTCATTCCGACTTTATTCCTTTATTAATAAAGCACGAACTTGAGGGTAGACTGTCACATTTTTAATAAATTTGTTTCTGATTATTTGTGAGATTATTTTCCCATTATTATTTATTTGTGTGTGTGTGTGTGTTTGTGTGTGTGTGTGTATGTGTACACACACATATATACAATACAGGTAAAAGAAATAATTGTCCTAAGGGCAAACACATAAAAAGAATATCCATTTCTTTGTACACATGTAAAAATGTAACAACCACCTCCCCCCCCCGCCCACAAACGTTATTCACAGATTTGGCGATTCGCAGCCATTTTGAGAACCTAACCCCCACGAATTTGGGGGGCCCCTGTATTACATTAAAACTCGAAAGTATGTGAGGTACACATGAGTGATCGAGGCATTGTGTTTTAGCTACTGACTGATAGTGGCCAATATCAATGATAATGTTATATCAAAAGCAATACAGTATAACATACACTCTACCATTTACCAATGATCATCGATAATTGTGTAGTTCATAGAGGAGATGCACATTAGATGCCTTCTATTGGATTGTTTACATAATCGGGGTTTCTGGCACATGCCATGTGTGTTTGTGCGTGTGTCTCTGACCAGGTTAGCCAAAACTGCTTGGCTGGGGAAGTTTGGCCGGGACTGTACATACATTACAGTATCACCTAATGGGGCGACAGGGGCAGATTCAGGAATATCAAAAGGGGTGGGGTTCCAAGAAGGTGTGGGAACATGGTGAGCACAGCAAGCCCACCCAGCTGTAAAGTTCTGGGAGGGGGGGGGAGACAGGCACTGTAAGCCCCCCCCCATAATTTTTTTTGAAATATGATCATCATGGAAATTTTAGGCCACTTTGAAGCCATGTGCACTTGATATTAGGAGATATTCTGAAGTCAATAGTAAATACTTTTTACTACACAAAAATGCCTGAGTATAATATTGCATAAATGAAAAAATATTGGAATTTTCTGGTGAAAAGTGGGGGTCCTTAGCCCCAGGACCCTCCCCTGGATCCACCCTTGGGCGAGTGTTCGTTTTACTTATCATTAACTAAAGGGTCGGTACATAAAGGTAATGTAGCACACAAGATAACCTGAATATACTGTACAGTACACCAAAATAAAACATTTGTATAGACTTAAGAGAATAAACAACAATGAGCTAAATTTAAAAACAAATAACAATTCATTGTGGTACTGATATTCAGCTAGAACACTCTAGGTTACAGTACAGGTATATTTAAAGCACAAGGCTTACTACAGTACTGTACTGTACTACCAAGAAAGGGACTTATTTAAGTTCAAATTACTCAAGACAATACAAATATTAACACCTACCGTGTTAAGATACTGTTAAATTCTTCTTGTGAGATGGTGGCACTGTTTATGTTACTGGAACTATTCAGTCGAGATAAACCATCCTCAGGCGCCGTTGTATTGTGGTGAGGTGGCACGGCCGAGGTGGAGAGAGCATTGTTGATGGGCACATGAATCGTTTCACTAAGATGGGTGAGGTAGGGATCAATAGGTGAGGGAATAAATGGAGGAACTGAGGGATGAATGACAATATGACTAGAAGAGGAGTAAGGACTTAAGGCATGACTTTCTATGGTTATGAGATCATTAACCTTTGGCGCAGCTACTGCTTGTGTTGACATGTTATGGGTGATTTTATAGGTGGAAGGGTTTATGGTGGGAGAGGGCAATGGATATGATGCATGACTATGAGAAATGACTGATGATGACTGCAGATCATGTGTTGGTGTTAAGTCAAAATCTTGCTCTGGCTCAGAATCTGACTGATAGACCGAGTCTTTGCTTGGTGATGGATGTAAGACTGGAGTTGGCTCAGCCTGACTGAGACCATCAGTGGCCTGAATGAGACTATCAGTGGCTTTACTCAATGCATACAAAGATGACAGATGTACTGGGACAGGAGTCAAGTCTAGATCATGAGTAAGACCCCGACTCTGTCGAAGAACTGGGTCAACACTTAAAGACGACAGCAAATGACGGGTGGGAGAGGAGCTCAGCAGTGTTTGATGGAGACTTTCCCCTACCGCTGAAGATGCCAACACAAGTAATGCCACCACCACATAGTGGAACATGGACGCAATCCGGCCCGTCTGAAAAAAATATATATATCAATGGCCCTGTTTTGTTCGAAAATTAAAACACTGAAATAATAATTCTACAGTTTAAAGACTGCACAGTACCAGTATATACTGGTTACAGCATGAAATAAAATGCCAGAACCAAACACCATTTCATTCCTAAACACAGTCTCCTTTAACTTCAATAATCGTACTTCACTTGTCCTATACTGTACTGTACAATGTGATTGTAGTCTGACAACTCCTCAAAGCTTGCCCCACTAGCTTCCTTCAGTCCCTCATCATCCTAAACCGTGAGGGCAAACTTTTTCGGAGTGAGGGTTGTAAACTCTTGGAACAATCTACCAGAGAGTGTTGTGACGGCACCGAGTGTGAGCTCTTTCAAGACAAGACTTGACCAGCACTGGAGCGGGTTCAGGTACATTCAGGAGCCGGTGCGTGCCCAGTACTTGCCAACAGTGCGTGACAGAGACGTGACCGATCGCTCGGGCGGCTAGCGAGCCGATCTTTTGGTGAAGAAGATAAATGAAAAGGAAAAGTAATCAGAGACGAGACCGATCGCCCAAGCGGCTAACAAGCCGATCAGTGGCGAAGAGGATAAAAGTAAAAGTATAAACAGCACCCTTAGAGATGGGATTTTCAAATCCGGAAACAGGCTGTCAAGATGCTTGAAACCACAGCCATGAAAAAACACCAGTATGACACAGTATTTGTAGTCTGGTGCATAGTTATGGAGTAGAAGCACACCTTCAGCCAACATTCTCCATCACTTTCCTTGTTGGACATCACACACACAGTTTCTGCATTAGGCCAGTGTAACAATCACCAGTGATCATCGTTCTTTTTTGCACCTAGTCAATCAGCGAAAAAGCCTTGGTATCTCAGAAAACCTAGGCCATGATCATGCCAGCAAAAGGTTGGCATAGGGATTTTGGGGTTGGAGAAGTCCATACAGTATTAGACTCCTGGTCAGAGCTATGAATCCAGGTCTCATCTCCTGCAAGAAATTACAACTTTAGCCATCCTCGGGTTATGCTCACAACACTTCAGGTGATGTAATGACCACAATCAAACATGTTAGTTAACGTAAATTAGGATGATTCAGATTACACTCAATAGCCACAACTTACTTCCTGAGTTCCCCTACTAGGACGTCCGTTTTCTGTCACCCGCTTCAATAGACTGAGATGTCCGTTTTCTCTCGTGTTTCAGATCTCTCGTCTCTCATGTTGATCTTCGTAAATTTAAATTTACGAATGAATGTGTCAGTGTTACTGTAAGATAGAGATACCAGCTTACAGCTGAAACATTCAAGATCCATTGTGAGTGATGTTAAAAGCTTCAACAGCATATTTACTTTAAGTGTAAATTAATGTAATTGTCACATTATTCGGAGTGTAGAGTTTGAAAGGGAGAGTGAGCATCTTGTCTCTGCCCTGTGAGACATACAAGAGTTCTACTTACCACTGAAGTCATATTGCTTTGATTCACAATCATCAGAGAACATGATGACTGTATTGAAATTATTGTCAGTTTTGTATTTAAAAACTCATTAATCTTGAGAGCAGAACCTGTCAACTGTAAGAAAGCTTTGAAGTGTCATACAATACTCGTGGTAGGACGAATGTTGTGGTAAGAGGCTCTGCCCACAATGTGATTGCCAGCCTGTGTACTTGACATCAATTTAATCCTTGCAGTGCAAAGCTGATTAGATTATAAAAGTTATATCTTAGAAAACTAAAATAAGCCCAAGGTTGAAAATGTTCAAAGGAGGGCCACCAGACTGGTGATTGCACTTCGGCACCTCAGCTTCCCTGAGAGATTGGAGCACCTGAACTTGCCTAGCTTATACTACAGACGGGCAAGGGGTGACCTAATTGAGGTGTATAAGCATCTCAAGGGGCACTACTCAGTCGAGTGTCCTTACTCGGAGCTGGCGGACGCTCGCCCCACAAAGGGTCACAGCTCAAGATTGAAGAAGCCGCAAGTCCGGATAACTGTGAGGAGTAACTTTTACGAAGTGAGAGTTGTGAACTCTTGGAACACTCTGCCAGAGAGTGTGGTGACTGCACCGAGTGTGAGCTCTTTCAAGACAAGACATGGCCAACACTGGAGCAAGTTCAGATACATTCAAGAGCCGGTGCATGCCAACAGCGCGTAACAGAGAGTCAGTACATGACTAGTATTTGCCAACAGTGCGTGACAGAGACGTGACCGATCGCCCAAGCGGCTAACGAGCCGATCAGTGGTGAAGAGGATAAAAGTACACATTCTCCACTCTAGGGTGTGGTGTGTGCGAGCTCAGGTGCACAGTAACTCTCGGGCCAGACGACACGTATCTCCTTATGTTACAAATATTTACAATATTAATGTACCATTAAGTATAGAGAACACACATAATGACATAACATCAACCAACAAAGACAAATAATCACAGTAAACCTTTTCTTTAAGAAATTTTTATAAAGTGTATTTTTCTTGGTTGCATCTTCGAGAAATGACCGAGTGATGTACAGTAGTGGATACTCTCCCCTACAACTGCTGATTGGTCACTTACCGTCCGCTTCCCAGCCAACCAGCGTCGAGTTCCACAAATCAGCCCTTGAGTTCGAACTGCGCGGTGATTGGCCAGTTGTCGCCTTCACCTCAGCCCAATCAGCAGCGTTTCTCATCTTTTCACGTTGACTTTTTGATCCGGTGTAGCAGTTAAAAGTGAAGTCTAGGTAAAAATGAAGTGTTTGCCCAACATATCGTACGGCACAGCCGGCAGAACGCTCTGAGATTCTGTAGTGAGCAGAGTTGGTGAGTAGCGACTGATGGTAGCATTATACTGTATTCGACTTCCATGCGTTTTTTACATTTAATTTATAAGTAAACATAAAAGTTTATCCGTTTTTTTAGTGAAAGTTAAATAGTAAATTCGATGGTGTGCAGAATGAACCTGGTAGGGGTGTGGTTACATTAGTGAGGAATTCTCTTATTTCTCTTGTCGGCAAAGTAAATTTCTTGAATGGTCATTTGTATGATAAAGCGGAATGGTGCGAGATCATTATGAAAAGGAAAAATATACGAATTGGTGCTGTGCATAGGGCTCCTATTACAAGTCGTGAGAATTTTTGTTATTGGATTACCTAACCAAGTTGTTTCCTTTCCTCGTGGATGTAATATTAAATCTCCTTGTTTTGCTCTAAGATACCATTCCTGTTGTAAATATGTCTTCTCGTGGATGTTTGAACAATCCAAACGTATTCTGCTACATATGTGGGTGCTTTGTTGTGCAAGCAACGACAAGAAATAATCGCATCCATGGAAAATGCATATTTTGCCTACTTTGGGGTGAAAATAGGTGATTTAGATAAACCATGGGCGCCACATAAAGTATGTCACGCTTGTGTTGAAGTTTGAAGAATGTGGAAGTATGGCAAGAAAAAAGTTATGCCATTTGGAGTCCCTATGGTATGGCGGGAGCCTAAAAATCATGGTGATGACTGTTTTTTTTTTTTGCTCTGTGAAGATAGAGGGATATAATGAAGAAAAATGAACAAGGAATCATTTATCCCAAGATTCCATCTGCCATGAGATCAGTGCCACATAGTCCTAAGGTTCCAGTCCCCATACCGCCAGATGTGTTGCATTCCTTGTCATCAGAATCTGACCGTGAGTCATCGTCAGATATCGGAAGTGATGTTTATCAACCTGAAATTATTGGTGATGTACCGGAGGTGTTTACCCAAAGTGAACTTATCGATTTGGTTAGGGATTTGAATTTACCAAAGGAGTCTGCTGAACTTTTAGGATCTAGGTTAAAATCAAAGAAGTTATTGAACAAAGGGACATATTTTTCATGGTATAGGCAACGTGAACAAGAACGTTATTTTTTTTTCAGAGGAAGGCTCCTTAGTTTATTGTAGTAATGTGTCTGCTTTAATTCACTAATTTTGGCATTACCTATACAGCTACTGAATGAAGGTTGTTCATTGATTTTTCAAAAACAACCTCAAAGGAGTTTTACTTCATAATGGAAATGTATTTTCATCAATTCCTGTGGCTCACTCAGTTCATCTTAAGGAAACTTATGAAAATTTGCAGATACTTCTAGGGAAAGTTCATTATAAAAATTATGTTGGTTGGTTTGTGGAGATTTCCAACTCAATGCTTTGTTGCTTGGTCAACAGAGTGGACACACGAAAATGCCATGTTTTTTGTGCGAGTGGGACAGCAGAGCAAGACGTGAACATTGGGACAAAAACATTGGCCACCTAGACAGGCTCTTGTGCCAGGTTTAAAAAAATAATCTACATGATCCATTGATTGACCCTAAGAAAGTGCTGTTGCCTCCTCTGCATATTAAATTAGGGTTAACGAAACAATATGTAAAAGCCCTAGATATGAAAAGTGATTGTTTCAGGTACATATGTAGGTAATTTCCATCAGATACATATGAAAAAATCAAAGCTGGCATTTTCGTGGGCCCTCAAATCCGAAACTTAATGTTGGACCACCAATTTGAAGAATCAATGAACCGGTGTGAGAAAGAAGCATGAAATAGTAGTTTCAAGAATATTGTGTATAGTTTTTTTGGCAATAGAAAAGATCTAAACTATCAAAACATTGTTGAAGGTATGTTGAATAACTTTAAAAACATGGTCTGCAATATGAGTGTAAAAGTGCATTTCTTACATTCCCATGTTGAGTATTTTCCTGAAAATTTAGGTAGTTTAAGTGAAGAGTAAAGCGAAAGATTTCACCAGGACATCAAGGAAATGGAAAATAGGTATCAAGGAAGGTGGAATGTGAACATAATGGCAGACTAGTGCTGGATGCTGAAGAGAAATTGTGCCAGTGAAAAGATTGCCAGAAAATCGAAAAAAAAGTTTCTCTCATCCCAGAAGCCTAATATTATGTTCATACATATTCATATACTGTACTGTATATAATTTATTTATGTATTTGCAGACAAATAGCCTTAATCACAATAATCTTTAGGTTTAGTTAACTTTGAAGCCTACTGAATTGTTTTATCAGTATTATTGTGTCATATTTGTATGTTGTATTTGTATATGTATACGTTATATTATCTTGTCATATTTGTATGTTCTATTTGTATATGTACAAGTTATATTATCTTGTCATATTGATAATAAAGTGTGACGTGCTAGAGCAAAACAAAGTTTATTGATAATAAAGTGTGACGTGCTAGAGCAAAACAAAGTTTATTTTTTAAATCCTTGATAAAAAGCGAATCAGAATCACGTCTCAGTTTTAAAAATTCTACTTTTCTTAAAATGCAGACCAGTGGAAAATCAACCATACACTTGGCCCATACATCATATATAAGCACACCCACACCTTCCTTCCAGCCTGTTATATATGGGGTTCAAAATGCTCAGAAGAGGGAGGTCTAAATGTTGAACGGAGGTGAGAAAGGAAACTCACAATGGCGTTTTCTTTATATATATATATATATATATATATATATATATATATATATATATATATATATATATATATATATATATATATATATATATATCATGTAAATCCACAATGAAAACGTGGATAAGATAAATCTTGATAAAATCACACGGAAAAGGAAACAACGGAGTTTAGCTTTCGTCTTTATTCAAGACATCTTCAGAGGCCTCTGAAGATGTCTTGAATAAAGACGAAAGCTAAGGTACTCCGTTGTTTCCATTTTCCCGTGTGATTTTATCAAGATATATATATATATATATATATACAATCAACACCTCAATCCGCCAGGATTCGAACCCACAGCCCACGAGCCCAAGACTGTGACCGGGGAACGCTAACCGCTGGACCACCAGGATACTAAAAGCAGTCCTAGACTCTGTTATATTTCACACAAAGCCTGTTCAACGAGCTTAAGGCGCCGTGAACCTCTAATGGGGACTACCGGTATCACGTAGGTGGTCAGAGTAACGTGATACGGGTTTTAAATTAGACAAATTTAGATTTAGGCGCGAAATACGTAAACATTGGTTTGGAAATAGAGTTGTGGACGAGTGGAACAAGTTACCAAATATCATCATTAACTCGAATACGCTGGATAGCTTCAAACATAGGTTGGATGGATATATGAGTTTCCTCCATTCTTATGTTCTTATACACTACGCTACAATGTTAAGTGTACAGTGTTAGTGGCGGGTAATTTACACAACATTAACAGGGCAACTAGAATTAGCGAGAGCAGTCACCAAATTGTTTTCACAGACCCGCCAAAGATGGATGAATGGATGGACGGATGGGCTCGCCAACAATCTAATCCCCTTCAAAATCTTAAACGTACAAAAAAAGTCTTTCAAAATCCGTAAGACTAGTGGCAGCCTCCCACTCTTACCATACTACGATGCTGACGCCGGTAGCCGCATTGACCTGAAAGAGAGAGACGGAGAGAATTTATAAATAGCCTACATTCATTGTTTTAGTTTACAATATTTTTATTATAACTTATTTATTATTTTAACCCCATGAGTACGACAACTTAACATTGTGAGTACAACAACTTAAACCTATGAATACAATGACTTAACCCCATGAGTACAAAGATTTAATTCTATGAGCAGAAAAACATAACCCCTTGAATACGATGACTTAACCCCATGAGTATAATGACTAAACACTATGAGCGCAATGACTCAATCACTTGCGAAGATGCTATCCCTTTGGCTTCGAAGCCGAAGCCTTTAGAGAGTTAAGAAGCCAAAGCCAAGCACAAGAAGTATGGCTTCCAGAAACCAAAAGCCCCATACCTGCCAAACATACACACAGGGTGCTCTATATAACACTTTCATCATCAGTTTTAACATAATCACATGATTTTAATTATCTACTCCTGTGCAGCGTAGCAGACAACAGGTGATGTACTGTATATACAGTACAGTAGTACACCCTGCCAGCATTTAAACTACACTACATATTAAACAGGACTAATATTAATAGGACAAACCAGCTCAAGTTTAACTTAAACAATTAACCCTACCAAAAAGTTGGAACAGAATCACCTGAACACCTCACAGCCATGTGTAAAAATAGTACTGTACAGTACTGACGCCTATCAACGTATCTCTCCCAGAGTGCAGGGAAGAGAGGTTGCAAGTATTAAATACAGTCCTGTACTGTTATGTAGAGGCATAATTTAGTATTACAGTATAGTTTTTGTGAACTGTGTTTTCTGATTATTTTCTATTCCAAGCAACAGTTATTTTGGCAAATTTGGGGATATTTCCTTGTATATATTGATGTATTACCTATGAAAGAATTTTCTAGAATGTATTGGATAAATTTTGTTATGATTTACTTATGTATTGTGAGCCTAGATCATTCTAGAAATTTCCAGGCATATCGCATTCTGACCTACAATGCCTGGATGGCACTAGAATGATCTGGGAAGTCTGAGGAGTGAGGAGAAGTATATAAGCACAAGCGAGTTGCCCACACCACCATCTAACAAACATAAATTAACACCCATTACACTAACAATGCCTGGCTAGCTCAGCCCCCCCGCCTCCCTTAAGCGGGCGGGCGTCTGCTGTGTGTGGCCACCACCCCAACCAATCAACTCGTCTCAGCGAGGTGGACAGCCCACCTGCTATCACCCCCTACTACTTTACTTCCCGTTTCTATGCTTTCCTTCTCTCCTCTCCTCTCCCAGGGCAAAGTCATTTGCCACTTTACTTCATTATCATCATCATAGGGGAAGTAGTCGACCGTTTCTGCTCAGTGTGTGAAGTAAAAGCAAAGTGACAGCTTAAGATAATTGTTCAAGTATTGTGGAATTGTTGTGAGTGATATAAAGTGAAAAGACTAAGGAATTGTACACTGGTATTGAGCTGACTGTATATAGTGCATTCGAAATGAGAAGTCCAGTGGTAAATACATATCCTGTGAACAGTTTTGTGAAGATTTAGAGATTATTAAAGAAGAATACAGTTCACAAGGGTTTCTGTGACCTGGTGGAAATCTACCTGCCTGTTGTGTTGTCTATATACTGATAACGATCATCGGGAAATTATCGGAGACTGGCGGGACAGCAAGTGGTAATACGACAACACTTTTGATATATCTACTGCTTCTGTATATACGACCTGGCCTCTGGTAACCAGCGGTGGACGCGGCCAACATCAGGGGTAATGAGGCAAAGTACAGGACCCTTAGTCATGAATATTGCTTTGTCAAAATACAGTTAGCGTGAAACAGTAAACGAATGACTCAGTAACACCTTGGGACAGCAACTGGTTGACACAGTAACACCTTGGGACAGTAGCTGAAAGGGACAGTAACACCTTGAGACAGCAACTGGTTGACTCAGTAACATCTTGGGACAGCAACTGGTTGACACAGTAACACCTTGGGACAGTAACTGAAAGGGACAGTAACACCTAAGACAGCAATTGGATGACTCAATAACACCTTGGGACAGTAACACCTTAAGACAGCAATTGGATGACTCAGTAACACCTTGGGACAGCAACTGGTTGACACAGTAACACCTTGGGACAGTAACTGGGACAGTAACACCTTGGGACAGTAACTGGTTGACACAGTAACTGAAAGGGACAGTAACACCTTGCGACAGCAATTGGTTGACTCAGTAACACCTTGCGACAGTAAATGAAAATGACAGTAACATCTTGGGACAGTAACCGGTTGACACAGTAACACCTTGGGACAGTAACTGGTTGACACAGTAACACCTTGGGACAGTAACTGACAGTAACAGTAACACAGTAACACCTGGGACAGTAACTGAAAATGACAGTAACACCTTGGGACAGTAACTGGTTGACACAGTAACACCTTGGGACAGTAACTGAAAATGACAGTAACACCTTGGGACAGTAACTGGTTGACACAGTAACACCTTGGGACAGTAACTGGTTGACACAGTAACACCTTGGGACAGCAATTGGATGACTCCGTAACACCTTGGGACAGTAAATGAATGTGACAGTAACACCAAGGGACAGTAACTGAATGAGACAGTAATGCCTTGGGACAGTAACTGAAAGGGACAGTACCACCTTGGGACAGTAACTGGATGAGACAGTAATGCCTTAGGACAATAATTGAATGAGACAGTAACACCTTGGGACAGTAACTGGATGAGACAGTACCACCTTGGGACAGTAACTGAAAGGGACAGTAAATGAAAGTGACAGTAACACCAAGGGACAGTAACTGAATGAGACAGTAACACCTTGGGACAGTAACTGGATGAGAGTAACACCTTGGGGCAGTAACTGAATGAGACAGTACCACCTTGGGACAGTAACTGGATGAGACAGTACCACCTTGGAACAGTAACTGGATGAGACAGTAATGCCTTGGGACAATAACTGAACTAGACAGTACCACCTTGGGACAGTAACTGGATGAGACAGTAATGCCTTGGGACAATAACTGAATTAGACAGTACCACCTTGGGACAGTAACTGGATGAGACAGTAATGCCTTGGGACAATAACTGAACTAGACAGTACCACCTTGGGACAGTAACTGGATGAGACAGTAATGCCTTGGGACAATAACTGAATTAGACAGTACCACCTTGGGACAGTAACTGAATGAGATAGTAACGGAAAGGGACAGTAACCCATTGTGACAGTAACTGGATGAGAGTGACACCTTGGGACAGTTACTGGATGAGACAGTAACTACTTGGGACAGGAACTGGGTGAGACAGTAACTACTTGGGACAGGAACTGGATGAGACAGTGACACCTTGGGACAGGAACTGGATGAGACAGTAACTACTTGGGACAGTAATACTCTGGGACAACAAATGGATGAGACAGTAACAACGGTAAGACCTTGGAAAAATAACTGGATGAGACAGTAATATTTTGGGACAGTAAGTAGATGAGACAGTAACTACTTGGGACAGTAACACCTTGGAGCAGTAACCGGATGAGACAGTAACTACTTGGGACAGTAATAGTTTGGGACAGCAACTGGATGAGGAAGTAACAAGTTGGGACAGTAACTACTGTAGGTGAGATTAACACCTTGGGACAGTGGCGGGATGAGACAGTAACACCTTGGGACAGTGACGGGATGAGACAGTAACACCTTGGGACAGTGACGGGATGAGACAGTAACACCTTGGGACAGTGACGGGATGAGACAGTAACACCTTGGGGCAGTTCTCGGATGCGACAGTAACTGGATGAGAAAGTAACATCTTGGGACAGTAACTAGATGACTAGTGTAGATTGACGATTACTGAAACTACTCATCCCTTTTAGATGACGACTCTTAGCATAGCTTCGATCAAGTTATTTCAAGTCATAGAAGAACATCAAAATAGATTCAATCAAATGAAAACAATGACAGCCTCAGATAGAAAATTTTTCAAAAATAACTTTAAGACCCCTGGCAAAAATGAGAAAGAGGTTTCTCCAAGACAATAGTTCATGGCTAGATAAGGATATAAAATTACAGCCTGACAACAACACAGATAACAGTGATACAAACACATCAAAACGGGGGTGGAGACAACTCGACTTAACAAACGCCAAGGAAAGATCTTAAAGGAGAAAAACACAGCATATAAGGAAGGAAACTTTAACTGACGAACTTGTTTATGCAGCACAAACAGTGCTGGATTCTTAGCGTGATAGACGTGTTAAGATACGCTATAGCTGTGCCCTTAATGAATAAGAAAGCTAAAACAGTCTACCGAACAGTAATTGGGGACCTCGATGTCAATCGATTTGTGGATTGTGTTCCGGGGTAATTGTTAGCCAGTGCAGTTGGCGAGTTTGCCCGGTCTTCTTGGACTATTCCTTGGCACTGGGTCATGCAACTCGTTAACGCAGGGTGTGGTTGTTGTGTTGGCGACAGCTGCTACACCTCAAACAAATCCACGCCGAGGTGGCCCTTGGGCCGGCCATCCTTGTTACACGAGGAGCAACCATTATTTATTAAGTATGGTTGGTGTCCCAGAACAAGTAATCATTGATGGTGGTTCAGAATTTGTAAATAAAGTGTTTAGTGAAATTTCAGTTACGGTACACATGGAGCACACCCCCACCCTCAATATCATCCTTCTAGTAACGGGATTGTGGAGCGTGTGAATGCAACCATTGTCCACATTCTTTAGAACAATAGCGATAGATAATCCGTCTGAATGGGACTTAATGTTGCTTTTTTGCTGTCTTTGTCTATAACACAGGATACCACCGTGTTATGGGGGATAGTCCTTATTTCATTCTCTACCACAGGGATGTGAGCCCGAGTACAATGCTGAAGATTGTCCTGATCAAATTGCTTCTTTGGCTAACAGCATTTGTTCCCGTTGCCAAGGTAATATCGAGGAAGGAGTCGCAGAACAAGACAGATTTAGACAAAACTGCCAAGTGAAAGACATTAGAGTTGGGTTAGGTTAGGTTAGGTTTGAGGGACCGTATATAGTTGTTTCCAAGATAGATTGCGAGACATAGCCACGGGGAAGGAAAAATAAATTCATACAGATCTTATTAAACCCGAGGAGAACTTGTGCACAACAAACAATCGCAATGTGAGGAGAGCACATCAGTCCACGAACCGTCAACAACTGCGTCCATTGACGTCTCATACATATTCGTTACGGTCTCGCAGCTAAAGCATTGGACTCGGTGCTAAGGATACGTTTTGTTTCCCTCTTGGGAAATAGGCACTTGAGGCTACATTTACCATTGGGTCTCACTGTTGATGTTGAATACGAAATAAAGATCCTTGTAGGGTAGCCAACCCAGGTATAGCTTTAATATCCGTGCATGAAGTTGCTTACACGGGCAAAATGCATGCGAGGATTGCAGGTATATCTATCCTTTACCGGAAAACCTTAAAGGCCACATAAGACACACATAACCTGACTGAAATACTCCGTGATAGACACATGAGGTTATATGACGCTGTCGTGTGTAACTGACGTGTTAACGGGAATAATTTAGTTGACTGCGGAGGTAACTATGATAGACCTTTCCACAGATCAAGGTAACAGTGTAGCATCATTTTTCATAGCATTAGTAATACTGCATTTGCCTATATACAGTCTTGACCGAGATATTGTAGGTTTGTTTTCCTTAACCGTCACGACCCCCCCTCCCCCCCCCTTTTTTTTAAGGGGATTAGCCCACCCGGGCACAGGTCACTGACCCACATCGGGACCTGGGGGGCGAAAATTTAATAATAATAATAATAATAATAATAATAATAATAATAATAATAATAATAATAATAATAATAATAATAATAATAATAAAGACATACAAAAATGAAAAAAGAACGATCAAAAGTGAGAAACAATATATGTACAGTATGTTGTGTTGTCAGAGTAAGAGAAACAATTGAAACCCTGCAATTGTGTGTAAATGAGGCAGATGGTCAGATCAGCAACCTGGGACTTGGTCACAATTTTTGTGGTGCCATATGGCAGCAGGGTCTACCATTAGACAACACATTATGCTTCCAATATCTTCCCAGGCGGTAGTACCTCCCTGTTTGATCGCTGCCTACTACTGTAATACTGTATATATTATAGAAACCTTTATGAATCTGCTGACCACACAGGGGAAAAAATGTCGGCCGCCGCACCACCTTCACCTCTCAGTTTTTATGGTGGCTTCAACATACCAGTTAGAGGCGTGGCGGAAACCCAGGTACTTCTGGTAGCATCCTGCTCCGCCTCCGGGATGACTAGCCACACACACACACACACACACACACACACACACACACACACTTTACTTTCACTCACATCTTGCCTCGCATTTCCACATCACTGTCTGCTATTTTCCTGGTTTATTAAGTCTAGGATCTATACAGGTTCGTAAGAGGTGTAATATTCGTAACATAAGATCTAAGAATGCACTTCAGTAATTGGGCCAAAATACAAATATACACATTACTTCCATATACACACTTATACAGAAGAACAAACTAACAAGAGAATATTTAAAGAAGCTGTATCATACAAATATGCGTCGATAGTTTACTGATGTTAAATAAATAGGTATACTCACGAGCGGTGTGGTCGGGAACAGTCTCCGTCACCCTGCAACAACAACATTAAGAGTTAGTCTATGCACGTGAAGATTTGTGTCGCGGGAAAAAAAAAATCTACCACACAATTCTACAATGGATCAATTCCTATCAGTGCAGATCCTAAACTCTACCATACATATTGAACAAACAAAAGAAATATACTGTACTTAACCAAAATTTATGTCTAATCTAATCTAGCCAAAAAAGATATTCCTGATCAAACCTAACCAAGAAAGGTACTGTACTTGCCTCACCTAACCACAAAAGATGTACCTAACCTAACCACAAAATATGTACCTAATCTAACCACAAAGAAGTACTGTACACATACCCGACTCGATACATAAAATTATCAACACCAGTTTCACAAATGTCATATAATCTCATCAGAGGAAATTATTAAACATTGTTGATAATTATTATGATCCGTCTGGCGGTCATTATTCGTCTTTATATGACAACAACAAGTAGTAACTAAACCCACTTATCCAAGATCAATAAATTAAGTCGTGTAGGATAGGTTAGGCTAGGTTAGGTTATGATAGGTAGGTTAGGTAGGCTAGTTTAGGTTATTTTAGGTAGGCTAGGTTTGGTTAGGTTACATTAGGTAGGCTAGGTTACGTTTGGATAGGTAAGGTTAGGTTAGGATACGTTAGGTAGGCTAGGTTACGTTTGGATAGGTAAGGTTAGGTTAGGATACGTTAGGTAGGCTAGGTTACGTTTGGATAGGTAAGGCTAGGCTAGGTTACGTTTGGATAGGTAAGGTTAGGCTAGGCTAGGATAGGTTAGGATACGTTAGGTAGGCTAGGTTACCCTAGGTTAAGTAGATTAGCTTAGATCAGATTGGGTATGTTAGATTAGGTTAGGTATGTTTAGTTATGTTGGGTATGTTAGGTTAGAATGGGTATGTTACGTTAGGTAGGCTAGATCAGGTTGGGTAGGTTAGGTTAGATTGGGCATGTTAGGCTAGGTAGGTTACATCAGGTTGGGTATAGGTTAGATTAGATCAGTTTGACTTGATTACGTTAGATCAGTTTAGGTAGGTTAGGTTAGGTCAGGTCAGGTCAGGTTAGGTTAGGTTAGGTTAGGTCAGGTTAGGTAGGTTAGGTTGGGTTAGGTCAGGTTAGGTAGGTTAGATCCTGTTAATAAGTTCATAGACAAAGTAAACATAAGCCCCTGTTGGTAGGAACAAAAACAGTCATAAGAACAAACAGGATTGATGACAGAAAAGTCAGACTGAAATTATGACAATACTGGAACGTCGAAATAAAATAAAAAGTTTCGATGATTATTACCATACACACCCACTTATTCCTGACCCCAGGGCCGGCCTTAGGAGGTGCGGGGCCCAATTGGGAATAATTTTGGTGGGCCCCAGGTTCCCAGCCAAGGTCTGTAGAATCATAGAAATATAAATAAAGTTTATTATAGACTTTATATCTCTATGGTAGAATGGCAAGTAATCAAAATGTGCGCTTAAAGAGTACATGCGAGTTAATGGACCAAACAGATCTAAGCTACATTTAAATATAAAATTACATACATGTAAGTCTACAAGTAACAAACAAGATGTGTAGATCACCTCTGAAAAGGACATAGTTACAATACCACTTGTTTTAGTGACTGAAATGATTTATTAAAAATATTAATTTATTTTTTGTTCAGAAAAAACAATTCAGAATTTACGTGCATTGTTGGAAACAAATTATCTTTTTTGGATTGTGTATACTTGACGAGCCGAGAGTAGCGCGGGGCCCCCTGAGGCGCGGGGCCCAATTGGCTTAAGGCAGGCCCTGCCTGACTCGATCACACAATCGATTCAAATACAATTTATTCAAATTAACCAAACGTTTTAACCATGAACTATTACCATAAAAGATGCAATGAGGGTAAAGTCTGCCGAAGTAAATAGTGACAGACGAAAATTTAGACGTCACAAAAATAATGACGTCTCAGTATAACACCAACGTTGTTCCTGCACGTGAGTCATCACCCCGCCATTAACAACAACTTCCCCTCTCCTTAATGGTTACGCACTGTGACAGCAGTCGAGTTGCTGGGAACAACAGAACTTTCTACACACACACACACTATAATGTTTGTAAAGTTCGCCAGATGGTCAGGGAAGATGTAAACAAACCTGAGTGAGTAACCAAGTGCTAGTCATGTTGAGGCTCATTGGCTGGCCTGCTGTCTACTACTGGTGGAGCCTTGAGCCCTTGACCAACGACAGTGCTGCTGACGCCCAGGAAGCAGTTATGGTAACTAACGCGGCACTATCTTGCAGTGAAGAATCTTATAAACTCTTCAGAAAGACAGTTATGTTCTAATGATAGATCTGTAATCTTTCTTAAAGAATAATACGCTCTCAGATGAATAAATCATTCAACACTTCCCGACTCGCAAAATCCATAAACAAACTTAAAATTTTTACCTCTGCTACAACAATTATAGGTGACTGACCATCATATGAATTACTCATCATTAAATTTTACATTACCATGAGTAATAAGGGGTGACTTTTCCCTTATAACTAGCCGCTGACATATATTTATAAAATACGACACAACACCTTGTATCGAGGCTGTATCTAGGAATTATGTTCAGGGTGGGGGGTCAGAGGACCAAAGAGTTTGTCATTATCAGAATTCAGACAATGGCTTGTTGAAGAGTGTGCGTGTTGTGAAGTAGATAGATCATTGGCAGAATCCTGCCCATCGGCATGTTCATCACACTCATGTGGTATAGGCTCAGACTGCAGCGGGTCTTCAGCTTTATTCTTTTCTTCAAGTGACTGTTTGTTTCTTTTCATAACAAAGGCTGACATAGTACTCTGTACCTTCCACCAACACGCTTCATTTGACCCTGCCATGCAACAACGAATAATGTCATTTAGTCATTTACCAGTACAGTATACATGTGTAAGTGTAATTGCATATTAAGCATCTCCCTTTCCATCTCGTGCCTAACTAATTTATCGCATGATTTTACATATTATATTGTTATTATAAATAAGGAACAAACCGCTTAATAAATAATAACACTACACAAAAGTTGGTGCAGAAGAAGAAAGTCACTAATTCAGTATATTCAGCGGGAGGTTCCAGGCTTTCAGTACGTTCTGTAGAATTCAGCAGGGAATTGCAGGTTTTCGGTCGATAATAATGGATGCCCCTCGAAATCAAGGATGACCGGCCCTAGGGCCACCTAGGCGTGGATTTGTTTAAGGTGTAGAAGCTGTCGTCAACGCAATAACCACACCCTAAGTTAACGAGCTGCAAGACCCTGTGTCAAGGAATTATCCGAGAAGACCGGACAGCTCGCCAACAGCCCTGGCTAACCATTACCCCGGAGCACGATCCGCAAATCGATTAACATCCAGGTTCCCAATTACTGCTGGGTAGACAGAGGCAAATGGCGTAAAGAAACCTGCCCATAGTTTCTCCCTGCCAGGGGATCGAACCCGGGTCCACTCGCTTGCGAGGCGAGCATGCTATATACCACAAACATATGAATATAATATGATTGCCAGCCGCCTCTTTCTCTCTCTAACTTATATTATTTGGTGTACAATAATTTATACCTGCAATTCACAATGTATTTTCCAAGGTAAAATTGTGATATAAGCAATAAAATACCGCACTGTACAGAACTGGTGGGCATGTTGGAATTCAATTGAATATTTTATGTTTAAAGGATTCTATAAGAATATATAGCCGTCTCATATGTGTCTCAATCGACAATAATATACAACGTCGACACAGCTCCTGAATAGGCGTTTATATGGCCAACTTTGGGTCGAGGTCCCGTCCCAATTAAAAAATATGCAGACATTTCTGAGGGGGGGGGAGGAGGTCATCTCATAACCCCCCGTAATTAGGCCTTGCCTTGTATGTCTTAATCTGTACGACTGTCGTTTACTGTAAAGTATAATTCTGCAGAGGTGTTATTAATGCAAGAAATGTGGCGCTCGTGTTCAAAAAAGATTTGTTCATCCACTGTAATCGCTCCAAAAGGTATCTTTACGGGTGGGTCCGATGAATTTCATAGTGAACACCGCGACTCCTGTTGTCTCAGAAGGGTAATCAAAATCCTTCGTCCGTTGTGTCATATTATCTCAAAAATCATTGAGATACTTTTTGGAGCGAGACAGTATCTACCCTTGTTTCACTAATCTATTAAGGTAAATCCTTCGTCTTCCAAACAGTTTAAATCAATCGCTTCCACAAGGTCGATCTTATCTTCCTCGCCAGCATGTTTTTTTTTTTCCATACAAACATTTGGTGGTGTCGTATAGTCGGAGTCAAAAGTTCACTCCCTCCTAAAATACAGCAGCGTCGACCCCACATGAGATAAAACAGCACAACCACACCAGATGACAGTCAGGGTAAGTTCGGAGACTCATTCCCGAGACTCAGTTTCACCAAGAGGAACGAAATGTTGTTCGGCACTGTTACTGTACATGAACGAACTTGCCGAGTCGACTTTGTATGAATAGTGAATAAATACCCTGGATTGTGAATCACTATGTTTGTTCAGATATCAGATATGAGCTATAATGTCTGTCTCAAGCATCAGCTTCTTCGGGATTTGTTTAGCGGCAAAAAAAAAGTGCTGTGCAACTTGGGTGTATTTATAACTATTAAACAAAAGAACATCTTAAATTCTCTAACTATTGGCATCTTCTTTAGCTGACAAAATACGCAAGTCCCCGTAACTTCCACAAATTTGATCCGACAGCATCATCATGTTCACAAATTGTCAATCACAGGTAATTTTGCAATACTCATATTTAGAATACTTGAGGATCATTATGAAATATGGACCTATAACTATTATACCTATGACAATTTGCTCCTTACAATGGGATTGTTAGCTAATAAAGATTTAGTGAAGCGAGAAGAAATATTGGGTGTCGATCCCGTCTGCTGCCTCCAGTACAGCTCTCATTGAGCCACAGCTACACTACATTATCAACGGAGCTACACGCCGTCATTATAAAACCGAAAG